GTTTTCATCATTAAAATTATCTTACAATAACATTAATTTTTTTTCTTTTTCTTAAATCTCTAAAGCATATTACTCATTTAATTTTTTCATCTCTTCTTATTGTTTTTTAAAATCATCCCTTAATTATCTTACTTTCAAATCAAGCTTTTAGCCTAGTCTTTAGTATGAAAAACTTCCTTAAATTTCGATTTCTAATCCATCAGAAATTTATTAGAATAATCTTTAATATTATTACTTTTCTTTTTCAATTTCATTCAATTAATTTTAATTTGTTCTTATTGTATTTAAAGTTTATTCTGAAAATTTTTTAACATCTTCAAGCTCTAAAAATAAATTCTTTAGTTTTAAGTCCTTCTTTGATAACTCTAATTCAAGTTCTCTATTTAATTTTTCAAGTTCTTCTGAATGTAAGTTTAATTATTTAATTTCATCCTATAATTATTTCAATTATTAATGAGAATGCTGAATTTATCTTTACAAATTATCAAATTCTAAACTATATTAATAAAGTTTATCTTTGATTTATTTGATCTCTCTGATTTAATCTTAAATGATTTTATCTTTACTTAAAATTATTTATTCATAATATATTTTTAGATTATCTTCTATACTTTACTTTTCATTCATATATTATATTTCCATTTCCTGAAATTCATTTTTATACTATTATTCCAATTATTTTGTAGATTATTTATGATTTTATTGCAATTAATTTAATTAATTTTCAGAATCTTTTATTAATTCCTAAAATTCTTCTAATTATTATTGCTAATATATTTATATATTTTAAGCTTAATTTAATTTATTTTTTAGATCAGTTATTTTAGTATTACTCTTTTCTTTTAATTAATCTAATAATTCTTTTGATTTTTATTAATCTTATAATTTCTTAGTCTTCATTTTTTCATTTTCATTTTTTAATAACTCAATTTCTTAATTTAGTTCAACATTTTGATCAAGATATTATTAATATTTTTTTTTTAAATCTGATAGTTCTTTAAGAACTTTTTCAAATTCAATTTTAAAATCTCTATTTTACCTATCTAATTATTGATTTAATTAATTTAAGGATTCATTTCTCTATCGCTATTCATTAATATCTGAACTCAATGATTTATTTCTTTAATCACTAAGTTAAAGACTTTCTTTAATTCTAATATTTTCATTTTGCAATTATATTTCTTTATTTTACATATCTTTGATTTATTTATTAAGTTTTTCATTTAATAATTAATATTTCTAAATTGATTGAAAAAATGAATACTTAAAATTAAGATTCTTGAACTTCAAGTAAATCTTGGAGATTTTTTATTTCTCTAATATATTCTAATTAAAATTCTCTTTGTTTAGAATCAAATTCTTATAAAATTCTTTATTCTCTTTCTAAAAATTCCCTTCTTATTTAATCATTAAGAGCTTATTCAGATCTAAGTTCTGCTTATAAATTATGGATTTCATCAGTAAATTATTTAGAAAAGGCTTCAAGAGTAATTTCTTTTATTCTACTAAAGATGATGTTTTTGGAATCTCTATTTGATTCAATAGTAGAGTCAAGTAAAATTTTAGTAGAAACATCCATAAGACATTCTAAATATAAATATTAATTAGTTACATTCCAATTATGATTGACTACTGAAGAGCTTGGATGATGTTAGCATATTTAACGTATACAAAATATATATATATATATAAAATCTGTTATAATTGTATATTTAATAAATATATATATATATAATAAAATTATGAAATCTCCTACTTATATTTTAAAGAATGCTTATTAAGAGCATTTAGTTGAATAATAATATATCAAACATGTTTCGAAGATACAAAATACTACTGCTAATCTTTAAGTGAGTTAGAGTGAATAAGATTAAATGAATAAAGTATGAGTATTTTAGTAAAATATAACTTTTTAGATAAAATATTATCGTTAATAAAAGGAAAGGACTCGTAAATTTATGGAACATTAAACTAAAATGTTTAGATAGTAATCGGATAATGTATTAGCAAAAAAAATGATTTCAGCTGATTCTAAGAGTAGAATAGTTCATGAACCAAAGAGTGTAAAGTCTTTAATTGCTACAGCTCAAAAATAATAATCATATGAGATAGGATTAGAAAATATAAGATTAGGGAAAAGGATTTTGCATTTACCATCTGTTATAAAAAAAAAGGAATTTGATAAATCTTATGCTAAACATGAATAAAATATGATGTATGCAAGTAGAATGAGAAATCAAAATAAATCTAAAACTTCTTCAAATAAATTTATAAAAGATATTGGACCTATATTTACAGAAGTGCCAATCTAATTCAAATTAGTAGTATTTAACAAAGAAGTAAATTTATATTATTTATAATATATAGTTACAAAATAAAGATTAAAAGACAGAATGTTTGTATTGTGTTGAAGCTTATTTAAAAGATTAATTATTACATAGAACAGGTAATTTAATGTATTTAATTTAGATTCTGTGGCATTTGATTAATTCTAATAATTAAATTTTAAAGTACCTATGAATGAATAATAATATGAAGGATATTAGAATGATCCATTGATTTTAAAGATTTGGAAAATAAAAAATAATAGTGAATTATACATGGGTCAAATATTTGTAGGATTTAATGATTAATTAAGTGAGAAAGATTTAATGAAGAAAGTAAATGATAGAGAAATTTGGAATGGTTTTATTTAATTATGAAAATTTTATGAAGAATTGATTTTAATTAAATATTAATTTATATAAAAATGCTACAAATATAGCATCAAACACCACCAGAAATAAATAGAATAAGATAATTAGTAATAAGATTGAATTATATTAGATTTGTAGAGCAGGTGATGAAGGAGCTGATACATTCAAAAAAGATCTATAAAAAATAGTTGATGTATTAGGGGAATATTATTAATAAAACAAATAAGAGGTAAAAGATGCAATGATATAATCATTCATTTAATGTGCAAAATTGTTACCACTCAAATCTGGAATATATGCTACAATATTAGCATTATTATCAACTAAATAAGTATTTATTAATGAAGTCATTATTTTAATTAGATAACATAATCTTTAACAGATTAAATTATTCTAGGATTACTTGAACATCTTCCATAAATAGCCTAAGAAGAAACACCTATATTAGGATAAACTATTCTTAAATTTCTCAGTGAATTGATGAATGTAGGTCTGCTTAATACAGTGAGTTTTGTAGAATGTTTGTATGATTTAGAAGGAGGAGCAGAGAATGAATAATCACCATTCTATCTTCAAATTTTATTAACAACAATTCCTCATGCTATGATTAAAGCAATGGAAAAGAATTAGATTGAATTTAAAAATATTATTTAGAATGTTGAAGTATTAATGACTAAGAGAAAAACTGAAGATAGATTATTTCATTTATGGTAATCAATAAGAAATTTTTTAAATAATTAAGAGAAAGATGCTCATACCTAAATATTTTAATAGTTCTTGAAAACCTCTTATCCTAGACCTTATTTATTATTTCCTGATGAAATGACATAAGTTAGACAATTAAGAAGAGGTTTCAAAATTCCTATTGTAAAAAGAACCTAAATTTGGAGACCCTAATAAATATTGGTTCTTAATGATGAAATTAGATCACAAAATAATAATAAAACTGATATTTAAATTGAGATTACTAGATAATGGATTTATGAAACAATTGATCTATTTAAAACTAATCGATAGTAAATTGTATTTCAATTTTAATTATACTAAAATTGTATAAAATTATCACCATCATAAGAGTATTTAATATTTTATAATAATTAATAGAGCTTAATTTAGATAAACATTAATATTCACTTTATTAAATATGGTTATTGAAGTTATTCCTAGAAAAGACTAATTATCCACAGCATTTTATAGTGGTCTTCTAATTCATTTAAGTTAAAGAAATTCAGATAATATAAAAGAATGGAATGAAACTATTGAATAATTCATTGACTTAATGCCATAAAATAATATCTTGATTATTGAATAATTAAGTGATTGTTTATCCCATTATTTTTGTAATTCAAACTTTAAGTTGAATTGGGATAAGTTCTTTGGAAAATATAATCCTGATGAAACAGATAGCATTAATAATTATTTAGTTATTATGATATTTAGAAAACTATTTCTATTAGTAAGTGTTGACAAGATTACAGATTTGGTTCCAAAGAATATAATAGATTGGTATAATTAATTGTAGGATATTACAAAACCCTTAGATATTGAATAAATTAGTTTAGCTGAGAAAATTAATTCATATCTATAATAAAAATTGAATGGAATTGAGATGCTTGAATAATTAAAATTGATTACAAATCCTAATCCAGATATTGTCATATAAACATTTTTAGAATGTTTATTATAATGTATATCTAAATCTATAACTCATTTAAATGTATTAAGCAAAAGATATCTTTCATTTTTGTTATAGCCAAATATAATAAAACCAGAAAAATTAGGAGAAATTATGCTCTAGACTATTTTCCGTATGTGGAATCATTCAGTATTTCATTTGAAAGTATATTTAAAAGAGTTTTTGAATTTGGAGGTAATTAGTAATTTATAAATTATCAATTGGTTGAGTGATATAATCAAATAAAAATCAGATGTAAATTTATATATATTATAAAGAATTTTAAAATTTATAATGTATTGATTGCAATAAATGATGTATTCAGAAAATAAACAAAGTTAGATTAAGTTCAGGATTGTACATATGAAAATGTTAAGGAAATTAATACTATTTTGAGTAAGATGATAGAATAAGAATAAGGTTATTATTTTATTTAATATATTTAGATATTATAATATAATCAAGTTTAGAAAATATTTAGCTTTAAATATTGATTGCATTTAAATCAACTAATGGGTCTCAATCAGAGAAGTTATTAAAAGAAATAAAATCAACTTAAATAAAATAAATAATTATGTCATTTTGAGTTTATATTTCATTTCATAATATATAATATATAAATAATTATAATGAAATAAATCCTATTCATATCTTTTTATGTCTTTAATGTATTATGTAACTTGAGATTCAGAGACAAAGAATAATTAGAGAGACATCATTCTCATACTGAAGTAGTTGATGAATTTTTAACTGTACATGTTATTCCTCATTCTCATGATGATGTTGGATGGTTGAAAACAGTTGAACAATATTTTTATGGTTTGAGAAATGATTATCAATGGGCTAATGTGGGATATGTGATAGATTCATATATAGAGGAATTATAAAGAGATGAGAATAGAAAGTTTATTTAAGTGGAAATCAAGTTTTTTAAGATGTAATTTTATAATAATATAAATAATAAGGTGGTGGGATTTATAAAATGAAACAACAAGAAATATTACAAAATAATTGGTTGAAAATAGATAATTGTAATTTATTTCAGGAGGATGGTGTATGAATGATGAAGCTACAACATATTATGAAGATATAATTGATTAAATGAGTTTAGGTCATAAATTCTTAAAAGATACATTTAATTATATTCCAAATATAGGTTGGTAGATTGATCCTTTTGGTCATCAAAATTCTTAAGCAGCCTTATCTTATTAAATGGGATTTGATGCTTGGTTTTTTGCAAGAATAGATTTCGAAGATAAAGAAACAAGACTTGATAATAAGAATATGGAAATAATTATGTTACCACCTGCTGAGGGAGTTTAATATCCAATATTTACACATATTCAATATTATCATTATGAAGCACCTCCAACATTTAATTTTGATATTTTAAGAAGATCAGATGCAATTGTTGATAATCAAAAATCTGAAAGTTATAATATTAAGGAAAGATCAGATCAATTGGTTTCATATTTTAAATCTCAATCACTTCATTATAAGAATGATCATTTAATTCATACATTTGGTTCTGATTTCTGTTGGTCCAATTCTAAAGTATTTTATCAGAATCTAGATAAATTAATCAAATATATTAATATGAATCCAGAATATAATATGAAACTCTAATATTCAACACCTGAAGAATATATTGCTGAAATTAATAAGTAAAACACTATATATGAAACTAAATCAGATGATTTCTTTCCTTATTCTGATGAACCACATGCTTTTTGGACTGGTTATTTTACAAGTAGAGTAGCAATTAAAGGTTATGTGAAAAGATTAGGTAGATAAGCATAAACTTATAGAAAATTTATTGCATTACTTTATTAATAAGAATTAATATAGGATAATTATTAAAATATTACAGATACTATTTATGAATTAGATAATGCATTAGCCATTTGTTAACATCATGATGCTGTTACTGGAACTGAAAAATAACATGTTAATGATGATTATATCAATATACTTTATAAAGGAGAATAACATATTTAAAAATTAACAAGAAAATTCTTATCTTAATTATTATATAATACAACTACTATAGACTATGAATAATGTGAATATAATATTACTGCTTAATAATGTAGTAAGACTTACAATGCTCTTAAAGCTAATAAAACTGTTATTCTTACAATAATAGATGGAAAAGTCAAATAAGAAAATAATACTGATATCATTAGGATTAAAGTTCCAAATTTAAAATTATTAATTAAAGATTAAAATAATTAAGTTTTATATGGAGATATTGATTGCACAAATGGATTTTAAGATTGCGATCTATATTTCAAATATTAAATTCCTTTAAACAATGTAATTTAATATTTCACTATATAACCAGTATTATATAATGAATCTGCATCTGAAATATAATTAACAGTTAATCCATTTCCTTATAATGAAGATACATTGATTACACTTAATTCAACTAAATCTTTTAAATTAAAATATGCCTATTATTAATCTTATTAATAAAAAGATTAAGCAGATGGTGCTTATATTTTTAGACCTTCTAATAACTCTAAAATTATGTATGGTAATATTTCTTATACAGCTATTGGATATGGTAGAATTATGTCTATATTCAGAATAGTTAGAACTTATACTAAATCTGTTGTTAAGAATTTTTATCATTAAAAAGACACTTTTGATATTTAAACCTTTATTGATTAAATTCCCATCTCAGATTAAATAGGAAAAAATATAATTATGGTTATTGAAGTACCAAACTTTAATTCTGATAATACTTTCTATACAGACAGCAATGGATTACAATTTTAGAAAAGAATAATAAATTATAGACCTTAATATAATTATTCATTACATGAAAATGTATCTGGTAATTACTATCCAATCACAAGTGGCATTTATATTTAGGATGGATAGGAATGTGTTGGTCTTCTAAATGATAGATCATAAGGAGGTAGTAGTTTACAAAATGGACAAATTGAAATTATGATTCAAAGAAGATTATTATAAGATGATAGTAGAGGAGTAGGAGAAGCTTTGAAAGAAAATGATGAAAAAGGTTATGGTTTAGTTCAAAATATCTAACATAAACTTACTTTCTTTAATATAGAATAAAATCCAAATTAAATAAGAAAATTATAATATTATTTAGATCATTAACCATTGGTATTTTTTAATTTTGATTAATAATTACCACTTATTCCTTAAAAATTGAATTGGTTTTTACCATTTGATGGCTTTAATATTGATCCATTATTAATTTATGGAGATAATTTATTGAAATTCAATTATATTTTATGGAATGAAGATGAAATATTATTGAGAATTCAAAATATGTAGGAGAAATTTTCAATGAAGATTGATAAAATGGGATTTGAAGGTTAGGCCATAAGAACTACATTAACAGGTAATTAGAAATGGAGTGATTGGAAAAATAAATCATTAAGTAATATATTAATATATATATTTAATAGAATGGAATTATAATAAGTAAGAAAACACTCTTGATTAAGATTTAGATGATGTTCTTTATCCATTATAAATATAAACATACCTTATAAGAAATAGTGAATTATTTTATTAATAATGAATAATTTATATTGATTTATCATAATTTAACTATAATATTTTTATGATTCCTTTTTATAGAAGATTTATTTTTAATATATTTATGATTTCCTTATTTTTATAAATTATAATAAGTAATAATAATAATTATATTATAAAAACTCTGAAACTTCTATTAAAGAGATTAATAAATCAAACTAAAAAATTTATAAATCGAGTATGTCATCATGTTATTTATAATAATAAAATTAATGTCAAACTTAATTAATGCACTTTAGTAAGAATATCATATATTATATTGTTCATTTTTTCTTAAATTCAGTTTGATTTCTATAAATTATTGAAACATGTGAACCTTGTATTTAAACAATACAATTAATTCAATTTATGCCTTTAAAATTTCTGTGCAATGAACCAAAGTATCATAATTTCTTATTTTAATTTAATGAAGTCCATTAGAACTATTTAAGATCTTAAAATACTAATTTGCGTTTTTCTAATTACATTAATCAAATTTATTAGAAACCAAGGATGTTTTTGTACAAAAATAATGAGATATATGTATATTATGTAATCTTTTCAAATATATATATATATATCAAAAGAAATATTTATAGATCAAAATCATTAAAGAAGTGATATTGATTTAATATTGACCTTTTTTTATCTAAAATACTTTCAAAATTATAGAGGATAATCGATTCTAAATCTTACAGATTTTTAAGACTTAAATAAAGAGTGGTTCCTTTTATTTTTTAAAGCTGATTTGAGATTTGATCTTTTCTGTACTTCTGATTAATATCTAAATGAAATTCCACATCTGGGTTAAAATAATTATTTTCTTCTTGAATCCATTTAATTATTGTTATTCCTTATATAAAATTCACTTTTGAAATATTTAATCTCTTTTGGAGAATCTGGAGGGTCTTTAGGTTGAATCATTAAAGGAATTTATCTCATAGATCTTGTATTCAAGTGTTCAGTCAATATTTGCTTGTGATTTGGCACCATCTAATATTCTACAACTTTAGAAGTCAAACTTATCTCAGTAATACTTAAGATCAATAAAATAATACTCTTAAATGAATTTGCAATCATCTTCGATCTATTTGATTATGTCTAAGATTTCACTTTAATTCATAAAATATTCAATAAATTTATGGAGAATTACATTTGAATAGAATTAAAGCTCAAACTTAATTCAAATGATTTAATGATTTTATATAATTTATTAAAAGTGGGACATAAAATATATCTGTAAGTATAATTAACTTAAATATGACCAACTTTATTTTATGTTAAAAAAGGATATTTTTTAGTAGGAATTCTTTGTAATTTATATTTTTTGGTCCTCGTATTTAAAAATTAATAAAAAATTATCAATTTTCAAAATGGGTAACATTTAATATTAGAAAATAGTATATGAAAATGTATATTTCATTAAAATCTTTGTATATGAGTATATTAATATACTTGAAGTAAATACAAAAATCTTATTTAAGTGAAATAACATAATTTTAATTCAAATATGACTATGTAGATTAATATTGTACAAGTTACTCAATAATTAAGATCAGTTTTAATTTAATATTAAAAGAGTATGTTTAATACTTTATATAAATTGCAAGTAATAAATTCTAGGAATATCCTAAACATCAAAGAATACATAAAAATCTAATTTTATAAAAAATAAATGTTAAAAATTATAATAATATATAAACAGATTCAATAATTATATTATTATTTGGTTAGCATCACTTCTGGAATTAAATTTAAGATATTTGGTTAAGATTTAGATAGACACTCAGTTTTAGAGCTATGTTCTTTTGTATTTATCAGTTTAATTAAAAAGTAAGTAAATAATTTAGTTTATAAAAAACTTTGACTTTAAATGTTTGATACTCAGAAAAATTTGTTCATACATTTTTTTGATTGTTTATAATATTAACTCTTACTTTTTATTTATTTTTGGTCATTAACATAAAACTAATTAAATATATATTTATGATAATATTGATATTTAAACTAATGATTTTAATTTTGCAATATAAATGAATTATATTATGGAAATATTTGCATCAATAATAATTTACTATCAAATACATCTTCTAATTAATTAAAATTATGTTGAGAATGTAGTTTAGTTATTTTATTGAAGTTTTAAACAGCAAAATAATGTAAATAAGATGAAAAATTTAGAAAGAGAAGGTTAGACAAGTTAAAAACAACATTTTGATTTTAATTTGATTGATAAAAACTAAATTTTACTATTCCATAAAGTAGATATCAAAATTTATAAAATGAATAAATTTCTATAATATACATTAATTAATTTAACAATCAATGAATATTATAGCTAAATATAAAGAATTCGAAAAAACTCTTGAAAACATAGTTACATATAAGGATTTAAGAAAATCAATTAGATAGAGTTTCAAATTTATATTAAAGAATAACTTTACTATCTATTATCTAGATGAAGATAATGATAAAATTACAATATCAAATTAAGAAGATCTAGATGTTATTCAAGTAAGACTTTATTATTATAATTAGAATACTGAGAATTTCGAAATTATTGTTGAAGAAATAGATGATGCCTCAGAATTGACAGATGATTCTTTTTAAAAACTTGATAAAAGTGTCAAAGAAACAGTTAATTATTTTAGAAAATTAAGTAATGGTCATGCAAATAATGATTCTAATAGTCCAAAAATTATATTATAATAAGAAATGGAATAGGCAAAGGAAATAATTGAGACAACAAATAATACATAAGACATTTTAGACAAGAAAAGGCAAAGAGTAATATAAGAAATAACTACAACTATTGATCATCTTCGTTCAGAAATACTTAAAATTGAGAATGATGATACAGAAAAAAGATTAAATGAAAAATTAGAAAAATTATAGAAACCACAGATGAATCCATCATCTCTTAGTAAAGAATTAAGTGAACTACCAATTATTTAATAAATTGAATAAGCTGAAAATAATATAATAAACCTTAATAAAGTTGAAAGGGAAGAATTGAAAAGAAATTATAACAATTTAGTAAAATAAGTTAATAATATCGTCTTAAGTAGATAAAAAAATTAAGCTACTTAAATTGCTTAAACTAAAGAGGTAATAAAAACAGAATAGAAATTGAAGTTACAAATTACTAAGACTAATAAAAAAAATTAAAGATTGTTAAAATAATATAATGGATTATTAAGTTAATATTAAAAAAAACTTAAAGAGGCTGAAAATAAGAAATATAATTTCGAAAAGATTGAATACATGAATAAAGAGCAATTAGAAAACTTTTTAGATAAATAAATGAAGGAAGAATTAAAAGCTAAATAAGAAAAGATAGAAAAATTAAAATAAAAAGAAGAGATTATCAACATAGAAAATCAAAAAAATGAATAAGAAAAATTAAATGAATGTGATCAATTTGAAGATATAGATTGAAAAATATCACTACATTATGCATATATAATAATTATCTTATAATTTTCATATTTATAATGCAATTGCAGCTTGTAAAACTGATAAAGCCTTTTCTTTGGCTATTTAAAATTTTGGTAAATTTACTGGAGATTCTAATTGCCATCTATTTTTATAATGAAGGTATTATAAGACTATTTCAAGTATATCTGCTGTAAAATCTGATAAGATTTATGTTTCTCCTTTCATATCTGCATTTGATATCTGTTTTTTAAAAACTTCACTTAATCCAGCTATTTCTTTGGCAACTATGAATTCAATCCCATTAGAAGATAGAATAGTTATGTAAGCAGATGACATTTATATTAAATTATTTAATATATATTTAAGAAAAAGAGAGAAACAATTTAATTATCATTTTTTAATACAAGCTTCTGGATTATAACAATACTCGTTGAATTATTCTTATTTATATTATTTACAATACCACAAAGAGTTTTATTTCGGAGCAATACGAAATTTTTCTCATTTTTATCATCTATCGTATCCTCAGTAATTCCTTCATAACCCTTAAATTTCTTAGGATAATATGGTGGATCATATTTTTTTTTAAGTAATGATTCCCAATCAAAAGAACTGAACCATGGATGTTTTTTAACATCTGAAGGATTATTTGATCCTAATCTATTTTCAGGTTTTCTTTAGATAAGCTAAAAAGTGCAATTAAAAATATACTTAATTTATAAAATCACCAGCTTCGATTGACCAAGCAACAGGTAATTATGATCTTTTAATCTAAATTTGTTTAGATAGGATTTAATCTCTAATCTCTTGTCTAGATTTCCCAACATAAGGTCTTTTTCCAAGCATACATTCATAAATAATAACTCCCAAAGCAAAAAAATCAACTGCAATACCATGATTTTATTTGCACATAACTTCAGGTGCCATATATCCTGGAGTTCCACTTGTATCTGAAGAATTTTCTGGTCTCCAAACTCGTGCAATTCCCATATCTGTTAATCTAAGATAACCCTATTCATCAAAAACCAAGTTTTCTGGCTTAAGATCTCGATGGATTATACCATGTTAATGGAGATACTCTAAACTTATGATTATACAAGCAGCAAAAAACTCTTAAAGTATTGTCAAATATTTTACATGATTCTTCCTCAGAAAACCTTTTGTTTTTACAAAGATGATATCTCAAATCACCTCCAGAAAGGAGATCAAGCACTAAATATAAATTCTCTCTATCTTAAAATGCTGAATGCATATTCACAATAAAAGGATGATGCAATTATTTTAATAAACTCATTTCATTTAATACTGATGTTATACTCTTTTTTTCAATTATTCTAAAGTATTTTAAAACAATACTTTGCTTTAGATAATATTTTCATAGCATAAAGTTGATTATTTTTTTTTCGTTTTACTTTGAAGACCTTACCAAATCCACCTTTGCCAAGTATATCTAAGATTTCGTAATTTCTTATTGATTACACTATTTTAAAAGATTAAAAATACTTGCTTCTTAAAATTCTTCTTTTTTATCAATTACATTACAATTACCCATTTTTCTAGATTTTATAATGATAATTATTTTATTATAGAATTTATCTATTAAATTTTATATATTCAAATATCCTACTTACATCTAAGATAAATAAACTTAAATATATCTCTTAAAATTTGATATTAAGTGAAATAGAATACCTTAAATACAAATGAGAATAATTTTTAATAATTAAATAATCCAAATATGAGTTTTTAACAATTATAAATCAACGTCCTCTCCCTCTCTTCTTTATTGGTTAATAGATTTCTTCTCCTTCTAAACTATCCTCCTCTTCAATTTTTTATTTTGAAGTAGATCCCCTGCCTTTCCCTTTTATTTTAGAACAATCATCACTATCACTTTCTTCTTGTTTACCTCTGCCTCTTCCTCTTCCTCTACCTCTACCACCTGCCTATCCTTTAGATCTAGATGGCATATTAGAGCATTCTAGACTTACATTACTCATAAATAAATTAACAATATCTCTATATTTTTCCATTCCTTTAAAGTCTGGTTAAAGTAAATCTTCAGGTTCTTCAATATTTTACTCTTACAATGCCAATCCTTATAAATATGTATAAAATCTATATAAATAATTTATTATTACTTTTATATGGAAGGATCTTCAAAATTTGAACAATCAAAATCTTGAATTGTTAAAGCATTTACTAAAATCTTAGCTGCATTCAAAGTTTATCTTGTAATATCAGCTCCTTCTTATTTGACTGAAGATAATCCTCTTATATCATCAGCATAAGGTAAAAATATGAGATGTAATCCTGGGGGTGTTTAAAAATGATTTTCATCATATTATTCAGCTTAAGGAAGTAATGCACAAAATCTCACTTAAGATCCTTATTTAGGAACTAATCTAACAATTCCTATTTTCTCTTTCAATATCATTTATTAAATTAATGCATCAAAAAATTATGAAGATCCATTTACATGTTCATCATCTGGATATAAAAAATAAGATGCTCTATAATTATGATAATCCTTCAATGCACTTGAAGATTTAAAACCAATTAAAGTCATTCCAGGTTTTTCAAATCCTTTTATTTTAGCCATATATTCTTTTGGAATTGCTATTTTTTCATTTCCCAATATCAAATGAGTAGATATTTATTAAGGGAAAAGTGCTTACCCTGTTTCTTCATCAATAAATTATGCTTTCTTTTTAAGTTATTAATTATATCTCCTATCTAAGGGTTTTCCAGTTGGTTTTTTAGCTTTATTGACTAAACAATATATTTTTAATCCAATTTTAATATCATCTATATCCATAATTAATCTATTCAAAGCTCTTTTCTTAAATTCTTTTTATTTAATTCTTTAATGCAAATCCATAATTTTAGTTGATGTGTCAAGTACAGCATTATTAACTTCATCCAAATCAATAGTTATGATCTCACCATAAAATCTAGCAATTTTGAATTCATTTTAACTTGGTAATGGAAATAGTTCAATCTATACATCTGCATCCTTTAATTATTTGGCATATTTCAAAGCTGATGATCTAGCATTCTAATCTTTAAAATAAGGTAAATCATCTGGAGTGAATAAAAATATACGCATATTAAATTTATTCTTATCTCTAAAATATATTGATAATAAGTTTACAATTCTTTAAATTCATGATTACATAACCATAAACATTCATGAAAATGTGCATTATTACCTAATTGATAATCTTTTTCAAAATTTTGCTCTATTTTTAAACAATTTTTAATAATATCAGCAGATGGTCCATCTAATTTATAGATTTCTGTAATGTTATTGAATTTTAATTGATTATTAGTGGATTTCTAATTTTATAGATATTAAATACTGTATTGTAAAATATCATACCAATACGATCATCAGGACTTGATATGATTTTTGCCTTCATAAAACTAGAAAAAGCAGATAATATTTTTGAAAATACTGTGCCTTATCCATCTAAATCCATATCGAACAATGCTTTTTTGCAATCAACTAAAAATATGACTGCATCTTTTTTGCTTCCTGCATCATGTACTGAAATATCAGCATCTTCACCAAATATATCTTCTCCATCTTAGATTTCTTCTATATCATCACCACCTGCATGTTCTTCTTCAAAATCCATTTAATTTATTATTAATTTAATGAACAGAAACTCTACAGAATTATTTTATTAATTAATATCATTATAATTATTGGAATGATAATTTGGAAAAGTTCAAAAAAAAAAGGATAAGATATTTTTGTCCTTTACTTTGTTTGATGTTAATTTAATTAACTATCTTAATAATATATTCAATAATAATCAAAATTAATAAGGCTTTGAATATTATGGCATAGCTTGTCTTACTTAACAATTTTAATTTATTTGTTATGCCATTTGTTATAGTTAATTATACTGAAGAGTCAAATAGGAATAATTTTAACACAATAATGATTTCTCTTGTTATAATTAATTTATTCTTCCTTATAAATATAAATTCTAAAATTTATTTCAAGTTTCTAACCTATGCATTTAACTATTATATTTATATGACTTAATTTCTATTTTTCTCTTCCACCTATTGATAATGCATTGTATCTAAATTATCCTATACAGTATTTTGTCTTGGCTAGCATTATTCCTCCTTTGATAATCCTACTAAAATTATTAAACTATGCTAAATACCTTAAATTAATATCTCAGGATTTTTAAATTCTTCTTAGGTCTTGTCCCTCTTTACTTTTTTAGACGTTCTTCCTTCTTTTCTAAAAATCTACATGATAGCCTTTGCTGTTGAAAAATTGATATTCAATTCTCTAGCAGCACTTTTTATTGTGCAACCTGTAGTTGTTACCTGCTTAATAAGTTTTTATCGCTGTTCATTTGATATTTTCTAGTACTTTAACCCATGCTTACCTAATTGAAAATCTTAATAAACTTTACCTTTATATCGAGACAGAAGTTCTTATTCTTCCTCTGGAGTTCTCTTTAGTGAAGATTTCTGGTTCAAATCCTTTACAAAATCATAAGAAGAGTCTGAGGATTCTGAGTCTTTTGATGATGTCGAACTCTTATTCTTTTATTATTCTTATGGTCTTTCCGCTTAAGAAAGTTATTAAATAGAAGTCATACAATTTGAGTATATCAATTTAAAAAATAATTGAAAAAAATGTTGAATTTAGCACTTTTTATAGTATTTTTTTTTATTCTTTCGTAGTCTTATTTATAAATAATGATGAGAGTTGTGATCAGTTGTAAAAAGTATAATTCGAGATGTGTTTATAGGTATAATTTAAATATTAAACTTTCTCTAAATATATTTAAATATAAATCATTCTTTGATTGAATATTTATTTATATATAAAATATATCATCAAAAATATTAATTTTATTCATTATTAGAATATCTCATTTAAATTGATAAAAGTATATGCAAAGATCATCCTCATAGTCTCTAAATTATATGGAAGTTTCATTTCAACCAAAATAAAACAAAAGTTAAAAAAATCTTATTGAATTGTTTTTAGATTGATTAAAAATTGAATATATGAAATAAAAGTGTATTGATAACTTTATAAAAACTCAATTATAATATTAATTAATACCTTTTATTAAATATTACAAATAGTATTTTAGTAGTTATTAAATTATTATGATCTTCAGTTATAAATAGACTATATTTGAAATCAATATGGATTTTATTAAAAGGATTGAAATAACAATTAATAAATTGATATTTGTAATGATTTTATATTTTTGAAGGAGATTATTTGAAATAATTTTATTAAAACAAAATTAGGATATTTCACAATATCATATGTTCAATTTGAAATAGTTTTTGTACTACATTTAGATCTAATTAGAGATCAAGTTAGTTCTTACTAAAGACTTTCAAATAATCCATTGATTTATTTTATTCTAATACTAATTCATCCTAATTTAGTTTTATTGATAGATTATACTTCATCTTAATTATTTAATTAAGTTTTGACAAGAATGAATGGAAATCTTATTTTCTCACTTTCATCTACATCTCTCATTTTATTTAATTCTACAAGTTTTTTAAGGCTTTCTTATTATTTAATTTGATTTGTTGCAGAAGTTTTCTTTATTTATAATTATTCTTTTAAATTTTGCTGTTAAAATTAATTTTAATTTATTACTTTTCTAATTATTAAATTCTATTTTGTTAGATTAACTTATGTTTCTGTATTCTTTCTTATCAATTTCTTCTCCTTAATTACTATTCCAATTGAAATCATGACATTTAATGCATCATAAACTCTTCTTCTAAGATTTTTGATTTCTTTTTGTTTATCATTGTATTATCCATTAAACTCTTAAATCATCTCCTCTGTCAATTATTAACAAATATCACTATAAGCCATAGCTTCATTTGATAATTCCATCATAACTCTATTGCTGATGTATTTTAGACTCCACTTCTTCTGAGATTTTATAGGATCTAATTGAATCTTTGGTTTATCGAAGGGTTCAATCTAAACAAATAATTTCTTATTTGTGGTTGCTTGTGAATTGCAATTAGCTTCTGAATCTAAAAATATATTTTTTTGTCACAAAATTGTTGTATAAGCGCGAAAATATTCCGCCATAACATGTAATATAATATTAGAAAAGTAGATGAGAAAATTAAACATACCTTACATTAAGCCTTTAACAGGTGTCTGGAAGATATTTATTGCCATTGAGTCTTCATCTAATCTGAATTATCCTGTGAAATCCATATTAAAGTAATTTAATAAATTATTTATACAATTTAATTCTTCATAAATTATGCTTATGAATAAGGGATATCTATATGTTATAATCATCTAATAAATAATAAGATTTATGAAAACAAAATGAACAATATTAATAAAAAAATCCTTTGAATATTTATGATTGCAGAAATAATATTATATTTTATGAATATATTTTGAGTAGAATTCAATCCCAATTGAACTTATTTACTCTATATTCTTAAATCTATGTAAAGTAATCATTAATAATATATGTCCAAATGCTTAAAACTTACTTTATAGGTTAAACTGTATTGATTCTTTAATTTAGGAATACCAATTGCCAATTTTTCAAAATATATTCTTTCTTAAAATCAAATTGCTTCTAATAAATTACTCTAATTATTAGTCATCAACCTAACAATTAAATATCATTTAACTCTTTCAATTTGATATTTATTACTTAGTCTAATTCATTTTGAATGATACATTTAGGATTTGCAATCTATAACATAATATGACTTATTATTACATTAATTGCTAACTTGTAAAAGTTTAATCTTTGTTCTTAAGCAGCACTTCTTAAAATATAAAGAACAAAAAATATTTTCATAGATTCCAAAAGATATTCTACATTTATATATATATATGATAATAGTTTAATTACCAACTTATATATTAAATCTAAATTTATTATCTTGGGTAATTTGATCAAAAACTTTTAAAAACAAATCTAGATAAGAATTTACTTATGAAATATTGAAACATAAATATTATTATCAATAAATATGATTAAAAAATAATATATTAAATATGAACACACAACAATTATTTTATATAAATTATAAATCTCAATTATTTTGTATCAATTTTCTTCTTTTTTAAAATCAAAATCAAAGATATCTATTGATGTTTTCAAAAATTATTCAGTTTAACTTATTTTACTATTCTTTATCTACCATTGTTAAAAGTTGTGTTAATTTATGTCATTAACATTGAAATTTGGAGTTTTTATAGATTATTATTTAATCTAATCATTATTTGAATTTTCAAAATTTGAAAAGATCAATTAATGTTTTTCTTCTTAAACTTCTGTCATCTTAAATTTACTTCTGGGTATTTATTCAATCTTTTATTTACTTTAACAGGAAGATTAAGGTTTCTTCATATCTGAATCGAAATTATTTGATAATTCCTGTTAAGATTTTATATCTATGTTATCAAAAATGATAGATTCTACTAATGGATTGTTGTGAAGATTACTCAATGTTTCAGAATCAAATGGATTTTTACTTGGAGACTGAAATATTTATAGCTATTATTATTCTTAAAATATTAAATTATCATTATGTAAACTATTTGAACTAATTTAACTTTAAGCAGCATATCCAAGTATCATACTTTCTGTTTAGCTTTACTCTTAAATCGAAATTTCTTAATCAAAAGATGAAGCTTAAAGTGTATTTTATAAATTAAAAATTTAGTTATCTTTGGATATCTATAAATTATTTTATGGTTATCTAAAATGAACCATCTATTGTTAAATACTATAATCTAAAACTAGATATTTCACTTTAGATTTAGGTTGATAACATAATTTTTTAATGAATTCATCTTATGATATATCAGATTCAATTTTTTAATCATCTACATTAAAAACTATTTTTCTTGGTGATTTTGATTTTTTAATATTCTAATTTTATTATGAATTATAAAATTTATTATTGATATATTTTTCAATTTAAATATTTCTTTAATTTAAATACATTCTTACAAAAGTACATATCTTAGAAAAATGAAATGATAAAAATTTTAATTATTCAAGCATATCTTCAATAATAAAATGGTTTAGTTGTACTTTAGGTATATTTACTTAATTTTTCAAAATATAATATTATTGGATTACAGATTTATCTTTTAATTTTATTAGGTTTATATATTTATTATTCTAAATCTAATAATATTTAGAGTACAAATCATCAAAAATGTATTATGAAGTAAAAATTGGAAGGTATGGATTGAATTTAGAATATTCATATGTTTAATAAAATTATAGAATCGATTGCTAACATAAGTCTAATAATTACTGCGTAATCAAAGCAGCCTTGGATGGAATAATGTGACACATTTATGATGGAGATGGAGGTGGCTATAAAGATACAAGAGATTCTGTACGAGATATTTTAAGAGTATTTTAATTTTCATCTGATTATTGACTATTAAATTATACATTCAAAATAGGCATTTATTCTCCTTTTAATTTAAGTTTTATTATTAAAAATCTATGTATAGTTAATGAACCCTTCTCATCAAATTCATAAATTAAAATAGATGGTTAACATTAATAATGAAATTCTTTATTATCTCTTATCACTTTATAAAGTCCAGGTCTAGAACCTAGATATTCTTCATAAGGTAAAACATAATTTAATACTGATACTCCTTTGATAATATGAGAAAATGAAGGAAGATGGATAGGATTTCCTTCTTAATCATCTATAGTTCTCAGATCTTAACCACATACTTATAATACAAATCCATCCTAAATTCCATTTGGAATAACAACAATAAATTTAGCTTCATGAGTTTATATTATAGTTATATTCCAATCTGATTCTGTAATTTTAGTTAATAAATGATTGTATTTCACATTTTACAATAAGTCTTCAAGATGTTTTTGTTATTTAGCTTATTTTTTTAATGGATCATAATATAATATGTAATGTTCAAATTAATTTTAAGATAATGTTGCAAATGATAAATAAAGATGATTTTCATGTATTTATTTGATATAATATTCTTTAGAATATACTATATCAATATCTATAGAAATCTATTCTTTATTCTCAAAATCTTATAAAATATATAATTAGTTATCTAATATTTAAAGTAAAGATATTTAATTTTTTAATTTGAATATACAACTTGCATCATTACTATGAGTTGTAATTTATTATAAAATATCATTTTTATATTAATATAATACGAATTAATCAGTATAAGTTTTAATTTTGAGTAAAATGTAATCATCTAATATAGAGATTCTTTTTATTGAATTTTGATTTAAAATCTTTTTAGTTATCCATTAATCATCGAGATAATTGCATAAATAAAGAGATGAATTAGTTTATATAAGTATTTATTCTTAAAATTAATACAAACCATAAATAAGTTCACAAGGATGAGATGTAATTTAATAAGTTTAACATTTATGTGGTAAATCAAGTAGAATCTATTAAATATTTAATGGATTTAAAATTAATATTTCTCTTTCATGTCCTATAACTTAAAAATGCTTATAATTTATAGCTAAATTAGCAGAAGAAATCCAATTTTAATGCAAATGAAATATATGATCAATTTTACCACTACCAAAAACTATTTATGAATCATTAACTTTTGTAATTAATTAAAAATTAAAAGGAGGATTTGCTAAATTCATAATTTCCCTAGGATCATTTTATACAACAGTAAATTAAATATCATCAAATTATTTATAATAATTTGTATAAAATGATTTATCCCATTCTTATTCTGATTATCTTGATAAATCATTTGAAAATTCTTATTAATTTATAAATTCATAAGCATTTAAATATCCAGAATCATCTATTATTATTATTATGGGATATTCATCAGTACTACTAAATGATTCTTAACTTTTTTTAATTATATGATATTAATCTTTATTCATTAAAGTTAAGCCTCTAATTCCTTAAGTTTTAAGTATTTCTACTTTCTTATCTTTATTATTATTATTATTATTATTTAATATATTTAAATATTCCAAATTCCAAAATATTAGTGTACTTAAATTTGTTCCATAAAGAATAAAAAGTTCATTTATAATTTACATTCCAAAGTCTCCATTATTATTTGTTTCATTTATAAGATCTATTTTTAAATTGTCTATTTATTAATTGAAATTATTTGATGCCAAATCAAACCATATGATTTCAGCATAATAAGATATTTTTTCTATAATATTTTAATTTTTTAATTGATATCCACAAATACATAACAAATTTTTAATAATATAGATTGATTTAATTTATATTTAATTGATATTTACATTTAAATTAAATTCTTTTATTGAACTATATAAAATATTTGAATTCTTTTTCATATAATAGTAATCATTTTCTACATAAAATCCTGCTTATATTTATGTATCTTTAAGAATTACTTAATTTTAATATGATATCAAATCAATAAGTACAAGCTTATCTTCTAAACATAGAAATAACTTATTGATTTCAAAATTTAATGATAAAATATTCTCATAAGTAAATGCTTTTGATAATATAAACTAAAATTGAATTTTTGATATACATTTTACTAATTAGTTTAGAAAATTAAAATAGTCTTTTCTGTCCTTACTATTATTTAATTTCTTATATTGTGCAAGGATATAATATTTCCATAATTTAGTGTTAATTGTTAATTAGGAAAATAATTTGAAAGATTTTCTGAAGAGAATTAATCTAATATACAATCATAGAATAAAATGGAATCTTTTTAAGCAACTAATATTTAATCATTTAAAATAGCTAATTAAGAACTTGAGTTTGGAAAATAAGCAGAATATTTATTATTATTTACAATGCTTTGATCAATACTATTCATTTGATCAACAAATTAATAATCCATTATCATTTATACTCTATATTATAATCTATTGATATACTTAGTTTATTCTTGATTTAATTAATTAAACCGTCTATTTATATGATTGGTATTAAGATTTTGATGGAGATGAAAGCATACGAACTTATTAATTTTCATAATAAAATTTATATATATATATATTTTGATTAAATGCTTCATTATTTAATAAACTATTTATAATTTTCAATTAAATTAGATGCAGATGAAAATATTTAAATATTTTTATTTTCTTACAATTATTCGATAATAAGAATACAATCTTATATTTTAAAATAGTAGGTACTATTATAATCAAGTATTTTTTGTATAATTGTAAGTGCTGCTTATAATTTAGTAGCATCTATTAGATCAGTCATCAATATATTTTTACAAAGATTAAGTAAAATAGATAATTATTGGTCATCAAATATTTCTATATTACAAACCTCTAAACCCAATAATGTAAATTCTTAACATTTTAAATTATAGAAATAATAATGTTGTGTTGAATTAAATTCTTAAGCAAATATTGAACATTTAGAATGTTAATGCATAACTTACATAAGTTTCAATATTTCTATCTTTGCTAAGTTGACTTCATATTATTACCCATTTCTAAATAATATACGAAGATCATCATATAATATATCATATAATACACTTTGATCACTTACTTTTCTAAAGATTTTAGTAATAGTTCTTATTCCTGCCACAATACCAAGTTGATCCTTATCACATAATTTTTATCTTAAGAAACTGGTCAAATTAGGTAAAGACATCATTTATTAAATGAATTAATCACTCATATCTTTAAGTTAATCTAATACTTGACTAATAAAACCATAAACAAACCAAACTACATTTTCTTTATATTCACAATTATTTTATGAAGGAATTATTAGGATATGATTCAAAATTTATGTAAAAAGATCAATATCAATAGTTTCTAATCTACTTCTAAACCAATCATTCATAATTCTAGCAATATTATTTTTTATATTTTAATCATCATATTTTTACAATATTTGTAACATCAATTAATCTAATTAATTTTCTATATAAATAGATCTAATTTTCTATTCATGAGTAATAGAATTAGCTAATCCCAATAATGAATGACTTAGAAAAATCTGATTTTCATGATAAAATGAAATTTTAACTAAATCTATTAGTAACTAAAGTATTCCTTATTTTAATAGCTCAGAACACAGTTCATAATTACTATACATCATTTATGCTAATAACAATAATGAATCAGATCTATATTCAAGTGAGAGGTTTTCATTATAAACTGTTTCCTTTAATAAATAAACAACATCATTTGCTTCCACTAACATTTTTATTGCATAATGAGAATTATCATCTATATAATATTATTATTAAAATACCATCATCTGTAAAGTGAATTGCAGGTTTTAATAATTCAAACCTCAATTCATCTGTCAAAGTAATATCTTAAAACTATTTGATTAGAGAATCAAATTATTTAAAATCATAATTGATCTAGTTCAATTACTAAAGATTTCTTTGTCTTTACTTATCTCTAAGAGTACTGATTTTTGATTCTCTAAAAGTTACTAATAAATTTAAACCTATCTTAATTTCTAATTTCTGTAGAATATTGTTGAACTGCATATTAAGATTGTGTTAGTTGAAAATTCATATTATATTAATTATTTTTAGTAAAATATATAAAAGTATATCTATCACACACACTAATATACAAAAATTAAGACAATCATCATGTGTATTTTAATATAAAGTGCAAACTATAAACGATTATTAAATAGCCTTAGAATCAAAAGAAAGAATTTTTGAAAAGGCTATTTAATATTTGTAAGAAAAAGGATGAGCTAATGTATAGAATAAATTAATAAATAATAAAGTAATTGCTCTATTTGAAGTATTCACAAATAATTCTATTAATATAGATTAATTGTGATATAAACTTTGTAACCAGAACTAGTTAATTTATAGAATTTTTGACAAATTTTATTAAAACAATTCTTAATTATTTAAATATTTTAATAGTTCAAATATTGATTCTGTTTTAAACTAAAGCTAAAATTATTTCTACTTTTGGACAAATAATTAAATTTAGTTAGTGCTAACTTAAATTCATATTTGCTACAAAAAAATAGTTTTATAGAGATAGTGTTTGTAGAATTAATCACAAAATAAGGATTAAATGATTTTATGGCATAAATTTTATGAAAAATGAACAAATAATTTGAAAGTCAATTATTAAGGCTTAAAACCTAGATTCATTTATGATAATGAAGTTGTCTAAGATGCAATTTATTATTATATATGATTAGAAGTATATAATAATTTTGAATCAAAAATTACTTAATTATAAAATTAAATTGTTTAGGGAAAGATTCAAAATTTATATTCAATTTTAGAATATATAATTTAAATGAAGATGAACAAAATATATAAAAAAAAGATTAATTAAGAACAATGTCAAAATTGGTAGATATCTATTCTTAACAATATGATTTTATATCATATAATCAGAGGGAATATGATATTTTCTTATTTCCTAAGGTCTTCTCCACTATAACTCATATATGGTGTAATTTCAACTAATTCATTATCCTAAGTTCCTTCTAGTTACAAGTATCTTTTATGAACATTGGAGAGTTAAATCACTGCCTTTTTTGGATCATCAATTAATAGAGCGTAATCTTCTGTCTAATATAAGATAGTGGAATTTGCTATTTCTATTATATCTTATATATGTTTTTCAAATTAGATTGTTGGTCCTCTTCTTATAACATGATATCTTTAAGAAAATTTCATTGACTTTTCATGATTTGATTTTAAATTGTTTAGAAAAGCAACAGATACATACAAGTCATTTAAACACATCTTTGCTAAATTTTCAGGATTTTCTGTCATACTAGAATCTTAAGTTTCCATTGTTTTAAAATAGCCATTCTAATAAAATATTCTATCATCTTATGTTGAATTTGTTTCGATTACTTTACAAATTACATCTGTCTAATTTTAATTCATTAAATTAAGCATAATAGGATCTAAAGGAAGTCCTGCCAAATTATCAAAACCCAATAAATGAATATATTACATATTTGGAAATTTTCTTATATTAAATTAAAACAATATTACTTTTAAAATGTTGACAATTATAAGAATATGCTTCCTGTACCATTTGGTGCTAAAACAGGTTAATTTTATTCAAACATCACCTATCCATATTTATTAATAATTGGTAGTGACTTTTACTGAATTACATGTATGTAAGGAAACCCAAAATCTTTTTTGTTTTTAAGGTATTATTGAAAGGCAGCAGCATTTTAATCAGAAACCAATATCCCAATAGGGAAACCACTAAAATCTGTAGTTTCTTAGGCTTATTATTGTTAAATTTGATAGAGTACCCATAATGATAATCTTTTTTAACCGTTCCATCATAATTTAAAAAATACATTTTTTGGATGGAAATCCAATATCCTTAAGGATTTTATTAGGCAATCGAGAACTATTGCCACCACATAATAAAATCAAACCAACTTTACGTTACTAACTATTTTATAAATATAATTACCTTAATTAGATCAAGGTCCTTATCCACTTGAGTATTACAAAATTTAATTTATCCTTTGAATATATCCATATGAGTCTATTTGCAACAATGATAAAATAACTAAATAATTGTATTATTATAGATACTGAGTCCACTGTCTCAAAATCTATCCATTCTATTTTAGACATAAATTCTTTTTTTTCTTAAGTATTCATTACACTAAGTAATTTTAAGATGTGTTCTTATTTTGCTGCAATAATTCTTTGAATTAATGAATTATAAGTAGTGTCAATTTTTTCATCTACTGTTATTTTAATACTTACTCTAAGCAAAATCATTTGCTAAAGTTTCAAGTTTCTAATATGTTGAATATCGATTAAAATCTAATTCATTTGTGATATTTTCTGTCTAAACCTTGGAAGTACATTCTCCCATTTATTACTTTTTATAAATAAAAATAATTTATATTAGCATATTCAAAATTCACTTTTATTATTTTCGTTTTTTATAGAGAATGAAAGTTTTCAATAATCCTCATTTCCATTCTAAAGGCAGTTCATCTAAACCTTCTTCACTCTAATCTTCAAGAGTAGGTGGCAGCAAAATAATAGGAAGTCCATAAGGATAAGAATAGGACCTTAATGAAATGTTATAATCACTTAATCCAACATAAATTATAGCATAGGAAGAAGAATCGAAGTTTGATTTAATATAAGAAATGCAATAGTTGAAAACTAAAGTATTAGGTTTACTTAAAAAATACTAAGTAATGTTGTAAAATGAGAATGCAAAATAAGTGAAGAGTAAAATTAAGTCAGATGTTCAAGAAATTTAAATTGAATATGAAGATATAATAGCATAATATTAGATAGATCAAAGTCAACTTGAAATAGAGAACAATATTCCAACTGTATAAAAAGAGAAAGTAATAATTATTTATAATATAAAAGGAATTGAACACTTATTTTAATTTAGTAGAAGAATTCTTAGAGAGATTCTCTCATCATAAAGCTACATTGAATTATTTTTCAATTTTGTAACAAGAGAAAATGAATCGAAATGGATTAGGAGTATTCTCTGTTGATCAAGATGGCAGATAATCTATGTATGATTTTTAAGAATCATTACCTGATTTAACTGATAGCAATAATTCAGAAAATACTCATGAAGCTTAATAAGCAAAGATAGCCTTATCAAATTCATAAAAGTTAAGAAGTTAGATTAGAAGACGTTTCTTTGATTTAGCATTGAAAGTAAAAGAAGGCTTACCACTTTATCATCCAGGTAGATAAATCTTGGTTTCTATTCTTTTTGAAGATGCAGAAGAAGAAGGAATTGATGAAAATGAATGGGAATCATGGATTGTGAAATAATTAAATAAATGATTTATAATGTTATAAGATGAGATCATGAAACCTTCTTTTAAATTAAGTGATTTATTCAAGTACCAAGACTAAATTCTCTATACTGATTCTCTTAATAAAACAAAGTCTTTGGCTCCTTCAAAACTTCTCTAAAAAATATATTTGATATTATTAATAAGGCATTTCAATTCACTATTGGAGAATTTACTTAAAGCATAAAAAAAGAAAGAGTAGATTAATAAATTTGTAGATATTGAATGTTAATAATTGCAAGTGTAATAATAATTGGAAAAGAGAATTTAATAAATAATAATTGAAGATCTTAATTTATTAGTATTTGCATTATGTCATATTTCAAAACCAATAGTTGATTTCCTGGAAAATCATTTTATTGATTATGCTGAAGAGTTGTAAATAACCATTTGGGAAATTAATCTTTAACTTTTTCAACCTAGAATTATTGAATTAATTAAATAACATATAGCCATAAGTATGAACATAGTTACTGGAAACTTATATTCTCATTTATTAGAATAATCATATTAATTAATATGTAGTCTATCATTTGAAGTTAGTGATTAGATTTGGTTAATATTAGATGAATGCAGAGGTTACATAGAACCTTTTATTTCTAAATTTCGAGAAATAGTAATACATATTAAATATTATAGACCATCCCATAGAGATTATTAAATAAATATACTATCTTAGCATTATTCTAAGAATTAAGTTAGAATATCTATTAAACTATATAAGACCTTTTGGAATTTACACTATTTCATTATGCTGAACTTGATGTTATTGAAAAATTTATGAGATATGCTATTGAAAATTACGATACATTAATGTTGATAAATAAAATACTATCTAGCTCAGCGTAACAAAATGAAAATATTATCAAAATATCAGTTGATTAAGTATTAGATTATCTACAAAAATGTTTCACTAATAAAAGTAAGTCAATCGCTGTATATAAAATTTAATATAGGTAAAAGTTACAAAAATTATTAAATAAAGATAATGAGGATTAATGTACTTAATCAACTGATATTAAGTCTTTTAAAATGCAAAAAGATATTAGATATTATTTAAATGGTTTATATTTGGAGAGTGAAGATCCTTAATCAAAATTTATCATCTATGTTATGAATGAAGAATTTAAAGTGATATATGCTCCACTTGTTAGTAGAAGATTGGCATTTTATAAAGTAAATTGATTATATTCTATTTGTAATTGATTAGTAAGACAAGGGTGGATTCTTTAAAAAAGATTCTAATAGAAAATCAGGTTGGGAAGTTTACCCAGTAAAGTTTAGATCAATGAAGGAATTGATTCATTCTAGTTGAATTCATGAATTATTGGCATTAATGATATTAAATTAATATTAAGAGGATGTGTATTAATTAAGAAGAAAGGTTGGAGGAGAGATGGATACTATGTTTGGATCATTTTTAGCTAATATTAATAGAAATAAGTATATAAAAAATCTATTAGTAGAGAGTTTTTACAAAATTTCTGTGAAAATGCTGTGAATAATGGATGTATGCAATAATTAATTGCATATATGCCTTTACTTAAAGAATTTTTAAATTTAGGAGGGTTTGGTGCATAAGCATTATTAATAAGTTAAGAAATTTATACTCCTTAGAGAACATTTACTTCTACATTAGCTATATCGACTTCGTTTTGGTGTCAGGTGCTATAATTGATTAGACTTTGATTCCAATACCATTGGTAGGAGGTATTGTTGGAGGAATTATTGGAGGTTATTTGGGAAATAAGGGAATGACCAATTATACTAAGAGTAGAAATGAGAAGAAATCTTAAGAAGTTGTGTAAAAATTATTATAAAATTAATTATAAGATGGTCATTGGGAATGCAATAAGATCAATTTGGATATTATGGTTATAAATTTTAAAATATTAAATGATTACATACCCAAAGTTTTAAGTGAGGATAGTGAGAGACAAACAAAATGGATAAATTTAGTGATATTTGCAGTATCGAGTTTGTTCTTTAATTCAAACGATACAGTGGGAGTGTGGCAAGAATGTTTAGACTGTTTACTAAAATATATATAAATTGAGAAAATATCATTGGCAGATACTCTAGAAAATTTAAAATAGATAGTTGAAGTCATAGTAAAAAATCTTTGACTTTATATTAATTTAAATATGAAAATACCTCTTAATACTCTTGAGTAGCCTAAAGAAATCGACCGTCGTGTAATTTCTTACAATTTAAATTTAGATCTTGGCATCAATCTTAACAAGCCCCCACTTCTTGGAAGAGTTGCTTTAATTAGTGAATGACAAGAGTAATGTTATCCACAAATTATCTTTGGGATCTTTAACTTTACTTATGGATAAATTAGATGATTATATAGAAAATATGGCTTAACAAGTATAATAAAACTCTAGGCATGATTGTTCGTAGTTGTTAAACCTCATTAATAGTTTAATGGAATATGAATGTTATAGGTAATTATTTTAAAAAATTTTGATAGAAAATTGTTTAATTCATTAGAACATCTGTTAAGCATAGTGGAGCATACAGATAATTTGTAAAATTATGAGACTATTATGAACATTCTGATCAAAATCTGTGATTAAGCAATAAATATAAACAATCCTTAATAGAAAGAAATTTGCAATTAATAATTAAGAGATAATATTCCTAGATTGATTTATCTGAATAGATTTCTTTTTGATCATAATAATACTCTTTCATCTACTAAACTTGAATTGATTGATTATTATCATGATGATCCAAATTATTTTGCCATTACAGATAATCCAATTTAGTTTCCTTAATTACAATTTGAATATGTAGAACCAACTATTTTAGATGAATCCTATGCAGATTTATGTAAAAATGGTGTTCATAAGAAAGAATTACAGCATTAAACATCAATTAAAGTATAATATATTTATTTAATATATTTAGAATTTTAATATTTAAGATGATAAATCTATGTCTGCACTTCTTTTAGCTAGAACAATATTAGATTAGAAAGATATGCCTTTAACTCCATTAATAGAAGCAGTAAAATATAGAATTTTAATTTACAGAGGTTTATCTGAAAATAAAATTGAAACAAATACATTAGTTTTAGGTATGCACATTTTATCACTTGAAATGAATATGTTATTAGATGCTTTCTGTTCAACTCATGATTGTGCTTTCTTGTTAGATTAAGTATTTATTGAGAAAATTGAATATGAATAATACTTCAGTATTTATACTAAATTATTTTAATTGAAAACTGTATAACCTAAATTACTTGTAACTATTTTATCAACTTTGGATGAAATATTAATCACAGAAAGATAATAAGATAATGAAATTGCATTAAACACAGCTAAAAATTATGATGAAACTTTTTTACAATTGATTTATGATGTTTTATCAATGTAACCACATTAAATTGAAATTGAATCAAGTTACCCATTAAAATATAATGGATAATTATTAAATGAATAATGTGCTAAAGATGAAGAAGTTGCTTGTGGTATATTCAAATTATTTTCATCTGAATCTGGAGTGTTATTATTAAGTCGTAGTAATATAGCACTTGGATCATCATAAGCTTTAATTAGAACACTCCTTATTTAAGATAATAAATCATTTTTGCCTCCTGAAATTCTTAAAGCAGGAATTGGAATGTTAGGAAGATTGTCTAGAAAAGAAGATTTATAAAGAGACCTTAAAATATTTAATGATCTAATTAAAGTAGTTGAAAACCTCATTTCTATAGGACCTAATCTTATCAAACCTACAGAATAAGGATTTTAACAAGTTACTTTTGATGAAACTGATTCTATTATTTCATTCTCTATCTAGAGTATTAATGAACATTTCAAAGACGATCTTGGAAGAAGATATAATAGAGCTAATGCACCTACAATTGCAAGAAAAGTATCAGAAACTTAAATCATTAAAAAACTATAAAATTTGTTATAAGACAGTAGATATACTCTTATAATACAATAAACACTCATTTTGATTTCACATCTTGCAAATGAGGTTCCTACTCTTATTGGAAGATTAATAGATTCTTAATTACCATAATAATTAAATTCGATTATACAGAGTATAAATTATACTTAAATTAATAATAAAATGGTTAATTCTATATTTTAATTCTATTTTAATGTTTCATTAAAAGAAGAAGGATATGATCAATTTAATACTTTTGGCTTATAATTCATGCAAAAAATTCTTGATTATTGTTTAATTTAAACTAATTAACCTAAAGATATATTAACATCTTTAGGATAGAATATTGCTAAATATCTACAAAAAATTGATAAAGTTGCTCCATAGGTAATTAATATATTGAACATTGGATTGGAAAAACTTTATAATTATTTAATTGAAAAGAGAAATAATTTAAAAGAAGACACATATTAATAATATTATGAAATTATTACTAAAATCTCAAATCTATCAATTTTAGTTTTCAAAATGATTCATAATTTACATCCATCATAATAAGCTGAAATGAATGCCTAAGGATTTTTTGAAAAATTACTATTGTTTTTTGAATTTCCTACTTTTGATTATAAAATTGACTTAACTAAAGTATTTAGATTATTTGCCTAATTAGATGAATTTGATAATCCATTTAAAGCATTATCTAAAGTATTTGTCTCAATTTCTAAATTGGAGAGTAAATTAGGTTGTAACTTAGAAAATTCAAATATTTTAATTGATGAATCATGTTATAGCTCTGAGAAATTCTTTCTTACATGTTCTTTAGACTAATTATAATAGAAATTAGAATTTGTTTCTTATTATTCTTAAACTGAGTCACTTATGGAAGTATTAAAACACTATTTAATGAATGGTTAAATCAGATATGAATAATAGGGAATAGGAAAATTGTTGAATAAGAGTTGTTCCTTGCTTTTAATATTAATAAGATCTATTAAGTATGGGTAAGATTAGAAGATGGATTAAGCTTTCAAAAAATCTGTTTTCTATTAATATATATAATTATTAAAGGTCATTATAATTAATTCATATAGAATTACAAGAAGAATTAATAATGAATTACAACCACTTAGCAATTTATTTTGTTAATTAAGTTAAAATTTAAGGAATGAAAATATTCAAGTAATTTAATTGCATTCTTATCTAATTAATGATTTATTAAATAATCTAGTTGAAGGTAAAAAGTATGCAGATTTTCAGAATTTGCATCCAGATTTTATAAGTCTTTTAATAAACTCTGATTTTTTAGAGAATCTCAAATCAGGAATTAGTTCATTTATATAATTGGTTGGTTAGAAAAGTAATATTGAATCTATAGATTTGCTTGGTTGGTAATATGCAAATATTATAAAATTAATATATCTTAATAAAATAGATTAAAGCAAGAAAATGTAAGGATACCTATTGATTCCAAAATAAATTGAAGAAATATAAAATCTACTTACAATTACCTAATGTTTATCAGATGATCCTATATATACAATTTAAGAATAGTTACTTAATAAAGCAATATTTATTTTCAGACCTTCATTCTTATAAGATTTAATATAGAAAGATAGAGATAACTTTTTCTAAAAAACATATTAAGGCTTAAGAGATGAAAATGGGGGTGAAGTAGATATACTTTAGTAAGATCCAAATGAAGTGAGAACAAAACTTAGAGATATGGGTTATCAAGAAGATGTAATAACAATTGCATTATAAAATAATGATATTTATGATGTGACAAGACTTACTGATTGGATATATGAAAATTTAGATTTAATTGAAGAATAGAAAGTCAAAATGATGGAAATTCAAAAGAATGAACCTTCCTTAGAAGTCATTACATAAAAAATTCATAATAAATAAAAGAATCTTAAATAATATATCTAAACAAATATGTTATATTTTAGTAAATTTGAAGAAAGTATCTTCTAATTATTGGAAGGATAGATTATGCCTTCATTATTAAAATGTTTAAAATAGGTTGTGTTTGAATAATTCAAAATTTAACTCAAATTCAAAGATTGTGAACCTGAAATCAAACCTCCATCTACTGATAATATGAAAGTCATCATTACAATTTTGCATTTTATATACAAATAAAAAAATCTTGTTGAAGAATATGAAAGCATTGTAACTGAATTAATGAAGTTGGCTTAGGAAATAATGAAATAATAGGATGATCTAAGCCTAAAAGCTATAAATCATATTTTGGCAATCTTAACCCTTTTTATTACTGATGATTAAAAAAAGAAAAAAAATCATCATGACACAGTAAATGATATCCTTTTGGGAGTGATTAACATCTTAAAAGGCAAAGTCCAAAATCATACAACTTCAAAAATTTGTATTGAAATTCTAGTTAGAGCATTTTAAGTAAACAAAGAAAATGTTTAAAAGTTTGTCTCTCAAATGAGAGGATTGGAATATCTGATTAGAATTAAAGGAGATTCACAAAATCATATGTTTCCCTTGACTAAATTAGTACTTTCAATTGTTCATGATAAGAGCTTAGTAATTGCTTAGATTGAAGCAAAAATTAAAAAGTTACTATATAATTAAGAATATAATAAAGAAATTGAAAATATCAATAAACAATAATAATAACCTTAATCATAGGTTCCATAATAACATTAAACTCATTATCCCATTTGTTTTTAACCAATTTATTATAATGTTCCTATAACAAATGACATAAAGATTGCCTCTAATCACCCAGCATTATTAACCATATAAAATCATACATTTTTTAAGGATGAAGTAAAAGAGGTCATGTCCCATTTATTTGAAGATGGAGAAACAATTGATGGAGTTAAGTATTTAAATCTAAGAAAAGGTTGTTCATTACACACTTTTGATTGTGTTTAACCTACTAGTTTTTAAAAGCATAAAGAACCTGAAACTGCAAAAAAAAGTAAATAGATCTAAAAAAAGAAGAAAAGCGAAGATAAACTATAATTGCAATCAAACTTTTAGCATACTTAAGAAGCATAAATTTTAATCAAATTATTAATATAATAGATGATAAGTTCATTTTTTGAAAATGAATAATATCAATATCATTGGTATACTATTACTTAAGTATTATAAATAATGATTAGACGTTATCCTGTTTTAATACCAAAATTAGTAAGAGTAAATTGTAGTAAATTATTAAAGCCTTATTCAAAATAATTAAGTACAGATTATCAAGATCTAGAATTACCTAGAAAAATCTCTTTTCTTACTCTTATTACTAGAATAATGACTCCTGCAAAGAATCTACTATTTGAATTATGTTTAGATAATGTCTTATTATATTAAATGACTAATAATAATATAGTTCCATTTTCAAATGAAACAAGAAGAAAAATTGTTAATGAATTGTATGATGGCATTGAAAAAAGAATTAAGTTATTTGATTCAATTGTTTGTTAATACTCATATACTTTGATACGTTTGTTATAGATAAAGTCTGTGGCAAAGATTTGTTATAGAAATATTCATGATACAGCAAATTCATTTAACTTTATTAAATTATATATGGATGGAATGAAGAGCTTTGAGTTAAAGTCATATTATATTTATGAAAAGGAATTACAATTCATTACAGAAACCCTAGCAGTTCTTTTCAATATGGCTATTTATCTTTTATTTTATAAGCCTACACCAATTATCATATCTAAATAACAATAAGAATAATATGGAGATCATTTTCAATTACAAGGTATGATAGGATAATTATTGCCAGAAGAAATTAATTCCCAATTAGTACCAAATAAAAGTATTTTATATCAAGATTCAATCAAATATTTCTAAAAATGGCCATTATTACCCATTTCATTTCTAGAAGAATTGAATTAAAATTAATAACATGAAGAAATAGAATTTTAATAGTTCTTATCTCCTTTTAGAAGAAGAAATAGACTTGTAAATGTTGAATTGATTGCAAATATTGATGAAGATGATGGTATGTTAGAATTAGAATATGATGATAATGATATGTAAAGTGAATAAAGTGGAGACTCTCATAATTCTCATGAATCAGCTCCAGAAGATCTTGAAGAAGAGGAAAATAGTTGGGTATCTAGTTAAAGTGGAAATAATCAAATAGAAGCTGAGGAAGCATAGAATTCTTCATCAAGTTGGACTGATGAAGAAGATGAAGATGAAGATAATGATTAATAAGAGGAAGGAAGTGAATAAGAAGAATAGGAAGAAGAAAATGCTTTAAATAGTGATTTATAGAGTGAAAATGAAGAAGATATTGATTAAGAAGAAGATGAAGAAGAACATGATGAAGATTAAGAAGAAGGAATTATTGATGAAGCAAATGATGGATTTGAATAAGAGGTTTAAAATAATGAAATTTCAGAAGAAAATATTGAAGTCACAAAACAATTTCATCATCTTACTAGTAGAGAAGATTAGGCATTTGCTAAAATGACTAAATCTATCACTCAATTAATTGGCATTCAATTTCCATAATAATTTGCCAAAATTTTAGATAAATTAGTTCATTCTCTACCAAAATTGAATTCACCTGATGATTCTCAACCAATTAATTGGTGGACAGAATTAACACAATATATCTAAAAATCATTTTAATTTGATGAGAGATCATACGGATAAGATTTGAGAATGCAACCACTTATTAGAGATAATAGATTCAGTACTGAAATCTTTAGAATTGATTAAAATGATAGGATCATTAACAGATTTTAAGCAGCAAGATTTGATTTAATTGATAGATTAGGAAGAAATGAATAGCTTATATTAGATAGATTCAGATCGTTATAATTTAGAAATAGACGAGAAGAATAATAACTTGAATTACAACTTTAATAATAACTTTAACCATAAGCCAATATGCATTAATAACAGTAATAAACTTTGTAACATCTCAACAGAGAATAATAATTTATGCGATTATTCAATTGGAATTAAATGTAATAAAGTTTATAACAACCACAATAATAATTACCTAATATTGCTTCTTTATAATAAACCTCTTTGAATTTATAAAACATATAAGATTAATTATAATAATCTTTCTTGAACTTATTAAATACTAATTAAAGCTTATAGTAATTCTAATTATAATATTAAGAGCAACAATAATTATAATAATCGTAACAATAATAGCAATAGTAATAATAATAATAATAGTAATAGCAATAGTAATAATAATAATAATAATAATAATAATAATAATAATAATAATAATAATAATAATAATAATAAATATAATAATAGTTAGATTAATAATAACTTTAACAACAAATATAATTTGAAGAGCCATAATTTAATGTACCAGAAGTAATGTAAATAGAACTATAAGTTTAAAAATCTGAATAATTATAAGAATAATAATAATAACAACAATAATAATAGTAATAATAACAATAATAATAATAATTCATGCAAACAGAAGAATAACCTTAAAAAGTAGAATAAACAAATTTAAATATTTAATAATAATCATAATCTTAAAATTTAGAATAACTTTATCCAAATACTTTCAATTTCTTATAAAGAGTAGGAAAATCTTTTGATGATCTACTAAACAACAATATTGATCCCTCAGTATTTGAAGATTTATCAGAAGATATGATGGCTGATATAATTTCCACTATCCCAGATAATAAAGAAATTAATAATATTGAAGGAATAGATCCATAATTTTTATAATCATTACCCCCAGAAATTAGAAGAGAAATTTATTAATAATATGTATAACCTACTTAAACTCAACCTTAATAATTATCAGACTTGGATCAATTAATCGCCTTAATTAATTAAACTCCTTATGATGATAGAGAAGAAATGTATTTGTAAATAAGTGCTGAATAAGTCAGAAATCTACCATAAGACTTAAGATAGGAAGCTACTTATATAAGAGAACGAGCTGATTAAAGAGCCATAGAATAGACAGAAAGATAATTGTACTATTAAATTGATCCGTAGTAATAACATTAACGTAATCCTAATCCATAACCATAATAATAAAGAAAAGAAAATCAAAAGTCTTTGAATTTGAAGAACTTACTCTAAACTTAAAGACATTTGGTTTAGAAATTAGGTAATGTGGATGATGAATTTGCAGAATCTCTACTTAGATTACTTTATGTTGAATCACATAGTTTTATGAATTTTCCAATTAATCTATTCATTGCTTTGACAAACAATCCAAATGTGGAATATAAGTTGATTGACGCTTTATTCTTCATTCTTAAGAATCATAATCATAGAATTGAGTAGAGTGAATTCCCTCCATAAATATTAATAAGAAGAAATGGATTAATAAGAGATTAAAGAAAGATATATGAGATAGTTTCATTAAAGATTTTGTATTTAATTTCAAAATTGCAGGGTCCATCAATAAAGTATTTCTTTGAAACAAAAAAATAACTATAATTGTAATCAATAGCCAGATTGTCAGAAGGTACTTAGAACCTTCCATTGTTATAATTAATTCAGCTTTTACCTATGTTTAAGGGTGATCATCAAGAATTATTGATATAAGCTATATCAAATATCACAACAAAGTAGAAGGATTTTAAACAAGATTAATTAAATTTAGATTAAAAATCTGTAGAATGTGTTTGTACAATATTATTGCAAAATATGAATAGAAGTGTTAAAAGCTTTTCTCATATTATCTTAAATCTTAGTAATAATAAAGAGAACCAATAATTGATAATAAAATATATAAAGGAATTTATTTAAAAAATAACCAGAGAAATAAATAATAATTTTGCCAAACAATGTTAATATGATGAGATCTTTACTGCAGATAAAGCTTTGATAAATGTATTTTAATTTGTTAGAGAAATGAATGATAAAATTGGTGAGAATAATGACCAACAAGATACAAGAAGTAATTTCAAGGAATTGTTAGAAGATTAAGGTTTAGTATAATTATGGAGAAATTTGATAAAATTATTATAAGACATTCCATAAGAAAAATTAGCAAAATTAAGTACTAAAATATCTCCATATTTGGAATGCTTTTTCATTATATATTAATTAGTTAATCCTATTAGAAAGAACAAAAACATTTAGAGAGAACCAACAAAGATTGCTAGTATGGAAGGACAATAACAAGAGGTTTAAGAATAATAATTGCATGATGAATTATTCTAATAGATTTGCGAGAGTGGCAAGGTTCTATTGAATATGATGATTAGAGAAAGATTGTAAGAATTGAGAGAGAAAGGCAAAATAGTTAATGATTCTTTAGGAGTTATAATATTTAAGAATCCTAGAATAGTAGATTTTGATAATAAATAGAAATATTTCAAGATGGAATTGAAATAATTGAAAATGTAAAATAACAGACATCATTATGGAAATGTAAATATAAGATGTAGAAGAAAGGATATATTTATGGATTCTTATCATCGTATAAGTAAATTAAAACCAGAAGAATTGAAAGGTAAATTACATGTAGAATTTGATGGAGAAGAAGGTATTGATGCAGGTGGAGTCTCTAGAGAATGGTTTTTAATGCTTTCAAAAGAGATTTTCAATCCTAATTATGCTCTCTTTACTCCATCATTAAATGGTCAAATGTTTTAACCAAGCAATAAATCTCATGTGAATCCAGACCATGTTAAATATTTTAAATTTATTGGAAGAATTGTAGGTAAAGCATTATATGATGGATAATTATTGGATACATATTTTACTAGATCATTTTATAAACATATTTTGGGTTAGAAATTAACAATTCATGATATGGAAGATATTGATTTGAATGAATACAATAGTATGAAGAAAATTTTGGAATAAAATGTTACAGATTGGGGAATCTATTGGACATATAATGTTGATCATTTTGGTAAACTTGAAGAAAGAGAACTAATTGAAGGAGGAAAAACTAAATTAGTAACTGAAGAAAATAAATTGGAATATGTTCAGACTTATTGTTATTAAAAAATGGCTAAAGAAATTAAAGATTAAATTGAGGCCTTTTTAAATGGATTCCATGAATTGATACCATAATCATTAGTAAGTATTTTTGAATGGAAGGAGATGGAATTAATGTTATGTGGTCTACCTGATATTGATCGTAAATTTATTTTATTTATTATTTTAGTTGAGGATATGAAAGAGAACATTGAATATCATGGTTATGATAAAGGAGATAAAGGAGATAAAGGAGATAAAGTGATTTAATGGTTATGGGAATTGTTGGAGAGTTTTGATAAGAGTAAGAGAGCAGCATTCTTATAATTTGTTACAGGTATTTCATAAATCAATCATATTTTAGGTACTTCTAAAGTTCCTTTAGGCGGTTTCAAAGAATTAAAAGGAATGCATGGCCCTTAAAAAATATAAATACATAAAAAACCTTATGTCAATTTTGAATTACCTACTTCACACACATGGTAAATATTAATTCTATATAATTTAGCTTTAATTAATTAGACTTACCTGATTATCCAGCTAGATAAATTTTAAAGGAGAAATTAGAGTTGGCTATTATGGAAGGTAAAGAAGGTTTTGGTTTTGCTTGATAAAAAATATTTCACATTATTTAGAATAAATTAACTATTTTTTTAATATTATTAACGATTATGATAGGAAGACCACCAAGAACAAGGAATGAAAGATAGTAAAACCCTTAAATAAGTGAAGATTAATTGAAAATAGAACTTCAGATGTAAGCAGAAAATAAAAAAAGAGAATTAAGAATGTAGTAACTTTAAGAAAAAGAAGAAAATTTAAAATAATTAGAGTATGCAGGACAAGATGTTGAATCATTTAGAAATAAAGTATATGCTGAATATCAGGATGTCATTCCACAATAATCTAAAGCTGAATAAGAACGGGCTGCTCGAATTAAATTGAGAGAAGAGGAAAGATTAAGAAGAAATAATGGCTTAGGAAGTGCTTATGAATAAGAAAAAGAGAGGCTGCCTATCTAATTAGAAAAAAAGCTCATAAATAATTTGAATCAAATTAATAATAATTAAAATGGAGATTGGTTAGATAAATAATAATTAGTTTCAAATCAAAATAATGCCAATTATTATCATTAGCAATAACCAGTTGTTAATAATTATCCTGATCAAGTTTATGGTGTAAGATAAATATAATATTCTTAACTTAATAATTAAATGAAGAATGAATCATACAAATATCCAGACTAGTAAAGAAATGAGTAACATTATTAACCACCACCACAAATGAATAATAATAGTAATTACTAGAAAAATAAAATTAATGAGGCAGCAGAGTAAGAAAGGGAAAAAAAAAGAAAATATAAAGAATAATTAGATATGTAGATTAATTAAAAAGGTTAATAAAATTAACAACAAATTTAAAACCAATAGGGTTAGCAATAATTTCAATTATAAAATCACTAGTAATAATTATAGAACTAATAATAATAGTATAAACCACATTCATAATAAAGTTAAAGATAACCTTAAGTAGAAGTAGATTTCTTTTCAAAATTTGGATAACCTTAATCCTAGTAAGGTTGGAGATAATAGTAGTAATAATAATAATAATAATAATAATCATAAAACTAAGATAATGCAGCAGTCCAAAAAGTGAAATATAGAGAAGAACTTGATAGATAAATCTAAGAAAAAAAAAATAGAGAAATGGAATAATAGTAATTAAGAAATCAATAGGACTATGCCAAAAGACCAGTCAGTAATCCAACTAATGGTTTTGATTTACCACAAGAATATGATTATAAAAATAATCTACCCCCTCAATCTCCTAACTATTATTAACCTCCATAATCTGCACCCACAGATGATTAATAAAAAGGAAGATTCATGTAAAGAAGATTTACTAGTGGATAGCCTGAAGATCCACAAAAGTAAGTTTAAAAAGAACAATATGCAGAAGAATTAAAAAGATAAATGGAGGAGAAAAAAAAAAAGAAAAAATAAGAGGAAGAGGAAAACAGAAGAAGGGATGAATTAGAATAATAACAATTTTAATAATAATTGTTACTTGAGAAAAAAAGACAAACAGAACAAGTTAAATAAAAATAAGCTGAATAATTTGATTAACAAGTTTAACATATTTAACAAAAAGAAGTAGAAAGAAGAGGGAAGTAAAATATATAAAATGAACAACTTCATTAAGAAATTACTAAGAAATCTGCTTTATAAATTTTATCTCCTGAAAGTGATATATAAAGAGAATAATTATCATACGTTTAAGATCTAAAAAATTAATAATAATAATAGTATCTACCATAACAACAGCCTCAATATTAACAATATTCCTAAGCATAATAACCTATTTAATAAACACCTTACTAGCATAATCTCTATCCTCCTCCTATGTCGCCACTTCAAAATATCTATAACCAATTTCCTCTGTAAGATAATTTATAACAATATCAGTAAGTACTTTTTACCGATCAAAACTCACATCATCCTTAAGCTATAATGGTTCATTAATAATATTTAATGCAGCTTCAATAAAATAGATAGGAAATTGATCTAGTCAGACAAATATTAGAAGAAAAATTAAGATTATAATAAATAGAAATGTAGAATCAACTATTAATAGATTAATACTAAAGGAAAGTGATGGATATTTAAAGAGAGTAAAAGTTATTTGAGCAGGAAATAATTAAATTGTAAGATTTTATTTAAGGAAAATAAAAACGTCCTTTGGATCCAACAGTCTTTGCATCAAGCGTTTTTTTTAATGCTCTAGGTAAAAAAGAGAATGCAAATTAAACACCACATTAATAAATAGCAAACATATAACCTATAAAAATATCTCCTTTCTAATCACCAACAGCTAATTCTTAAGCTCAATAAATTTATAAATAAATTAAATAATCTGATATATCTTCTTAATATTCTCATCAATATTAAGAAGTAAATTAATTACTTCCTGAAAAGCAGTAATAAGTGTATTCTTATTAACAATAATAGCAATAATAACAATAATAATAATAATAATAATAATAATAATAATAATAATAATAATAATAATAATAATAATAATAATAATAATAATAATAATAATAATAATAATAATAACAATAATTACTATAAATTAATAAATCAAAAGGAATTACAGAATCTATGATCGATAATGATGTTGAATTACCTGGAGAATCTGAGTATGTAAATTATACTGAGGAATAATTAGGTAAGAGTTTTATGCCTGAATATAGAGAATTAAAATTATAAAATCAATTATCTTAAAATTTCAAATAAACTGAAAATACGAAAAACTAATAATCATAATAATTTAAAACGCTTCAATCATAAAATTTTTCAAATAATGATTTTTAATTAAATTAATAATAAAAATCATCTATCACAGATGAAAGTTGTGAGTTACCAACTAATGCAATTTAAAAATCTATTCCTCCATAATTAAGTAGAGTGTAAGCTAGAGAGTATGATTAAGACAATTTTAAATATTAAGAAATTGATGAATCAAATAAAAATTCAGATGAAGAAATTTATGAATAATAGGATTTTGAACCTGAAGAAGAAGATGTTAATGAAAGAAATAATGATCACCTATTTGATTAGTAAGATGAATAGGATGATTAAAATGAGAATTCAGATAAAGAAAAATATGATATTGAGATACCAAATCTATAGAATTATGATTTAAATATGTTAAAGACATAAGAATATTATGCTATGTTTGTAGAAAATATAAAACCTTAATCAAGATAGTAAGAACTAAAATTCCCAACAAAATTACTTTAATAAAATACATTAAAGTTGCATAATGATACTATATAATAATCAAGTATGTGTGATTAAAGTGAGATTGTAGATAGTTAATTAAAATGTAATATAGGAAAATAAGGAGATGCTGAAGAAGTGCAGATGAGTCAGGCTTAGTTTTCTGTATATTAGTAATCAATGGCAATACCAGAGGATGAAGAACCTTCCTAGCCTACTGCAACATAGAAAACACTCAAAAATTCAAGTAGAAAATATTAAAAACCTAAAACGGTTGATATTTTTAAAAATGAACAACCAAGAAATTCAAATCCATAATCTCAAAATTAAATTGCTCAACTTTAAGAGTAATCAAGATTTACAAATCAATAAATTCCAGATTAATCAAGATGTACAAATTTATAAATGCCTGATCAATCTCGTTGCACTAATCAAAATCCTATAGCTTCTTAAACTTTTCTGTATCAACCAAGAGTTGAATTAGTTAAATCCAGATTAGAAAATCTTTTTTAACATACAAATGAAATAATGCCAGATCTACCAAAAGTAAAAGTTGAAAAGATAGTGGCTGTTGATGATGATGAAATCAAATCTTATAAAATGGAAGAGAATTCTTAATGGTAGTAACAATTAGATTTGTTTGCCTACGAATAAAGCCATAGTTGAAATTAATTAAAAATATATATATATTCGTTAATGCACAAAATTCACTATTCTCATCAATAATCTCCTTCTAATACTCCAGGTTAGAGTTCATCCCCATCATAGAAGACTTAATTAGTACTCAAATAAACAAATAGAACTATAACTTCATAAGCAGAGAATACAGTTTGTTATAAAAAGAAAAGCAAAACAACTATGAATGCAGAAGTTGAATTGAAAAAACAAATATAAGTGTAGAATTAACAATACAAGGAATTAGCTTTAAAATATGAATTATCAATTTAGGAAATTTAAAAGTACTAAATGATGATTGAACGCAACAATTAAAAGCGAAATCATGAGAAATAGCAATTTCTATCTGAAATATCTATGTTAAAGAAATAATTAGAATAACGTAGTAAATCTCAAATAGATTTGCATGAGAATGGAAGTAAATAAACTGTAATAATTGTTATAGTTCTTGGACATTTAGTTAATGAAGTAAATTAAAAGGCTATTTTAATGGAATTATCTGAATATAAGGATAAATGTAAACAATTAGTAAACGAATTAGAAACAAAGAATCTTCAGTTAGATTAGTAAATTATATTATTAAATTTAAGTGTTACAAAGAAACTAATAAATACTCCTTCTTGTTAAGAATTGCTTAATTAAGTGCAAGAACTTACAAAAAAGTTGAATGAACAAGAAAGCAAATTGTTATAATATGAAATGCAAATAGAAAAATAGTAGTATTATATTATTTAAAATTAGAACAAATAATAAATCTAAATTTTTATTTAGGGGAGCAGAATATTTCAATAAAAAGATTTTAGATGCTGATATATTTAGTTCTTCAAGTAATATATAATCGACAGTAAACTATATTTTAAAATTTAGATGTCAAATCAGAACGAAAACTCATCCTAGGGATTGTCAAGTTATATAAAGTTATGAAAATAATCTGAATTCGTTTTATATTATTATTATTATCATGAAAATATTAATGCTTTTGTTATTGGTGTTAGTGAATGTAAATAATCTGTATTAAGTCAGAGCATTCTTTGAGTATTTCCTTAGAACAAAATGATCTGGATGATACTGTGCTTTTACAAAAAGAAGAAACTTTAACACTATTAGATATTGCAAACGAACTGGAATAATATCATTTGTTTTAAGTCTTGGGTATGATGATAAAGATATAATAAAATAGGATTTGAGACTTAGGATAGATAAATGAAAAGGTTGGCAGTAGCCTCAATAATATCAATTTTAACAATTGCTGCATGTTGTGGGTGTTCATAGATAATATAAGCTTATTCAAAATCATGCAAGTAGAAACTTCCACCTCCAAAAAATTAATATAGAAGGCTAGAACAAAATGCAGACTCTTTATGAGAATTATTTCATGAATATTTAATTTTATTATATTGCTCCTCATAATTATTGTATGTGGAGATTTAGGGTTCAAAACCCTATATAGTAATCTTTTTATATTATAATTTATAGTATATATATCATCCAGCTTAAGGATATTAATTTTTAATACCCTTTTTTTAGTAAACTCCTGTAAATTCTTATTTTTAATGAGGAAGTGCCTTCATTGGTTGATTAGATTATGGGACTTTACTTTTGATTCCCAATTATTAGTTAGATTATTGCAATACCTATTTGATTGGATTGTTATTTTAACTATATGAGTTTTTACCTAACTTATTTGATGAAATTTCATCTAGATTATATTTTTTTAATTACCTTTTAGAAATGGACGATTGTTAAAATCTGTTGATTTTTATTATTCCTACAATGCTTTAAGTCCTCCAGTTAACTAATTAATACCGAAGTTCTTTCCCACTCCCATCCATTCATTTTCAAATTGATCAACTTGATCTTCTTCAATATTCATATAATTGTTAGTAGTAGTGATTTACCCAGTTTTATCTCTTTCTCTGATATGCTTTCTTCCTTTATCATTCATCATTCTTTCATGTGCAAATCTATCAATCCCATCACTATTTTTATATCCTTGTTGTCTTTCACTTATCTATAAATATATAAACCTGATATAATACTGTATGCCCATTTGCTCCTCTTGCAACAGCATTATTATCGAAATATTTCTCTTAAATGATTTTTCCATCAGGACCTAATTTTGATGATTAGACATAGCTGGATGAATATACCTAGAATACACCATTTTTTGCATGATTATTAACATCCATTTAATTTAAATTTTTCATGTGTCTATGGATATTCGAGAATTCCATCATCTCATTTTCTAAATCTCCAAAGCCTCTAAAAATTGATCCAAAGCCTAAATTAGCTAATTAATTATCCATTTATTGCATCATCTTATTAGACATTAAATCGAATTCCTAAAACATATTGAATGGTATCATCTACTGATTGTTCTAACGTGACTATAACTTAATTTACATTCTTACGTATGTTTAAACTTGATTTAATCTAGATGGTTAACTATTTCCTCTATATTGTTATATCATAGTTCGTTAAATATTTTTATTATAAAAGATTTCGAGAAATAATTAATTAATGAAACCATAACAAGACACGTCTTCCGATCCCTTTGCATTTGCCTTCAATCCTCAAAATATTGAAAATACAGTCAATAAAGCTAAGAATACATTAGATAATCCCTTTATTGGGATGGCTTATGCTGGCCTTGGAAAGTAAATGAAAATAATATTAAAGAAAATTTTCTGGCATTGGAGACAAATATGATTCATTTCTGAATTCAGTATTCAGTAGTCAATATAGATTTTATTTTGACGTGGACAATATGTATGTAGTAAAGAAATCCATCATGACACTTGCACCTTATCTTTATGGAGGAAATTGGACATTAAGTAGCAATTTTCTATAATTATTTCAGATAGTGAATTTTAGGCTATTTCACCAACAGAGAATGTTCATGCTCCCGATCTATATTTACCATTGATGAGTTTAGTAACATTTGTTCTCCTCAGGTGTTTAAGCCTTGGAATCAATAACTAGACCTAATTCAGTCCAGGTTACATAGTTGATTCCTTCTGGAAGTGCTTTGTCACATCCCTTTTAGAAGTAATAATAATAAAAATCGTTTTTTGCTTTTTAGATGGAATTAGGGTCAACACTGTTGACCTTGTTTCACATCTAAATTATAGATATTGCAGGTATTCTTTATTTTAATTTTTAGTTTATGCTCCTTAATGATATTCAATATTCTAACAAATGGCCTTTTTTCAATTTATGTCACAATTTATGTACTTATTTGTTAGGGTATTTTTGTTTTTAAAACGTTACAAAGATATAGTCCATCACACAATTAGAGTGCACTTGGTATTAAATCAAATCATCTTTTAGAACTGAGTAGTTTTGGCTACAAAATTACATTATTATTAGCATTGTTACAGCCATCTTGCTCTTGGATTCTATTGTCTTTTGGTTAATGAAATATATTATTATTTATGTCATAAAAATTTGGTCCACTTTAATTAAAAAAGAAAATTCAAAAAACTAATCCTATTGAAAAAAAACCCTAAATTCAATAAGAAGTATCAGATAGTAAACAATTTTTATATATAAAAAAGAATAAGAATAAGAAAATGAAAAATTTAAGAAATAATAATTCAATCCTGTTGAAATGGCTTAGTAAGGAGGAACAGGAAAGACACAAGCAGAAATACAGTATGATTTAGTTAGGTTAAAGAGATTAGGTGAGAAAATCGAAAAAGTAAACTTACTTATAAATATTTCTAGAAAATGGAGTTAACCTACAGACAAAAAATAGAAACATTCAACAAGAAAATTTAAAAGATGCCAGAGCATTATGATATACCAAAAGTTGGCCCAGGCTGATATTTATAATTCTGTTCTATTTTAATATTTATAACTAATTCTAATATTCTAAACTAAAAAATTTCGAATTTCATAATAATTATAAAAATTTACACCCATACTTTAAATACTATCATATTTAATTTATGCATAAATTTAATAACTATTACATTTAGTCTTATTATCTATTTTGTAAACTTAAACAATATATGAATTAAATTTTCTTCTTTTATAAATTATGATGAAATTAAATACAAAGATTGTAAGTTAGTAATTATTAGATATATCATTTATATGCTTAATTCTTTAAGTTCTCTATTATTTTGAAAAACTATTCTGAAAACTAGAAATCAATTTTTATATTATATAATATATTATGAATCCATCAAAATTAAGTCATTCAGAATTGGGGAATTTTGATAAATATATAGAAGATCTATATAATGGTTAATTATTAAGTGAAAATGATCTAAAGCTAGTGTGTTAAAAAGTGTTAATATTTGCATTATTAATCAGGCCAAAGAAATACTCGTTGATGAACCAAATATTGTAGCAGTAAGAGCACCTTTAACAATATGTGGTGATATACATGGTTAATTTCATGATCTAATTGAATTGTTTCGTATCGGAGGCAGATTGCCAGTATTTTTAAGAAAATTTATTAAGGAAACAAATTATCTCTTTCTTGGCGATTATGTAGACCGTGGTTCTTAAAGCGTCGAAACATTTAGTCTTATACTTTGTCTAAAAATACGTTATAAAGATAGGTTGACTGTTTTGAGAGGTAATTAGTTAAATTAAGATAGGCAATCATGAAAATAGAGAAATTAATAAGATTTATGGATTTTATGATGAATGTTAAAGAAAGTATGGAAATGAGATAGTATGGAAGCACTTTACAGATGTTTTTGGATATTTGCCATTAGTGGCTATAGTTGAAAACAGCGTAAATAGTATTTTTATTACTAGATATTCTGCACTCATGGAGGTCTATCACCAGCAATAGAGACAGTTGATTAGATAAAACAATTAAATAGAATTTAAGATATCCCACATGATGGTGCAATATGTGATTTATTATGGAGTGATCCAGAAGAAACAAAGATGGGATGGGGTGTTTCTCCTAGAGGTGCAGGATGGACATGGGGTTAAGATATAACAGATAAATTTTTACATCAAAATAAATTGAAATTGATTGCTAGAGCACATTAATTAGTAATGGAAGGATTTTAGCATGTTCATCAACGAAAAACAGTTACAATATTCTCAGCACCAAATTATTGTTATAGATGTGGAAATNCATACTTTAAATACTATCATATTTAATTTATGCATAAATTTAATAACTATTACATTTAGTCTTATTATCTATTTTGTAAACTTAAACAATATATGAATTAAATTTTCTTCTTTTATAAATTATGATGAAATTAAATACAAAGATTGTAAGTTAGTAATTATTAGATATATCATTTATATGCTTAATTCTTTAAGTTCTCTATTATTTTGAAAAACTATTCTGAAAACTAGAAATCAATTTTTATATTATATAATATATTATGAATCCATCAAAATTAAGTCATTCAGAATTGGGGAATTTTGATAAATATATAGAAGATCTATATAATGGTTAATTATTAAGTGAAAATGATCTAAAGCTAGTGTGTTAAAAAGTGTTAATATTTGCATTATTAATCAGGCCAAAGAAATACTCGTTGATGAACCAAATATTGTAGCAGTAAGAGCACCTTTAACAATATGTGGTGATATACATGGTTAATTTCATGATCTAATTGAATTGTTTCGTATCGGAGGCAGATTGCCAGTATTTTTAAGAAAATTTATTAAGGAAACAAATTATCTCTTTCTTGGCGATTATGTAGACCGTGGTTCTTAAAGCGTCGAAACATTTAGTCTTATACTTTGTCTAAAAATACGTTATAAAGATAGGTTGACTGTTTTGAGAGGTAATTAGTTAAATTAAGATAGGCAATCATGAAAATAGAGAAATTAATAAGATTTATGGATTTTATGATGAATGTTAAAGAAAGTATGGAAATGAGATAGTATGGAAGCACTTTACAGATGTTTTTGGATATTTGCCATTAGTGGCTATAGTTGAAAACAGCGTAAATAGTATTTTTATTACTAGATATTCTGCACTCATGGAGGTCTATCACCAGCAATAGAGACAGTTGATTAGATAAAACAATTAAATAGAATTTAAGATATCCCACATGATGGTGCAATATGTGATTTATTATGGAGTGATCCAGAAGAAACAAAGATGGGATGGGGTGTTTCTCCTAGAGGTGCAGGATGGACATGGGGTTAAGATATAACAGATAAATTTTTACATCAAAATAAATTGAAATTGATTGCTAGAGCACATTAATTAGTAATGGAAGGATTTTAGCATGTTCATCAACGAAAAACAGTTACAATATTCTCAGCACCAAATTATTGTTATAGATGTGGAAATCAAGCTTGCATTGTAGAAGTTGATGATCAGCTAAAAATGAGTTTGTAAATTATTTAACTATAAAAAGCTCATAATATGAACCTGCTCCAAGAGATAATGAACCTTAGACAACGAGAAGAGTACCAGAGTACTTTTTATGATTTAACAATTAAATATATTTTATTCAATTATTCACTGATGGTAGCATTTCATAAGTGAATCCTCCTATTCCTAATACTATTAATATAAACATTCCAGAATAAAACACACCTGGTATTAAAAGCATAATTGCTAAAATAAAAATGGGATAAGTCTCTCCGAAACCTTTCTCTTGATATTGAATTATTCCTTATTCTGTAAATAATATTCCTGCACTCAATAGAAAAAACGATAAAACTATTGTTTTATAAGGTCTATTGTATCTAATTCTAAGTGGAGGAGGAGATTCAGATCTCACTATTCTTTTTTTGTTAAGAGGACGTGTCTCGCTGTAATCCTTCATTTTTATTTTATATTTTTACAACTTTTATAATAATATATTTTTCCATCAAATAGTAACATTCAATAATAAGCATCTAATACTGTAATCGAATAACTGATTTATATAAACCTTCTTTTTCATATAATAATTGTATTAATCTTGAAATATAAAAATATAATTTATAAGTAGAATACATTATCTCAAAAAATAATACAAAAGATTGATATAAATAACATTATAAAATGTTATAATAGACAGATTTTTATTATTAATATCTTTTGAAAATATATTTTTTAATTACTCATTGTTTATAAAATTTAAATTCATATTATGTTGTTTGATCATTAATTTTAAATATGGGCTAGATTTCTTTTTCTAAACAACACTAATTGTATTCTATTGTAATAGCAAAATTAAATGTAAAATCTTATTTCAAAGAAGATCTAATGATGATTTCTAATATATAACTTAACAACAATCCTCTCATGATTATATCAATAATGGTTTTACTATATAATTTTTATCTATTAGTTGACCAATTAACAATAATATTTTTATCAATCAATTTAATGTTTCCACAAAAAGTTTCAATTGATGATATACTTCTATTCAATTCTTTATTAACTTATGCTTCTATCTCTTAATTTTATCCAATCAAATTATAACAAGTCCTTTTGTGTAATTCTATAAAATGAGGAGATGATGTAGTTAACATTATTAATTCTGAATATGCTTATTCATCATTCATATTTCTTGCAAACCCTTATTAATAGAATAAAATTTAATTTCTTAGATTTTGTTTCTTGTCTTCAGTGAACATCTTTTGTCCAGGAATCACTACATCAAATAGCATTTATTTTACGAAACAACAAACCAATTACTTATAATTTGTTACCAATGGACCTGTAGCTTTATTGATTGATAAATTGTCAAGTGATACTCTACTTTCACTTTCGTTTTTCATTAATCTTAATAAAGAACATGTTTGGAATATTAATATTGATAATTTAATAATTCCCTTTAATATTTTGAATTTGAAATGAACTAACAATAATATAATGAAATGTTTACAGCATTCTAAACAAACAAGATTTTAGTTGAACAATTTGATATTTACCTCAAGTAAAAAGTATTATTATTGATTTTTATGAAGTGTGGACATTTTTATGATGAGCATTTGTTTTAATAATTAATTGAGGTATCTTTAAACAATGGAGTAATAGATTTAGAGAGTTTTATTAATTAATATAATGAGACTGTAGATACTTTATAATATCGTTCAGAAATATTAAATAATAAGATCAAAGAATTAAAAATATTGCATCAATAATTGAGTGATTAGTTAAATTCAGATGCACTTTAACAGAACTCTTTAACTCTTTAAATTATGGATTGTTAAAACATTGAAATTAGAGATCCTAGTGTATATTTGTAAATTTGTTGTGGAATCAAAACATATAAAACTAGAACAATGAAAGGAATTAGTCCATAATTTTAAGAATAATTTGAATTTCCCATAGACTCTAGTTGTTAAGATGTCATAATAACTCTTTTTGATAGTGTAAGAAATTGAATAAATTTTAGATGAATGATAATATGATTGGATATACACAATTTTTGATTTCTGAACTTAGAGAATAAAAATTAAAAGATATTAATGTTAATTTGTAGAGATAGGATAATATGAAAATCAAAACTAAATTACATGTTATTTTAAAATTTAATCATTCAAAAGTAAGTTTTCTCTAATTTAGGAAAGCCTATACAAACAAGAGTAATAAAAATTAAATCATGAGATAAATTAAAATAATTTGGAGATTAAAGAAACATAATAAGCCTTAAATTGTTTAGCAAAAGTATTTAGTGGAGGATGCATTAAAATCAGATAATTGCCTCCTATTCTAGAAATTAAAGAATTTGAATTGAAATGTTTGGATACTTTAAATGAAGCATTATAAGAAAGAATACAAGATTGGGTACCTTTATTTTATAAATTAATTGGATTAGTAGTTGCATTATCTGTTATGATTAGTTTGTATAGATGTTAATTTATGGAAGTATTAAACATTTCATCAATATTAGTTAACTTTATTAGCATTTATGATGTAACTATTAATTCTGAGAGAAATTAATTAAAAATGGATGAGAGTATTCACATATCTATTTGCTGTCTTGTTTCTTTATGATCTACTCTGGTTATACATATGTGGAGGAGTAATTATTTTAATAATTTTAGAGCTATGGTATAACCAAAGGAGAACAACACATTAACAAATTTGTTACAGCATTAAGTTATGTTGAACTCTTAGCTAAAATTCCATTTACTATAGTTTTGTGGAAACATTCAGTAGAGTTTGAATAATTTTTATCATATTTTATATGATCATAAATTCTTCTTAAAAAATTCCTTAAATTCCTATAATGACATTTAATCATGTAGCACTCCACAAAACTTTAAAACATCTAAATATATTATTATAATTACTTTAAATTTCTTCCTCATTAGTATTATCCTTAAATTTTTAAAATACTTTCCTTATTTTTTTTGAATCAATATGACCAGATTTATCATAATCAAAAATAGCAAATGCGCTTTCTAATAGTTCATCATGTTAGTCTTTATTAGACATACATTCATTAAAAAGTTCAGAAAAATCTGAAAATTACATAGTTGTCTTATTATTAGGGAAATATCTATGTGTGAATAATTATATACTTTAGTTCGGTTACTGATACATAAGTTGGGGATTTAGGAGAACTATCTTTTTAACCATCTTCTAAGTTGTCATTTGAATTTCCTTTTTTAGCCAATCTTCTTCCTGGTTAAAAAGGTACATTAATTGTTTAAGAATCCATATTTATTGTTTCTAAATCTTTTATCAATTAATTTATTTGAGCTATATTTATATCTTCTCCTCCATCTTAAGAAAACAACTAAAAAATCTATCTTAGTTCCTACTAGTTTGTTTATTATTATTATTACATTCTATTTAAAATTAATATTATATAATCAAAGTAAATATATGATGATTTCAGTTTGTAAAATAGTAGTTAAAATAAATTCTATATTGAATAAAATATTTAAAAAGTAGATGTTTAATAACAAGATTATTTTGAATTTATTTAGAGACCCATTAAACTAAATATTATATATTTTTGATTAATAATTTATAATAGCAATCTATAAACATAAACTTATTTATCATCAAGGTTTCGTAATCTATATTAAATATAAATATTTAATACCTTTTTTTATGTAGATTATTTCTTTAATTATCCTATTTCCTGATTTTGTCTAGATAGTCCTGCTTTTGCAAAACCATTATTTCCAGAATTAGTTGAATTACTAACATAATTAGATTCAATTTATTATGGTTACTATTATTATTATTATTTTTCAGTTTCTTAAATATTTTAGGTTTACTATTACTATAATTATTATTATTATTATTATGATATTGTTTATATTGTTTCCTGTATAGCAATAATTTAATCAGCATGTTCATTAATATTTTTTTAAATTGCTTAAGTAAAATCAGTCATTTTTTCATTTAAATTAATAATTTCTTTAGTTTACTCTTATTTTACAAGACTTATTTAAGTTTAAAAATGTTATGAGAAATCATCGAGTTATTCTAACTTGGATTAAGTTTAGGACTATATTTATATTTATTCTGTATTTTTGCCTTCAAAAAACATTCTAAGTTACTGGAATTAAGTTTGAAGCTCATAATAATAAATTAAAATACATCTGAGAATTATATTTAAATATTCTTCTACTCTGATTCTAAATTTTAAATTGAGAGATTGCAATTTTATTCTAGTTCCTTAAAATTATTAAAAATTTAGTTGGTTTGATTTTCTTGTTCATCAACCAAATTATTTAAGTTTTACTTATTTCCAATTAATTTGGAATTAAACTTTATTTATATAATCAATTTACTTATTCTACAATTTCCAAATGTTAATCATCAGAACTAACATTTCCAATTTTATTAAATTAATACTATGAGTCATCATCTTATCCTTGTTCTATTATATCTAAATTAATTATCTTTATATTAATACTTAAAGCCTGATAATGGTGGGATGTGTTTATGGTGGTTTATTGTTATTTCAATTTCCTAAAAAAATTATCATAATCTATGAGTACTTGATAACTACTGACTAATAAACAATCCATACAAAGTTGACAATTTGAAATATTAACAGGAATGATTCAAATTTTGTTAATTGATCCATTATTTATATAATATAATTATAAAAATTATCATTTATTATTTCATGATTTTAATCAAATTCTGAATTCTATTATTTAAAAATAAGCACTACCCTAGTTTCTTATATATTTGTTATTTAAACAATAATAATAATTATAGCTATATTAATTCAAACAAGAAAAGAAAAGTGAATTCATAATTTGATTTAAGTAGAACCTAAAATCAAATTTATATTGATAAAACTAATTTATAGAATCAAAAAGAAAGTGATTTGATTATAAACGACATTAATTATAAAATATATAGAAATGATACGTAATGAATTTGAGTTCACATTAAATTTAATTTACTGCTGAAAGCATTTAGTTATGAAGATTATTGAGGAAATCAAATATTAGGTTGAATTGGAGATGAAGAAAATATTTGGAAAGTGTATTGAAAAACGATATGCGAAAATAACTGAATAGCTAAAATAAGAATGTATAAAAAATGTTATTTAGAAAGGTAAAACAATACGGGAAGTATGTGATTATTAATATAATAGGCTTCCTAATAATTATCAATAAATTATTCTTCTGCAAAATCTATCTTAGCAGATTATAGAAAATCTTAGAAGGGAATAAAATTACAATATCATTTGGAACCAAGATAAGTCAAAGTTAATGATAAATATGATTGGAAAAAATTTAAAATTTTAACATATTGTGAAGACAGATAAATTAATGAATATACAATGGATACATTTGCTTAGATAATAAAACAAACTTCTATAAATAATGTAATAAACTGAATTTTTATATAAAAATATTTGAGATTTATATGCTATCTTAATAAAAATTGTTTGCATAAGTATGTTCTTAATCTAATCCTAAGGTTCTCAATATTTATAGTATACTCAGAAATAATAATAAAAATGTATTTTAATCATAAAAATATAATTATTTTTTAATAATTGATATAAAAAAGAATTTAAAAATTAATCATTATATATATAATGATATATAAACAAATATCACTTATTTTTTTATTATTTTTACTTGAGCCATTCATCATATTATTCCTTAGCATCCTTTATATTTTTTGTCATTTATTCTTATTCTTATTGATTTAATTAAGAAAATAAGGCAGCATATAATTATTAATTATTAGATTGCAAAGTCAAGACTAGTTTTTCCATTAATAAAATTGCATCATAATCTTCCATTGGACTATCATAAAGTTCAGCATATTCATCATCACCTTCATCATAATCCTCATCTTCTTCATCATCATCTTATTCTAAATCTTAAATTTTTTCTATAGTTTTTTTAAGATCTTCCTCTTCTTCGGCTTAATCTTCTTAATCACAAGATTCCTCTTCTTCTCTTAAATCCAAGATTTTTGTAGATAATCTCACAAACATTTTTCCAATTTCTGCTGATGTTTGTAATAAATAATTAGGTATTTGAGGTAGGGAATATAATTAACAAAGAGCAAAAATTAATCTATTAATATCCCATTCATATTTATAGAATTTTTCCATTGAGAGCATAGTTTATAAGATTTAATCTGTCAACCCTTTGCTATTTAAGTAATTAACAGCTAGACTAGGATTATACCAGATACACATGCATAAAACTCCAATATTGACAATTTTGAATCTATTTGTTTTTTTATCCTTCTAATAAATAATATATTTATAATAATTACTTATAAATTAAGTAAAGTAAAGTCTATGATTTATGGAATTAGATTATCTATTTGATTAGGGTAATTTTCTATTAATGCTATTAAAATAGTAGCAACTTAATTTTAATCAGTTTCATCAGTTCCATTATCAGCTATAACAAAAATTTTTTATATGAATCTAAAGACCAAAGAAATAAATGAATTGCCAAAGAAATCATTTTAAGTTAAAAATGTAGCTCCTCCTTTTTAAATATAGTTTCTAAAGGATCCCAACATTTAGGAAACGAATTCACTTCCCCAATCTTTTTTACATCCTTCTAACAATGCATATTAATCCTCTGATAAACCTTATATACTATAAACATTTGTTTCCTAAGGGATTCCCAATATTATGTAACATAAGACTGGGTAATAGAACCATAAACCTGGAGTTAATTGTTTTCTTTTATAAAGCATTATGTTCAAAATCTCTAAAGCCTCATTAATGAAGTCACATCCAGCTTCTGTTAAAGCAAAATTAATAATAGGAAAGATAACTGATTCCAATTAAGTATAAGATTCTTATTAGAGTGGAGCATTTAGGATTCTTTTGATTGCCTCTAAACATCCAGATGCAGCCAATTCAGCTTCACCATCATCATCAGAATCACCATCTCCTTAATTTTATTTGTTGCAATACTTTTAGAAAATAGTAGCTATATGAGCAGATAATTAATGAGCATAAGGAGTGATTTCATTTGTAAAATTCTTAACTATTTCTTCTAATGATCTTACAATCTTTTCATTATCAATTAATTCCATCAATTTAATATATATTTCTAATACCTAACTCAATTATGGCCTAATCAAATCTTAAGCTTCTTTATGTTAAAGAATTTAACTAAATGCTATAGCTGCAGCCACTCTAACAGGTAATTCTTTATCTAATATACATTTAGATATTCCTTAAACTGCCAGTTAAATATTTTGTTTATTTTTGAATTCAATAGTACCATATTCATTAAATAAATGACATGCTCTAGCTCTTAAAAATCCAACTGGATTTTAAAACTCTTATAATATATATTTCTCTAAGATTTATTCTAAACCACCTTGAATTGAGTTGATTTTTGAAATTTAGTGTACCAAACTTTCAATACCCCATAATAATGCTTCTTTTTTAAGAAGATCTAAAGGCTAATTAGTTAATGGATCAATATTTGTACTAAATGCTGTTTAACAATAATTAAGAAATGAAATCAACATCAAATTACCATTCACATCTTTTTATTAACAAACTTCTTAAAGAATATCATTGGCTGGATTCTTAATATTGTAAGTTGAAAGAGAAAAATCATCTAATCTTTTGATATATTCTTCAGGATCATTTTTCCATAATAAATCATCTCTTGGAGTCAATTACATTTTTGGAATAGCAACATGATAAATAAGTTTATCATAATGAGGTTTGAGTAATTCTTTAGTATTGTCTAATTTTAATGAGTAGAATAAATATTTAAGTGCAAACAAACAAGTTCTAGGTCCTTAGAATTAAGTATTATCAGTTAAAATCTTATAAAATATTTCCATAAATCCTATAGCATAAGTTGATTTAATATGCTCTGCAAATTCAGCCATATTTGGTTCAACCATTTTTTTATTTGCAAATTTCTAAATGAATCTTAATATGATTCTGCTAGCCCATTTCTTATTTGTCCATATATATGTTTTTTCTCTTCTTGTTTCTTCTTCAGAATCTTAAGTTAAAGTTGATAATTCTGGAGGTGGAGGTGCTTATATTATGGTCTTAAAATAAAGCATCCATTTAGCTACTGCATTGTAATCTCTCATATATATTGGCATTACTAAATGAGTAGCATGATGGAATATCTTTAAAATCACTTTTACTAATTATCCACTTTATTCATTATATCCCTCTAAGAATTTTTGTATAAGAGTCTCCAAAATTGGAAATGTTGAAGCAACTAATGGTTCTAATGGTTTACGATCATTTTCCAATAAAAATTAATGGACTTCACATGTACGTCTTAATGTAAGCAATGCACTCCATAGATCTTCATATGAAGTAAAGTTTTATAATTTAATTACTAATTATTGCACTAATTATGGCCAATCATTAGGAAAATCAATAGCTACCAATTTGTATATCAAATCTTCATATTATGATCTTAATTTCTTGACTTGGATACATCTACATTAAATTATTTAACAACCTTGCTAAAGCATCAATAATAGTTGCTCTAATCACACTTTTTTCTTCTACATTAATAATAAAATGGCCTGGTTCTTTCTTATCAGCCCAATGTTTTTCTAAAAATGTTTTCAAATTGACAACAGCACTTTGTCTTAATAATTCTGGTTATGTTTAATCATCCACTATCCTTAATAATGAAATGGCATATCTAAATATTTGGAGGATTTTAATTACAATGGTTGTAAAGATGCTTATTTAAGTAGAGCCTCTCCATTGTTTACACTCTCTTATGAAGTTCCATAAGTTAATTATAAAGCATTTATTAAATATCCTAAGTCTTAAGTTTGCATTCACGAACTAATTTTTAAAATTTATTTTAAATTTTTTCAACCTGATTCGCACAAAAAGCACTAGAATATTTATTATCCATAAAATATTTTTATTTTTTAATAAATTAATAATCTAATTAAAGAAGAAAAAAGTGAAAAAAGTAAAGGTTTCTTAGAATTATATGATTAAACCTAAATAATACGAGAAGAATCAACATAATATTTTAATTATTTTATGCCAAAAAATAAACTTAATAATAATGCTTTTCTTAACTCTAATTTTAAGATCTATATATTTCTATCTCACAAATAAGAATTCATTATAACATTTTAGAGGTAATAAGCTTTTAGATATAGACACAAGATAGCCTTATTAATAAATAAATTTTTTTTAATTTAAATTAATATAAACTAGATATACCTTAATCTATAATTTATAAATAAGAATCTAAAATTGAAACTCTTATAAAAACAACTTCTGTGTTGAAATATTATATATAGAAATTTACTTTTAATTTCTAATGATTTTATTGAATAAATAAATGATTTTAAATATCTTAATAAAAACTCCTTTAACAAATTCCAAATTTAATCAAATAAAAAAATAATACAATTGGAAATCATAAAAATTTACTAATTTTAAATATTTAATAAATCAAATGGAATTTTGTAGTTGAATAATTGCTATAAATATATCTAAAGATTTAATGGAATCACTTAATACATAAAAATTAAGTAATTTAAAGTATGATATACTTGAATTAATTAGATAATATTTATTTTGACATTTTGATGATTATTTTGATTAAGATAAAAGTTAGGATGCCTGAGAAACAACTTTTTTTGATTGAATGACTTGAAATAATATGTACGAAATAATCAGAAGATGAATAAAATTAAAATAATTAATTAAGTATTCTTTAATAATTTATTTATAATTATGATGAAAAACAAAATTAGACTTACAGCTCTCGATATAATGGCACTTGTGACAGAACTAAAGTAAAAGTTAATAGGGACAAGGTAAGAATTTGATTAATAAAAAGACTTTCAAATATTTACAATATTGATGCTAAGACATATGTTTTCAAATTCTCTTTACAGGAATCAAAATCTTATTTAGTGATAGAAAATGGTTTGAGATTTAATCTTTCTGATACTATAGAGAAAAATAAAGTGCCTTCAGGATTCACTATGAAATTTAGAAAGTTTTTAAGGAGCAGAAGACTAGAAAGCATAGAATAAATAGGAGTTGAAAGAGTGGTAGTGTTTACTTTCGGAAGGGAAGATCATACTTATTATCTCATATTGGAATTATACTCTTAAGGAAATATCATACTAGCAGACAAAGATTACAGAATTATTTAATTGACTAGACAACATGAATTTTCAGAAAATGCAAAGTATTTAATATTAAAATTATAAGGGTTGCTCCTAATGAGATTTACCCTTTTGAGTTTACAGCAACAAATTATCTTGAGAAATTCGATACATCTATGGAAAGAATTCAGAAAGTGATAAGTGAGAAGGCAGGATAAAAATTAAAAGAAGTGGTATTTAAATTAGTGCCTTGTTTACATTAAACATTAACAGATGATATAATATAATAGTTGCAAATGAATTAGAATGAAAAGATTGTTAATCAATTTGATAATGTAAAGAAAGTAGTAGATTATGCAATGGAATATATAAATAAATATCGCTCTTAAACTCAATATAAAGGTTATTTATGTGCAAAAGAAGCACCTAAAGATGCAGAATAAAAACCAAAGTTTTTTGATTTTGCTGCTGATTAACCTGGTTATTATTAGGGAAAATATGTTGTTGAAACTCCTACTTTTAATGAAGCCGTACATCAATATTTTTTAGTGGTTGATAGACAGGAAGAAAATAAGCAATCGATAGAAGATATAGCTTGGAAGAAATTTGAAAATATTAAATAGGATCAAATGAGTAGAATACAAAAGTTGTAAGTAGAACAGGATGAATATATTATGAAGGCAGGACTTATTTAAGAAAATATTAATGATGTCTAAGCGATTATAGACATTATTCAAAAGATGATAGATAATGGTATTCCTTGGGACAAAATACAAAGGATGATTAATGATAGTAAAAAAGAAGGCAATCCACTTTCAAATATGATAGGAGGAATGAATTTGGTATTAATATTCATTTATTTTTATTTTAGAAATAAAACAAAGTGATAATATTGTTAGGTAATAAGGAAGATGAATATTCAGATTTGGTACAAATAGAAATTGATATAACTTAATCTGCTTATCAAAATGCCAGAAAATATTATGAAAGCAAAAAGAAAAATAGAGATAAGGAAATAAAAACAAAGGAGGCTGTTGAATAAGCATTGAAATAGGCTGAAAAAACTGCTTTGAAGGAAATAGAGAGGGAAAAAAATAAAATATAGAAAGTGTAAAATCAAAGAAAAAAGTATTGGTTTGAAAAATTCTATTGGTTTATTTCATCTGATGGATATTTAGTAATAAGTGGTAAGGATGTACAATAGAATGAAATGATTGTTAAGAGATATATGAATAAAGATGATATATACATGCATGCTGATATTTATGGATCAGCCTCTACAATAGTAAAGAATCCTAATGAAGTTCCTATTCCAGAGACAACAATAATGCAAGCAGCCACTGCAACTATATGCAGATCAAAATCTTGGGATGCTAAAATAGTTGTATCTGCTTGGTGGGTTCATGCATCATAAGTAAGTAAAAGTGCACCAACAGGTATGAATATACCAGCTGGTTCTTTTATGATCTATGGAAAAAAGAATTTTATTTATCCTCCTAGATTAGAAATGGGTTGTACAATTTTATATTAGTTGGATTAAGATAGTATTAAGAGACATGAGGAGGAAAGAAAGAAAAAATTAAGAGAAGAATAATCACAGGTTGATGAGTCTGAATAAAATGAAAGTGAAATTACAGAAAAAAATATACTTGATTCAGACAATGATGATAATGATGATAATAATGAAGATGATAATAAAGTAGATTTAGTTGATTTAGAAAAGACTAATTCTGTTTAAACTATTTAATAAGGAGATAAAGAATATACTATTGTAGAAGTGAATCCAAATGCAAGAATGATTTAATAAAGAAATGATAAGAAATAAAAAGAAAAAGATCAGTAGTAAAAGTAATAATAATAATAGTAATAATAATAATAATAATAATCAAAATAATAATAATAACAATAACAATAATAATCAAAATAATAATAATAATAATCTAAATAATAACCGAAATAATAATAATAATAGCCTAAATAATAAGAATAAAAACAAAATGCTAAAGATGCTGAAAATGATAGTTCTGATGATGATAAAAAAAATTAGAAAAATCCTAAAACTTAACAAGTAAGAGGCAAAAAAAACAAAATGAAAAAAGTTAAAGAAAAATATGCTGATTAATCAGATGAAGAGAGAGAATTAAGATAAAAGTTAATGGGAGCTACATATATGAAAAATGAAGTAAGACCAGAAAAAAAAAAGAAAAATTAAGATAAAAATGAATCTACAAAATAAGATTAGGATTAACAATAATAATAAGAAGAATAAATAAAAGATAAAGAATATTATAAAAAATAATAATTAAAATAAGACTCTATCACAGTTAAATTGCTTAAATAATAAGGTATTGAAGCCACAAAGGATGAAAATAAACCTGATTAATAAATTTAAGAAGTTCATTAAGAAAAAATAGAACAATAATTACAATAAAATCAATAATAATTGCAACAAGAAGTTTTATAATAAAAAGAACCAGAAAATCTAGATAATAAATAAGAAGAGGTAGATAGCGATGATGAAAAATAAGAAAAATAACCTGAATAAGAAGAAGACAATATTGAATATACTGAAATGTAAAAACTTGTTTCTTATCTATATGCGGATGGTATTAATTTTCTTATATATTTATTAGATAAATATCTAAGTCTTATTCCTATGGTTGCTCCTTATTCAGTTATAGGAACTTATAAATTCAAAATTAAAATTGCACCAGGATCATTGAAAAAAGGAAAAGGTAAATTTTCATCTAAATTTTTTAAGCTGGAAAGGAAATTTTAAATTTCTTCTAGGTCAATAAAGATATCACTAATCAAGAGAGATAACTTCTGAAAATGATAACAGATGAAGAAATTGTTCAAACTATGCTACCAGGAGTTAAATTAACAGGAGTTGGAATGCTTTAAATGAAATAAAAAGAGAAATAATTAAAGAAATAATAACCTAAAAAAAATAAATGAGTTAAATAGAAAATGTAATTAACTATATAAATTTATAGTATACATTTATCATATTTTATTAATTAAATATTCATTTTCTTATTCCTTCTCTCTAATATTCTTTTTTTTTAATAAATTTTATAATATTCATTGTCTATTCCTCCTAAAATATTTTTTATATTAAAAATAAATATATATTTCAATTGAACTCATAGTTCCTAAACTAAATATATTGATGTTAACAATCCTCATTCAAATCTATTTATGCTATATTTATATATAGAGTTCTTTATAATAAAAGGCAATTACATGTGGGACTGACTATTTAAAATACAAATTAATATTGATTACGTAATCAGTATATAAAATAGTGCAGATAAATTAAATGAATTTTTTATTAATAATCTATCTATGAAAGTTAGTAACTATGCTTCTAACTCAAATAACTTCAAACTTAGAATTTTCTTGAAATCCTAATCTAAGGGAGAGTCCTCATCCTAATATACAATTTTAAATTCTTAAAAGTTCGTTATTGGCGATGATGAAAAAAATCATAGAACACCTAAACCTTTAATTCTTTATGATGATANGATTAATAAATTTAAGAAGTTCATTAAGAAAAAATAGAACAATAATTACAATAAAATCAATAATAATTGCAACAAGAAGTTTTATAATAAAAAGAACCAGAAAATCTAGATAATAAATAAGAAGAGGTAGATAGCGATGATGAAAAATAAGAAAAATAACCTGAATAAGAAGAAGACAATATTGAATATACTGAAATGTAAAAACTTGTTTCTTATCTATATGCGGATGGTATTAATTTTCTTATATATTTATTAGATAAATATCTAAGTCTTATTCCTATGGTTGCTCCTTATTCAGTTATAGGAACTTATAAATTCAAAATTAAAATTGCACCAGGATCATTGAAAAAAGGAAAAGGTAAATTTTCATCTAAATTTTTTAAGCTGGAAAGGAAATTTTAAATTTCTTCTAGGTCAATAAAGATATCACTAATCAAGAGAGATAACTTCTGAAAATGATAACAGATGAAGAAATTGTTCAAACTATGCTACCAGGAGTTAAATTAACAGGAGTTGGAATGCTTTAAATGAAATAAAAAGAGAAATAATTAAAGAAATAATAACCTAAAAAAAATAAATGAGTTAAATAGAAAATGTAATTAACTATATAAATTTATAGTATACATTTATCATATTTTATTAATTAAATATTCATTTTCTTATTCCTTCTCTCTAATATTCTTTTTTTTTAATAAATTTTATAATATTCATTGTCTATTCCTCCTAAAATATTTTTTATATTAAAAATAAATATATATTTCAATTGAACTCATAGTTCCTAAACTAAATATATTGATGTTAACAATCCTCATTCAAATCTATTTATGCTATATTTATATATAGAGTTCTTTATAATAAAAGGCAATTACATGTGGGACTGACTATTTAAAATACAAATTAATATTGATTACGTAATCAGTATATAAAATAGTGCAGATAAATTAAATGAATTTTTTATTAATAATCTATCTATGAAAGTTAGTAACTATGCTTCTAACTCAAATAACTTCAAACTTAGAATTTTCTTGAAATCCTAATCTAAGGGAGAGTCCTCATCCTAATATACAATTTTAAATTCTTAAAAGTTCGTTATTGGCGATGATGAAAAAAATCATAGAACACCTAAACCTTTAATTCTTTATGATGATACCTCAGATCGGCATAAGTCCACTACAAATTCATCAAGGTCTTCCCATTTAAGGAAATTAACTAAAAGGATGACACAGTCAACTGATTCAGAAATAAATGCAGAAAATCCTAACTAATGTTATTAAATTCTTGATAGTTATAATGACTAATATCTGAATTTACCTTTCAATAAAGATAGAAATCATTCTTAAGATAAAACTACTAAAAAAATTTAAAGGTTATATACAGAACAAACTGAAATCAAAACAATCAAATAAAAACCACTAAAATAATATTAAACTTACTCCCAACACTAAAATACTATTAGTGTAAAATAAAAATTAATAAAATCCTGTAAAAAAAATAAAAAGAATGTCTAACTATTCTGAATTGATTTTGTAATATATTTATCATTTATTTATTAAAATAAATTTAATAAAATAATTTTGGTTTTGAAAGATTTTAATAGAATTGCTGCATTAATCTTTTTATTTAAGATCTTTCAAATAATATTAAAATAAATTACAAATATTTACTTGAATTATACATAAATAGCATAATAATAATAAAAGATATAAAATACTCATAAATTAAGAATATTATTTTATTTTTAAGAATTAAAAGTATCATTCAAAATAAGTTTAAAATTAATACAATATTTTTAATCCTTAAAATTTATACAATTTGAAAAGTGAAAATTTAAATATATTCAAAAATTAATGATCCTAAAAATAGTTTCACATTTAAGATATAGAATTAATTCCAATATTTATTCCATCATAAAAACATTATCATTTTGTATTATTAATTTCTATATAGAAATTACCGAACATTTTTGAATAAAAAATAATGATTTGTTTTTATTTAAGAAATTGCGAAATTATATTTTTTTTAAGTTGAACTATTTAAAAGAATAAAAAGAATAATATCATTTAAAAAATTATGAATTTCTTTAGATCCAAAACTATGAGCTTTTAGAAACTAATTATTCCAAGAGAAAGTGCTTGGGATATAATGAATATATTGGCAGAATAGGATTGTATTCATTTTGTAGACTTCGATCCTTCGGTACCAATGATTAATAGGCTTTTCTCCAATCATATTAAGAGGTGTGATGACTTACTTATTAAATTATCCTTTATTGAACATGAAATAAAAAAATACTAAAAGACAATTACCTATTCAAAAGATGTCAATTTAATTGTTTAGAATTTCAAATTATTAATAAGAGATAGGTAATATGATAATTTTAATAAGAAGGTCTAAGGCTAGTCAAACATATTTAGATAATGTTGAAATTGATATTGAAAAGAAACATTTGCAATTAATTGAATAAGTTAATAATTTGGAATATCTTTATGAAAAAAGAAATAAATTAATTGAGCATAAATATGTTATGATAAAAGGCTAAGCAATATTAGGAAAATCCTTCTTTTAAACGTAAGATTTATCCCTCATCATTAGAGCTAACTATGTAGCTGAAGGATTTATGAATATATAAGGAAAATAATTGGATTATATTAAATTATTATAAGGATCTATTAAATTTAATTATTTAGTTAGTGTTATCAATAAGGAAGATAAAATAAGATTTAAAAGAATCATTTTTCGAATTACCAAAGGGAATGTTTGGATGAATATTATGGATATTGACAACTATGAAATTATAGATACAACCAATGTACTATAATTAAATATAATTCAAGAATAATTTAAGACTTTTAAAAAGTGTATTTGTAGTAGTTTATCCAGGTGGTGGAGGATCTAATTTAATTACTAATAAATTACATAAAATTTGTGAATCGTTTTAAATTACAAAATATAAATTTCCAGAAAATAATATCAAATTTTAAGAAATCTTAAAATAAGTTGAAACTGATTTAGTAGAAACAAAAAATGTATTAATTTATAATATTAAAGTTATTACAAATGACTCAAAGTCAAATGGATGCTTATTTAGATGATTTTTTAAGTGTTTCTCATAATTCTAAATGTTCAGAAATAGAAGAGTTAAAATTATTTCTTATTAGAGAAAAGTATCTCTACACTTAATTAAACTATTTTCAATTATAAGGAAGTGCTTTATATGGTTCTATGTGGTTGCCAGAAGGAATGGAAATTAAAATAGAAAAAGCCTTGAAAGAAGTACAAAATAAAAACGAAGGCTTACCAGCGGGATATTTATAATCTTCACTTCCACAAGGTTCAAGTCCACCAACTTATTTTGAAACAAATGAAATTACTTGGGGTTTCCAAGAAATAGTAAATACATATGGGATACCCAGATATAAAGAAATCAATCCTGGATTATTAACAGTAATGACATTTCCATTTTTATTTGGTGTAATGTTTGCTGATATTGGACATGGGTATTAATAAATATAATTAATTTTAGACTTTGTCTATTATTGTTGGGATTGTATCTTTGTATATATAATTAGGATATCAAAAATGCTAATTCTGTTTTGAAACATACACTAATAGTTAGACATATGTTATTAATGATGGGTTTCTGGGCTTTTTATAATGGATGGATATATAATGATTTTATGTCTGTACCTTTGAATTTATTTGGTTCTTGTTATGAAGAATACTATAGAGAATGAAATCAATTAATATAAATGGGTCTTAAAAGATGAGAGTTGTGTTTATTCATTTGGTATAGATCCAGTGTGGATGTGTGTTACTAATGAATTGACCTTCATTAATTCTTACAAAATGAAATTAGCTGTCATTATAGGAGTGATACATATGTCATTTGGAATAATTTTAAAAGGATTGAATGCTATTTATTTTAAGAATTGGCTTGACTTTTTTTTTGAATTCATTCCTTAATTAATATTCTTCATATGCTCATTTGGATGGATGGACTTTCTGATAATATATAAATGGTTTATTAATTGGACTGGAAGAACAGACGAAGCACCAAGTGTGATAACTTTAATGATCAATATGATTCTTGCTCCTGGGTAGTAAGTAATACCTCCATTATGGGGAGATGGAATATCTGAAGCATCAACTTAAACAGCTATGTTACTAATAGCTTTAATTTGTATTCCAATTATCCTAATTCCAAAACCTCTTTTTCTTTATCATAGAGTAAAAAAGCAAGAAAAAGAGATTTAGAAAAATCAAACCTAAAAAGATTTATATAGAGAATTAAATTAAGTAAAGATTATTATTATTCTTAAGGAATCCAATTTATAAGAATCTATAAAAATTTCTAAACAAGAAATTCATCATGAAGATTTTGGAGACATATTTGTACATTAAGTCATAGAAACTATTGAATTTTTATTAGGTTCAATTTCAAATACTGCATCCTATTTGAGACTATGGGCATTATCATTAGCTCATGGTCAATTAGCAGAAGTATTCTTCTAAATGTGCCTTAATGGAGGTATTAGTAGCGGAGGCTTTGTAGGAGCAATCAGGGTAATTTTGGATATACAATATTTTAGCTTGTATTTGGTTATTCAGTTTTTTCTCTAATCACTTTTGGTGTGCTTATGATGATGGATGTTATGGAATGTTTCCTTCACGCTTTGCGTTTACATTGGGTTGAATTCTAAAGCAAATTCTTTAAAGCAGATGGCTATGCCTTTTAGAAATGCTCTTACCTTAAAGTGATGAAAGAGAATGTTGATCTAAATGAATGAGAAATATATGAATATATAAGCGTTTATTTAAATTAATTATAATGATATTTAAATCATATATAATTATTATTTGATTTACAAAATTAAAAACAATTTATAATATATTTGAATTATCTATATCACAAATCCTCAATTTTAGGATCTCCATCACCTTAGTTTTGATTGTCTTCTTAATCTTAAAAATTATCATCTTATTATTGCTATTTTTCTTCTTGTTAATTTGTTTATTCTTATTGTTATTCTTTGTTTGAATCAGAATCAGATTCAGATTCTTTTTTGTTTTGTTATTTCTTCTCCTCTTTCTTCTTTTTCTCTTCATCCTTTTCTTCTTATGCCTTAAACAATATTTGTATAATATACTTTCTTTGGTTTAGGAATAGCTTTTAATTTAGTGTATTCTTCACTCACTTTATCCACTTTTTTCTTTAATTCTTCTATTAAGAATACTGGATCTTAATGCAATTCTCTCTATTCTTATTCATCTAATTTGGATTTTAACCATTCTGTAGTGTTTGTTAGATGTCCTAAGAATTTAGCTTTTTTCTCTTCAGGAACCCAAGGCATTGTAGAATTTAGAGCACTTGCTTTTTTTTGGAAATCATTCAATTTTTTAATTGTTTCATTAACAGCTTATGGTCTAGCCTTAGCTTCATCCAATCTTACTTAAATTGGTTTTAATCTATTTAATAAGATTATAATAATTACAAATTATTCAATTAAGTAAATTTAGTGTTAAATTTTTCAAAATCAGCTGTCCATGCCTCATCACTATCTAAATATTCAGCATGTTCTTCTACTGTCTTTAAGATTTCAGTTCTTTCAGTTTCAGTTGATGCTTTTTAGAAATATTCAGCATCTTTGACTTCTCTGACTGTATAAATAAGAGATTCTAATTTATTTTTAATTTCACTTAATTTTCTACTATTTTCTTCAGCTGTTTCAAACTATTTGATAATTTTTTTTGAGTCATCAATTTCCTATTGATTTAATCCTAAAACAACATGATGAGTAATTGTATAATTGATGGGGAAAGTATGAATAATTTTTTATTTTTTATATTTAGGTTCTTCTATGATATTTTCTTCTACTTTTGGTGGTTCTTCTGTTTATTAAGTTTCTGTTTATTTTTCTGTTTCTTCAGATAGATCACCCTCTTCAGTTGATTCATTATCTTTATTTTCAGTTTTATTTGTAGATTTAGCTTAGGTTGTATTAGTTGTAGTAATATTAGGTTTAATTTCAATGAGTTTTATTTCTTCAACTTTCATTTCAGCACTCTCTAATTTAATAAATTCATGTGAAGTGGATTTAAAAGTAAGAGATATTTCTGGTTTACTGAAATTGAGTTCTGTGGCATTAGTAATATTATTTAAATGATATGACATTAATTTAGATTTCTAACCATCTTTTTCTACATAGATATCTAATCTCAAATTTTTATCATATGTAAATTCTAAAGAACGAGTACTTCCATACTTTTTCTTATATCCAAATAATGAAAATTCTTTATGAAAATCATCATCATTCACTCCATTAATTTCAATTAAACTACTGAAACTAAAACCATCACTTAATTAAACTGGTCTAACTTTGAATGAATGAGATAGATTAGCAGCATGAAATGCAGCACCAAAAGCCATAGATTCATCTCCATTTAAATGTGTTCCTACTTCTACACTTCCAAAATAATTAGCTAATGTCTATTAAATTCTAGGAACTCTAATTCCTCCACCAATCAATTCAACAATATTAATATCCTCTTTAGTTTTATTAGATTTTTCTAAAACATAATTAATTGGATCAATTAATTGTTGTAGTCTATTTTCAAATAAGGTTTCAAAAGTTGATCTCTAGATTGATGTAGTATAATCTTCTCCATCAATCAAACCTTCCAAATAAACTTAAGTTTCTTTATTTGCTGATAATATTTCTTTATATTTATTAGCTGCCTTCAATAATTTATTCATTGCTTTAGAATTTGTAAATATTGATTTCTTTCCTTTTCTTGATGGCTAATTATCAAACTCTTTGGCAAAATGATTTGCTAGCAAGAGATCTAAAGATTATCCACCTGCATTAGGTATAGAATAGTCAGCTAGTACTTTTAAAGTTTCAACTTTTTTCTTTTGAGCTTCAATGGCCTAGAATTCCACCAAAGACACTTGAATATTATATGAACCTATGTTATAAAACAAAGCAGTATGTTTATTTTCATCTTATCTTTCAAGTGCATAATATAAAGCTGCAGCTGTATTTTCATTAATAATTCCTAAGACCTCTAATTCTGCCAATTAAGCAGCTGATTTTAAAGCTCTATACAAAATATTTAATTTTTAATTACGATCTCTAACTTATGTTCCATTCGCTTGGTACTGTCAATACTACATCTTTAATTTAGATTTAATGATTAAAATCTACTAACTTAGCTATAAATTTAAGAACCATTCCTGCTAATTCTTCAACTTTAACAATCATAGTATCCTTTCCTTCTACCAATACACCATCAACTTCAAAGGCAAATGTTCCTTCTCTCTAAAATTATATGGTTTGTATCTATACTTCTTCAATCTCTATTTTAAAATCTTCATAGAACTGTTTAGAAATTTCTATTAATTTTTCGTCATTAGCTAATGCTCCTAAAAATTTGTTTAAGAATGTAAATGTATTCTTAGGTAATTTGGATTTCTTAGAAGCACCATCACTCTCATATAAACGCTCCTTATTATAAAATGCAATCTTAAGCATAGATTATTGATTATACAGCATTTTCTGTTTTACGTTTGCTTGTAGTATTCTCAATGATTGTGAAAGATTTGCCAGGACTTATTAAAACTGCCTTAATAAATTCAGATCCGAAATCAATTCCCAATACTGCTCCACTAGTAATGATAGCTAGGAGACAAAGGAGTAAGTATTTTATCATTAATAAAATCAATAAATATTCTAGAATAATTTTACAATCTCTAATATACACGTGTATTCTGACACTCTATCTGTTAATTTACCTTGAGTCTTTTAATGATTAATATAATTATTTTATAGAAATGTTGTTCATAAATACTAAATGTCTATTTTTGTATCAAATAACCCATTATATATAATAAATATAGATAATATATTTTAATCCTCATTTTCCTAAATGACTAAATGGAATTATTATTTTTTTCCATCCAGGATGGTTTTTAGCTAATTTTCTTGAAATCATTTCAGCTAACCAAATAATATTTCTGATTTCTTATTCTTTCAATTTTAAATATGCATAAAACACCTTTTAATTATACATTAAAATACTCCATATGATCCTTATCCATCAAAAGCTAAAGCATATCGTCTGCATTCATCATCATACATAATATCATCAAGGGTTCTTATTTAATATTAAAAATACTTTGTTTAAACATTAAACTCTTCTCTTTTTAAAGGATCAGGTGCATCCTTTAATAGATCTCTATAATTATCACAACCTTTAACTGCTTCTCTTAAAGTATCCAAAGTCATTGCTTATAAATATAACTTTTCGCAATCAGGATATAAATTACCTATTGTTGGACATAATTATTTTCTTGTAGTAATAATCTTAGCAGCTGTATTTAGATCTCTATTTCCAATCGAATTATAAATCACTTGTATTGTTTTAAAATCTGCTTCAAATTTCAATAATTCTAATAATACTTCTTAAGAAGTTGCCATTAACTATTATAATATTCCTTTTGCAATACTTCAGATTCACAGAAAGAGTAAAAATCTTCTAACCACATTTTCTTTAAAGATGTTCTAATATATTCTGGTTTCATTTCCCTAAACAAATTCTAGATATCATTCAATGTCCTATTTTCATGTAAATTTTCAATCGATTCTTCTAAAAATTTCATAAAATACACTCCTATTGGTGTATCAATCAAAACATCTCTATATAAACTACTATAATCATCTCCCTCTAACACCTTAATATTTTTAATTTCAGGAAACCAACCTAATGGATCTATATTGCTCAAAAGTATTTCAATATCAATTTTATTCTTTAATCCCTCTATCATATTTACTACATTATCAATCATGAAGCGACATCTATCATTTAATTTCTATTGAATACCTTAAATGGAACAAATACTTAGTTAGAGTTCCTGTTGATTATGCTTCTATGTATTCAAATTCATCAGCTAATTTTTTCTTCAATCTCTATCTCAATATTGAAGTTGGTATCTAAGGATTGTCAGCTTATAAACAATTCTATTTTTCATATATCTAAATACTTGATAATCAGTTTCTTCTAAAAATGATTTCAATTCTGGGATTGAAGCACAATTTTTCATTTATTAATACTGAGCTTCACTCAAAAAACTAGCTCTAAGTCCTCTTATGATAGCTTCAGCATAGCCATCATCGACACCAAAAACACAAAGATCCATAATTTAATTTATTTATTGTGGAGATAAATTAATTATAAAAAAATGATTATGGTTTTTCTTATTTTTCTAATTATATGCTTAAATATTTTGTTGTTTTTAATAAAGTGTAATATTATTTATAATCTAAAGAATGAAAGATTTTTTTATTATTTTAATAGTCAAATGATATTAAATATTATTGTAATGATAATAATCTATATAGGTACTTCTATTTGTAAATATTTCCATAATAACCTCGAACTTAATAATACTTAACATTAAGAAATTTATTTATAATTAAATTTTTATTTTTTATTTAATTATAAAATAAATATAAGATAATCTTTAAAATCAATGATAGAAATGAAAATTATGATTGAAGTTTAAACATTTAAAACCTAAGAAAGTTGATTTTTCTAGTAGCACAAATTTCTTAACTCTTTCAGTATCTTATAAATTATAAGGATATTATTAATATTTATAATACTTCATCATCTTAATTCAATTAAATTAGTAATAAAATAATTTTTAATTAAATAAAAATACTTAATATATAAAAAAATAGTATAAAGTCGTCATAGATATTGTAAATTAACATCAACTTTTAAAAGATATTAAATATCTCATTAATATTCAACATGTTGTGTTTCAAAGTTATTAGAAACTTTTCTTTATGGTCCTCAGTTCCCCTTGGCTAATTAGATCCAATGTCTGGAGTAGTCGCCTAATATGAAGCTGATGATTTTCCATAAAAAGTAAATTTAGGAGTTAACACTTACAGAGATAATAATGGAAACCCTGTTGTTCTAGAATCCGTCACAAAAGTAACATATTTTTTTTACAATTAGGCTCTATAAATAGTTAGAGAAAAAAAATTAGATAATGAATACCCACCTATTGAAGGACTTTAGTCCTTCATTGAAGCAGCTATAAAAGTTGGATATGGTGAATCTTACTATGCAAAAAACAGTAAAAACATAGCTGGTTGTTAAGTACTAAGTGGAACAGGGGCTGTTAGGCTAGGGTTTGAATTTTTAAATAAGTTTGTTCCTTCTGGAACAAAAGTGTTTGTTCCAAATCCTACTAAAAATATTCATCCAATCATAGCTAAAATGGCAGGATTGTAATCTCAAGAGTATCGCTACTTTGATCCAATCACCAGACAAGTTGATTTCTCAGGGTTATCTGAAGATTTATATTCTGCTCCCAATGGATCTATAGTATTATTACATGCTTGTTCTCACAATCCAACTGGATGTGATCTAGAGTTATACTAATGGAAACAAATTTTAGATTTAACGAAATAGAAACAAATTCTTCCATTCTTTGACATGACATACTAAGGTTTTACTAGTGGAGATCTTGAAAAAGATGCTTAGGCCATTAGATTATTTACAGAAGCAGGAGTTCCCATCATTTTAGGTTAATCCTTTGATAAAAATATGGGATTATCAGGTTAGAGAACAGGGTGTCTAAGTTTAGTTTGTTCTAATGAAAAAGAAAAGCAAATCGTTGTTTCTTAGCTGAACTTGATTGCTAGATCACTTTGGTCATGTCCACCTGTTCATGGAGCAAGGATTGTAGAAACAGTACTTAACAACCCAGAAATATTTCAATTGTGGCTAAGTGAATTAAGGATCATGGCATAAAGAATGAAAAAGATGAGAGTTAGCTTTACAAAAGCCTTAAAAGACATAGGTTCCCCTCATGATTGGTCTTACATCTCAAAATAATTTGGAATGTATTCATTAACAGTATTATATATTATTTATCCATTAGGGTATTGGACCTGCATAAATAAAGGAGCTGGTTGAGAAATACCATATTTATTTATTAAATAATGGAGGTATATCTATTGCTGGATTGAATGAAAGTAATATCAAGTATGTGGCTAAGGCTTTCCATGAAGTGACAAAACATAAGATTATATGAATTTAATTATTATATATTAATTTAATAATAAATTATACTATTGTATTTATTATTAAATTAAAATCAGAATTTCCCCCAATTCTAAAATGGATCAAAGTTAATGTTTATGTTCATTTATTTCTCCTAATTTATATTATTAGTTTATTCTTATTATTATTATTATTATTATTATTATTATTATTATTATTATTATTAATCAAATTATTATGGTTGTATGTTATTTATGAGTGTTGGTTATTATTATATTGAAGGAGGTTATTCATCTAAAAGGTTGATATTATCAAATTCTTTATATTTATTAACATTAACCTTTGATTGTTGATCCTGATTGAGTTTAAATGGATTATCAAAGCTGATAAATTAATTATTTAATTAAACAGGATTGTTAAAGTCTTATATTAATTAATCTTTCTATTTTATTACATCTTAATTTAATAAATTTATGTTTGATTGAATATTAATTTATTTAGGTATAGATTATTCAAATGGAATGTTAAAATCAAAATTAAGAGGTTATTATTGATAATTAATTTATGGTATCCCAATTGATGATGGAGTATAACTTTGATTATAAGTCTATACTTATGACTAAACTTATCCAATCTAAATCGGATTAAGAGAAATATTTAATTGAGACATTTCATGAATTCCATTTTATGGTATGCCTGCTACAATAGGAGAAGCATTACTATTTGATTTATTTTATTATAAAGATAGAGGTTAAAGTTGATCTAAATTCAATTCACTACTTTAAAAATTATTTGATCTTTCCAATGAACTTTAATGTTAAAAAGATAGATTTGATTATTATTATTATTATTATTATTATTATTGTTATTATTATTATTATTATTATTATTATTATTATTATTATTATTATTATTACTATTATTACTATTATTATTCCTCAGTATCCTCAGGTAAACATGACATTCTCTCAATAGCTATTTTCTATATCAAACTTTAAAGTAATTCTGAATATTTTTATATTTATGATTTCCCAATATTCAATTCAATTATATAAGGTAACAATTATGGAAGCAATCTTGTTACAATTTGCTAATATTTTATTAATATTTACTTCATAATTTAGGTGTTATAAAAATGATTTATAGATTTCTAATAGTAATTATGCTTATATTTTGGTAGGGGCTGTCATTTTTCTAAACTTTTCTAATGTTGGCAAAATATTATCTGAAATAGAAACTTTATCAAATATATGTTAGGTTTTGCTCAATACTTATAATGCCAATAAATTAACTTCCTTATTGGATGAATCCAAGCATAACTATAGTAATCTAGGAAGAATCTTAAATTGAAATGTTTATATACCTTATTTTTTGTGTATTAATACTCTATCTTTTCCATTATCATTTAAGTTTGACTTAGTGCTACTTCTTAGAGTTTTGCAACGTCAGATTCAAGACATTTAACATATAGTGGAACTAGATGAGTTTAAATTTCACTATCAGGTATTTTTATCTCATAAAACTATTTGATGTTTTAAACCAAACAATAAAGGGCTTAAGCAGGCATGCTTGGTAATCCAGAAACCTTTTTAATATAATTCCAACACAAAACAATATATTTCTCTTAAACTGCTTAATCAGGCATTTTAGAAACATCAATAGCAATGAATATTACATTTTGCATTAATTTTTCATTAGTTATCAAAGGCATGATATTAGGTAATATATTTCTTACGATTACTTACCTTTCAAACTCATAAATATAACATATATATACTTTATAAATGCTTTTTGATATTTATTTTAGTAAAGCTGCCTGTTATTCAGAATCGAATTATTGAAATTACTTAAGTGAGTGCATCAATCGGATTAAAGGATCTAAAAAGAATTCATGATGATAGATATCAATAATTGCAGGTCTTTAACTTAATTCTTTACTGAGCATCTTAATGATCAGGTCTTTTAATGATTGATCTTAAATTTGAGTAAAAAAGGGGCTTTTTTAAATAAATGGCAATAGACATTCAAAACTAGACTGATATTAGGTGATGTGAGATATTTGGAATAAAATTAGATCTTTCATTCCTGACAATTGAAACCTCATTAAACCAGCCAATCTATAGTAGTTTATTTAATAATTACATCAATCCTAATGAAAAGATATCTGATTAATATGATCCTAATGATGGATTCAAAGTTAATTCTGGTGCCATAAAGGCTAAGTCTGGATACAATTACAATTATTTATCATAAGGTTTAGGTATTAAATCAATATCCACATTTATGGAATTGCCCATAGGATTTGGTTAACTGAAAATGAATCCTCCTATCTAAATTTAAATATAATAATTACTTTGACTTTTCCTTCTGTTGTTATATAGATATTATCAGGGGAAAGATTTAAATGATTTAATTTTGCATCATTATGTAAAAAGCTTAATCCTTCAATAATTTACAACATAATTAACTTAATATCCATTATGCTGCATGAAATTAATTTATCATCTAAATGTAAATTTGAATTTTACTTTTGATTATAGAATTTAAGGTTCCAATAACTTTTTCTGTCACACAAACAAGTCTTTTATGATCTTCTCCAGGTGGTTCAATTACTGAGAGAATACAAGGATGTCTAACCGATGCTAGCTTTTCTCCTTCTCTTCTTAAAGTGGCATATATCATTTCTCTCTCCTTTTCATTTTTGACTAGCTTATGTACACTTCTTTTATCAAATATAAAAACAGAGAATTCTTCTTTATGCTTCTTAGCATTATGAACTAAATAGATCCTAATTTTCATTACTTTACCATAATGAGTTTTAGCCTCCAGTCAGATATGGTTTTTTGTCTATATCATAGTTTTTAATCCATTAATTTCCCATAATAATAATTAATGTTTTATATAAACAAAATGATAATAAGAAATTCATACCCATTCTGCATCTTCTGTAGTTTACCAACCAGTGATATCAGCATTAGGTCTTTCAGTCATTGTTCTAATTGGAGAAAAATTTCTTTAGTTGCTAAGATTTAAACCTGTATTTAATCTGCTAGTATTTGAAACTTATTTAAAGGATGACTTTAGATTTATAGAAAAATTTTTAATTGGCTTTTTTGAAACCATAAGAGGATTAAATATCTCTGTTTATTGTCTATTTTCTCTGTTCTCTTGTTTACTCCATAATTATTATCTAGGAAACATCATTTAATTTTTGATCTGCCTTAATAAATTGCTTCTTTAAGGTAATATGAGTTAATCATCCATATTTATTTGATTGAATTTCCTACTTTAACCTTCTGAAGAAGGCCTTGTATGAACGTGTAATTTCTTCTGTTAATATAAAGAACTGGCCTATATTTTGTTTTCAATTAATACTGGGTTATATTTATCTAAATTTATTCATTATCATACTTACGTAACGTAGTTCGTTTTGGAATGTTTAATTGAGTATCAACATGATGTTTAAGAGATTGAGGGTGAATGGAATTATTTGTATTTGAACGTATAAGCTTGTTAATGAGACATTCCAAATAGTATATATCTACTGTGGTTGTTGATTTCTTTTACCTCTTCATTATTTATTTGATATTAATATAAAATTATTTATTTGTTAGTTTTTTCATTAAATTCATCACAATTTATAAAATCACAATCCTTAAACTATAATTTAAAGTCTATATTTTAGATATGTGATTTAGATGATTTCGATCATTTACTAATAAAATATTTAATATTTATATTAAAATAATTAAAATAAATGATAGTGGAAAATGAACATACTGATGAATTTCATTAATTATTGAATAATATAATCAATTAAAATCCTGTATCAAAGCCATATTTGTTATATTACTAAAAATTGAAATCAAATTAGAAATATCATTAACAAATATTCAACCTAATAATATAAGAATTTTAATATCATACTTAAACTAAACTAATATTTTAAGATTTCTCTTAAATTATATCATAACATCAATAAATTTAGAGCTAAATTAAGTTGATTGATTAAATATTTAAAACAATTGAATCATCATAAAACTAATCCATTAATAAGGTTTTAAATTAAATATACTAAACTAAAATTTACAACTACAAGGATAAAATATTGACTCTGTTTTTAAATTAATTTTTAATTTTGAGATAAAATGAAATTGATAATAAACTATTATAATTGATTGCATTTATAAAGAGTACTTAATTTTGTTAAGAGTTTAAATAGAGTTTAATTGAAAAATCAATAATTTTTTATAATAAGTTCACATCGATTGAATAATTACATTAATAATATTTGGTGGAAGAAAAGATTATTGAATTATTTTAGGATGTACAATTAGGAATATCCTTAAGAGAAGAGTTTTCAAAGGTTATAGCAAGAAATCTTAGTGATACACCTATTCTACTTGAAAACATGTCTTAAATGAAAATATATTTTGAATTAAATTAAATAATAGATAGTAATATTTTGAAAGGGAAGATGTAAATAATTATATAATAAATTTAGTTTTGATATGGTTTATTAAGATATGATTAAAGTAATAAATAATGAAAATAAATAATAAATAATAAATAATTTATTTGAAACAAAAGAGTATTATGAACAAAAAGTTAGTGATCTTTTCTAAAATAATGAAAAAATAAAAATAAGTTTATCTAGTGCTATCGAAACAGCAATTTAACTTAAAGTAAATTAGTTGTCTGAATAATTATCATCCTATTTTGATTAACTTCTTATAAAAAAGTAAGAAAATAAGGATTTTGTAAAAGTATAAGAGAGGATTAAAAAAACATTAGAACTTATGCCTTATTTTTCAGCTAAAGATATATTTGAACATTTTTACACATAAAGAATGACAAGAAGATTGCTTTTGGAATTATCAATTTCTTAAGAATTAGAAACAGAAATCTTAATAAATTTAAAATAATAATGTGGAGATTAATATGTAAGAAAAGCTGAGGAAGTATTAAAAGAATATAAAAAATGTTATTAATATTAACATTAAGGAGTAGAAGTTAAACTAGTTGTAATTTCCTAAAATTCTTGGACTTTAAAATAAGATTAAATTCCTAAATTTTTTTTGAAAGAATAATAATAATATTTTTTGGAGAGTTAAAATTAAGAATTAAAGTAGAAGATTTTATTATGGATGTTGGAATGTAGCAATTGTTATGTTAAAGGTTTCAACAAAGTATAAATTCTAATTTAATTTATTAGTATATTTTTATAGTGTCTGCTGTTTAAGCTATGATTTTAGATTTATTCAACAATTAGAAATCTTATAAAGCTTAGGAATTCATTCAACTTAGTGGATTATCCAAGGATGAAATAATTAGAAATTTAATTCCACTTGAAAAGGAGAAAATATTAATTTTAGACTAAGGAACATATTCTGTAAATTATGAATTCGAAAGTAAAAAAACTCATATAAAAATAAATTAAATGCAAAAGATTGAAAAAAAAGAAGAAATAGAAGAAAATACATAAAAATTATTACATGATCGAAAATATGTTATTGATGCTTCAATAGTTAAAATAATGAAACGAGATAAACAACATACTCTTTAAGAAATTGTCAATTTAGTTTTAAAAGATTTAGGATTACCAATTAAAGTTGTTGATATTAAATAATAAATTGAAGTTTTGACAGAAAAAGAGTATTTACAAAGAGATCAATAGGATATGAGTTTATTTATTTATTTGGCATGATAAAGAATTAATTTATTAATAATTATTAATATAATTTGATACATCAATTAATAATTAAATTTTATTATTGAAATAGAGAAATAAGTTAAATTCAAATATTATTGTGAAAACTATATTTACTTTTACTAAAAACCTTTCTAAATTCCTGCATATATACAGAATTACTCTTTCTTATATTCACAGAGTCTTATCTCTAAGTCAATTTTTGAGGAATTATAGATAATCTATGTGTGGAGGGGATTCTTGGTTTAGATTCGTCATTTAAGGTTTTGCATATATTAGCAAAACTTTATTATTATTTTTACATCTTGATTGATTAAGATTATAAATTACTTATTATTTCATTAAATTAGCTAAAGATGCCTAATAAGGATTTGTAGTGTTATGTGAAGATGAAGTTTTATGTCTCAAATTAGATTAATAGGCATCATTTTCTAAATTTATTTTTAATCTCATTTATTGCTTCAAATAGGATTCTAAATCAATATATTATTCTTTTACTTTATGGATTTTAACTTATATTGTTAGTATTATAATCTTATTATCTTATACTACGATAACTTTTAGATTAAGTATTATTTTAAGAACTTTTTGTTTATTATTTTAAAAAATAATCTAATTTATATGATTAGTTTCTAGATATAGCAGTGTCATTATTATGAAATTAAGTTTGTTGCTAAATTATTTTGCTGAAATTATAAATTTCAAAGGCATACATACTTAGGTGGATTGCTGCACATTGCGAATGAACGTTCTAAAGATTTACAAATAGTTTATGGTTTACTATATGTAATTAGTTGTTAATTCACAACTTCTATTTTGTCAAAGAAACTGTCATTCATATTCATATTTTGAATTTAAATAATATTAAAATAAAATGAATTAGGAGAAATAAAGAAATCTATATTGGAATCATTTTATTGCAGGCTTAATAGGTGGATTTATAAGTGTGACATTATGTCATCCTTTAGAAGTAGCTAGAAGTAGATTAAATTTATAGGTATGCAAAATATAAAAATTAAGAATGCCACAAAATCTGTTAATAAATACAGTGGATTTCTTAATACACTTTATGTAATATTTAAAGAGGAAGGATTCTCTGGTTATTATAAAGGTAATTTATTGTTTTTAAATTAAACAATAGGTTATCGAGCAACTGCCATAGCAAATCCATTATTTCATTCTCTCTTCTTTCCTTTATATAAATGGAACAAGGAAATATTGGAAATTAGATATTAAATCTATGGTTTTTATAACCATGCTGCAGCAACTGTTTTAACAGGATTTTTATGTGATTTAATAACCAATCCACTTTGGGTATATTTTTAGTTTAAGTATAATTAGCTTATTAGAACTAGAATGTAAACAGAATATTTGCATGATCATAATCATGTTAAATATAAATCAGTATTTGGAGGGCTTTTTGGAATGTACAAAGAAGTATATTTTAAATTTTTAATTGTAGGAAGGATTTTTTGCATTATATAAGGGTTTAGGTGCTACAGTTTTAGGATTGTCTCATGTTGCTGTATAATTTCCTATTTATGAAAAACTTAAATAAGATTATACAGATGAGAATGGTTAACTTTCTCCTATTGATATTCTTAAAGCTTCTGTATTCTCTAAATGTAATAATTCATATTTTGAATATACAATTTAGCTATTGCAGTAATTGCAACATATCCTCATGTAGTAATTCGAACAAGATTACATGATAATAAAACAATATATAAAAATGGATTCAGTTCTAGAATAAGAATTATAGACATTTGTAAAGCCATTTATGAACAAGATTCAATCAAAGGATTCTATAAAGGTCTCATACCTGATTTAATCAGAGTTTTACCTTCTAACAGCATAACTTTTCTTGTTTATGAACTCTTCAGTAAGTATCTAGTCTAAAAATTTTGAATTTATTTAAAATATGTTAAAAGTTTTAGATATATTTTTAATCAATAATTCTTACAATATCTATATATTTAGATGATAATAATAAAGATATGAATATATTAGGTTTTTATCAAAATATATATGTGTAGGTATTTGTTTTAATTAAAATAAATACTTATGTGTTAAGTGATTATTTATTTATTTTTTCATAATTCTTGAATGAATAAAAATACTAATACTTAGTAATATTTAATAAGATTAATAGCGATACTCTTATAAAAGTTGTGATAGTAGGGAATTGCAATGTTGGAAAATCATGTATATTAATGAGATATTCTGAAAATTATTTTACATCACAATATTATAATACAATTGGTGTAGATTTTGTATAAATAGATTATATTTAGAGAAAACTAGAGTAATTAAAATAGGGAATTAAGATGTTAAATTGCAAATTGTATTTATATAAAATAATTAAAGTGGGACACAGCAGGATAAGAGAGATTTAAAGCATTGACAAATAATTATTATAGAGATGCCCATGGAGTTGTGATTGTTTATGATGTGACTGAAAGATCTACATTTGATGCAGTAGATAGCTGGATTGAAGATATAGACAAGTATTGATATGCTTTAGCAATTAAAAAAAGGTTTGGGAGAAAAACAGTTTAAAAATTAATAGTTGGCAATAAGGCTGATATACCGAATAAAAGAAAAATAAGTAAACAGGAGGGTTAAGAGAAAGCCAAATAATTTAATGCTTAATTTTTAGAAACATCAGCTAAAACATCTGAAAATGTAGATAGATTATTTATTTCAATTTGTGAGTAAGTCATGAATATGAAATAGTAATAACCTTACAATTAAAATAATAATTTAAATCAACAATAATAGAATTAACCTAATGGTGGAGGGTGTTGTTGATGTAATTATTTATTTCTTTTTGTTTTTTAATAATAATTTTTTATGTATAAAAGCTGATTAATGGATTGATATTTTTATATATTAATTTTAATTAACTTTTTATTTTGTGATGAAATTAATTATAGATGGAATTACCGTCTGATTGTTGTTTGATGTTAATGTGCTATTATCTGATATATATATATATAATAAACATTTATCAAGTTGATGAATTATGGAATCTCATTATATGAGATTAATGATTAAAAAATTTCAATATCTGAAATATATTTTACATTTTATTTTTAATAAATTTATATAATTAGAATAATGCACGAAGAATAAGAAGTAGAGATCACAACTGATTAATTGTAATCAATGAAAATGTGTAAAATATTTAAAGATCATGTAAGTTTGAATTGTAAAATTTAGCAAAAAGATATAAATGCTATAGATTTTTCAAAAGACGGGTAATATTTAGTCTCTTGTGATGATTAGGCTTTAAATGTATATGATGTACATTAGGGAAAGTAAATTAGTTTTTAATCAATAGGAAAATGAGAACTCTTTATAATAAGGTTAAGGAAATTGATCTTGTAAGATTTACTCATCATAATTCATGTGTGTTATGTGTTACAAAAAAAGAGCCTTATGATATATATTATTGGTCATTACATGATAATTAAATATTGAAGAAATTTACTGGTCATACGAATATGTAAATTTTAATTGAATTACTTATCTGATAGAATACATTGGTTAGATTTATCACCTGTCTCAGATGATTTTTTAAGTTGTAGTATGGATGGAACATTAAGATTATGGAATTTAGCATCAGAATACTAAACATCTGATGGTTTATTAGATTTATCTGCTAAAAAAACATTTAGTGTAGCTGCATTTGATCCATCTGGATAAGTTTTTGCGGTAGTGTTTTTGGAATAATATTATTGTATATCAAATAATTGGTTATACTTATATGATTTTAAAAAATATCATTCTGGATCATTTTAATCAAAAAAGATTAATTGTAGTCAAGTGAAATGTATTAAATTTAGTAATAACAACAAATATATTTTATGTTCTACAGGAGATGGTACAATACTTATTTTAGATGCTTATTTATTGGATACAGTATATAATTTAATTTATAAATAGATTTGTGAATTAAGTGATTTCAGCAATTAAGGATCTATGATAGAAGCTGGTTTTACTCCTGATTGTAATTATGTAATAAGTGGAAGTGAAACAGGTACTATACATATTTGGAGTCTTCCACTTGGAACTTAAATAGCTAGATTAGAAGGACATTAAAAAAGATGTAAAGTTGTTAAATTCTGTCCTACACATTTTTTAATGGCTAGTGGTTGTAGAAATTTAGTACTTTGGATTCCAGATTAATTTTCAATTGATAGCATGAATAATAATAATAGTAGAAGAAGTTTAATGAGCATTTGAATTTAATTTATGTATTTTATCTATATATTTAAATAATATTTATAATATAAAATGTAATAGTATAGTAGCATAGAAGTAAATTAATTGTTTACAATCTTATATAGTAATTTGATGAATTGATGTCTAGCAAATTTTATATTGAAGAGGTTTTCGATGAAATGTAAAATGATAAAGTGGACATACCAAATACAGATAAGAACAAAATCTTGTTAACACTTGTAATGTATATCACTATATAAAAAGGAAGAAAATCTAAAAGAGAAAAATGATTTCATACTTTCAGAAGATTATAATTAGTATCAATAATTACTTGTTATTTCATTGATTACAATCAATTTTTCTAGTGATGATCCTTTTTTTAGACATATTACTATGGTTGTAAAAGCTATCAAGAAAGCCATTAAGAAAAGGCTTACTCAAGACATTAATTACTTTTAATCAGTCTAAGAATATAAAGTAAGATTTATATTTTTTAATAGAGAATTAATAATCAAGTCTCTTTAAAATCTTTTATTAAGATATAAACATTGGTTTCATAACATCCACATTATAAATAAAGTCTACAGCATTCATATTTATCAATAAAGCTTTAGTTGATACTTTTATTAATAAGAAAATATCAATTGAACAAAAAAATGAACGAGCTAGATTGACTCTTTCTTTTTTCAATATAAACATTTAAAAAGAATTAAATGTGTAATAAGATTTTAAAAACTAATTTTTAAGAAATAATAAATTCAAAAATGAGTTTATTGTCTTAAATGAAGAATTTGATCAATAGAAATAAAGCACAACTTATCATGTCTATAAGCCAATGGATGATTAAATTTATTTTGTTAAAAGAGTAAAAAACAACCTAATTATAGATTTAATTGTAAAACATACCTATTAATGTTACATTTCAAGATATATTTAATACAAAAAGTTCTAATCAAGATTACTTAACAATTCAAGAAGCACGTATTCTTTTAAGTATTTCACATCCAAACATTATCAGACATTATGACTGGTGGCTTGAATCAAAAAATTAACAACTATTCCTCTATACTCAAATTGAATATTGTATTTATCCAGGATATATCTCATAAACTAAAAATCTATTAAGTTATTCATATTTTTATTTGAATCCTATGCCATTAGAATAGAAGAGTAAATTAATAATAGAAATAATCTCTTAAATTATAAGTGGTTTAGAGTATTTACAACAAAAATAAATTATTCATGGAGATCTTAAACCAGAAAGTATTATGGTAACTAAAAGTATAACTGGAGATATTTAAGTAAGTCTATTATAATATAAATGAGGTAATGTTGGCAGATTTGAATCATTCATACTCTTATTTTGAAGATATGCAAAAATAATTCAAATAGGATTAAGCTTAATATAAATAATAGAGTCTTTAAGCTTTGGGTGTATTACTAATGCATCTTATTCTCACATTTCCTGGTGAACCAACATTAAGAAATAATTATGTAACCAAATTTTCAAATTACGATATTGAAGATTCTTTAAGTGAATTTGATAAATGGGCTTAAAAATCTGTAAAAAATAGACATAAAGAATTTTCTTTTTTATTATATAAAAATTTTATGGTTTTAGCAAAATCACTATTAAAGAAACAGTAATTTCATGAATTGCATGAAGTAAGAACTTTTATTTAAAATAATAAATAATTTGATCATCTATTAGTTTGATTTATTTTATAGTTTTTTTTATAAAAATAAATAAATAATAATGTAAAAGAGATAGTCTCATAACAAAATACCATCAGAAGTTGTATAATCTAATAACTATTACATTATGCCAAAATCACTTCGGTATTTAATTGTTCTAATAAATTAAAGATCATCATAGACTTCTGCTGATAATTTAGAGATCAAAAAGGTTTAATCCACAACTAATGTTGATTAATTTGAACCACTCTATAATCCTGAAAAACTATTAATGAATACACATTAATAAAATAAAGTTTATTAATCCAATTAGGAATTACAATAAGCATTACACTATTCTTAATAAAACAATCAATATCTATCTCGTTATCATTAATAATTACTATAGAATAATGTGGATCTCTAAAGTCTTTATAATAAATCAGAAATGGAAAATAAAAAATTATTAAATGAATTTAAATTATTGTAAAATAGAATTTCACTAAGAGAAAACGAATTAAAGTAAGCTTAAGAGAATGGAGTTGAATATATTAAGGATATAGCATAATTAAAGATTTAGATATAAAAAGTATTTTAATTGTGTTTATAAAAAGCTTAATTCTACATTGACTAAATTAACTGAAGAAAATGAATAATTTAAAGAATAATTAAATGTAACAGGAACTTAGACTTTATTATTAGAAAAAGGATTATCTAGTAGAAGAGATCTTAATTAATAAAATGAGTTTAATTTTAGTGGATCAAGATAATCTGAAAATTCTCGATAATAATAATCTTAAAAAGATTCAAATATATAAATTAATTCTATAATAACTCATGATAATATTTCAAACTATTAAAATTAAATACTACAATATTAAAAAGAATTAACTGAAAAAAATCTATTAATAGCCAGTTTACAATAATAAGTTAAAAATTTAACTGAGTTTTAAAGACAGTTAATGACTAAATCACCTAAAAAATTATAAAATAAAGGAATAAAAAGTTAAATTTAATCAAGTCCTTAATAAACACCTATATAAACATTACGAAATAATAATGATAGTTAAATAATGAGTAATAAAAATCTTTTACAATTAATTGATGAATAATAAAAACCTAATTTTTAACTACATAGAACAAGATAATCAGATGAATTTGATGTAAAATAAACATTTATCATAATCAGGTTGCACCAAGTATCAAATCATCAATAACGAATTCAAAGAGTAAATAAGAATTGTAATAGATTTATAAGAAAATTAATTAATCGACCATATATACTGCAGGTTTATATTCAAGTTTGTTAGATTATTAATATCTATCTAATGTAATTATATTAATTTATATTATTAGATTAAATTATTGAATTCTTCATGTACAAAAGATACATTATAACATTGAAGATCTCCTAAAATATTTTAATCTATAAAATTTATTAGTTATTAAATAATTTAATTACTACTTTATAATTCTATCAATATTAGATAAATTATATTATATTTATTCTATAAAACCAAAGATTAAAGTAATTTCTCTATTATTAAATATTTATTACTATATTTATATAAATAATAATATATTTGTTATTTTATATGTTAAATATGATCTTAATATTAGATTCTAAATTAATCTATAAATTTTGAATAATTTTCATTAAAATTTTTGTTTATTAGATTTTAGAAATTGAAGTTTATTATAATTACATTTATTTATATTAATAAAATAAATTAAATGGATAGAAGTGATGAATAAGAAGAAAGTATGATTGAAGTTTAGCCTTAATAGTCTCAGGCTATAGAAGAAATAAAATTAGATAACAAAGAAGCAACAACGATAAAATAGTTAAAATAGATTTTAGAAGAATCAGATATTGATTGGGAAAGAGTAGATATTAATTTATAAATAAGATTAAAAATATATAAGGAATGTATTTAATAATGCTTGCTTTACAAAATATATTTTCACTTTGGATATTATTATTGCTTTACCTCTTGAATTTTGGAAAGAACATAGCAGATTTAATTAGATATCCTTTTGACATTTTATTTATCTTCCTTTATTTATATTGTCTTGTGTAAATTCAATATAAGTAGGAGGATTGGAAAGTTCCACCATTTAATTATTTATTATACGTATTTATTGATATGCTATCAAAGTTAATAGATGATTCATTCAGTTACTAGAACATTTTTATCAATATATGTAATATTTAGATTTCCATATATTCATCTTGAAATAGTTTATATTATGTTAACATTTGATTTTATTATTGTCTATTTATTGTTTTAAATAGATAAAAAAAATAAAATTCAATGTTTTTTAGCTAAGGATTATTGGTGGAGGTAAGAAATTATTATTATTTAAGAGCTTTGATAATATTTATGATATAAGAGATGTTGGTTAATACAGTTTATGCTGTTTATTCTTGGTTTGAAGTGTTTACTTGGTTTTTGGTTTATTTTATCATATTATGTTATGTTTTATGGGAATGTTAAATGATTAGATACAGATAACACATCATATTCCACTTTAATGCTTTTTATTTAGGGTAAGCCTATTTAGATAGTGATATATTATTTCCATGTTCCTTATTAAAATTATTTAAGCATTGAATAATTTATAATTAATATTATATATAAAATTTTATATTTGCGAATTCCATATATTATAATTTTACAAAAGAATCCAAAATATTTATAATTGTATATATTATATCAATTTATCTCAATTTCTATTTTACTTTTAGATATCTTTTTAAATTATATTGCTTTTAATTTTTAATAATTATTTGGATGAAGTTAGGAGAATTATATTTATAATATTGACTAAAATTATCAATTTTATAAAATACTATAATTTAGATATGAATTTTAATTCATATCTATAAGAACTATTATAAAGCTCTAATGAAGTAAAATTATATTATCATCATATTTTATTAATTTATAGAATCTTAGATTGAGTAATTTCTTTTAGTAATTATTCAGTAAAATTAATCAATTATAAAGATAATTGGCTCATTAATATGATAGTAATTTAATTATAAGATGAAATTTTATTATCTCTTTATTTTCTTTAATTATTGAGAATATTCATTCTAAATGCTTTTGCGTTTTATAGAATGAATTTTAATTTATTATATTTTTTAATAAATGACCAGGGTTATCATTTAAAGTGATGTAAAATTAAGAAATTTCAATTTATTAGATATATTTACTTAATTATAGAGATAAAATAGGTTGGATTATTTATATTTATAGATATCTATTTTATTTAAAATTATTAGTACCTAGGTTGCTATTTATTAAAATATAGGATATTCAAATCAATAAATTGCTTTATATATATAATCTTTCATTTATAAAAAACTAAATATTTGATAATATGATTTTTATATAATTTCTATTAATTCATTTCTTCCTTTTTTATAAAATATGATTAATTATGAGTTGAAACATTAATCAGAAGTAATTCGTAGATAAAATGCAAGAAGTTTTTTTTGTAATGAATTATTAAGTTCTCTTTTCATCATAACTATTAAAATTTTATTATAATAGTGCTTGTCTGATTTATCCAGTTTTAAGTTTTAGTTTAAAAAGTAATAAATCTCAATAATTAAATCAATAATGGGCTGTTCAATCACAAAATAAAAAATGGCCATCTAAATAGAATCTTAAAAGTGCTAAATTGAACAGAAATTTAGGATAAAGAAGAATTTTTTTTATAGATATTCGTTTAAGCTAGAAGATATTTCTTAAAGTACACTATTGATGAGAAGAAATATAAAAAGTAAAGGAATATCCGGAAATACTACACAACCTATTACAAATTAAATGATTTCTCTTTAATGATAAAGAGTGATTATGTTATATTATTAATATATATCACAATCCTGAATTAAGACCTTATTTTCATTTTCATCTTTAGCCATAAAAGACTCATTATTTTTAATTTACTTCAAATAAATAACTTTGATGTGTTTTCAATACTAAAATGAATTAAGTATGAGTTAATTTACTTTTGAAATAGAAAAAATAAGGAAACATTAACGATAAATTAAATGTCATTTGTTATCATAATTCAATCAAATAAATATTTCAAAATGTCATTAAATTCAATGAATTCAATTACAAATATACAAAATTTACATTCATAATGATTAGAGTTATTTATTTAAGACTTATAAGAAATGAAAATTAATAAATTATGTTAAGCATGAATTAAAATTTATTAAATAATTATAATACCAGTTATTATGCTTGTAAATTATTTTCCTTTATTAATATAAACATAGATTCTTGATTAATATTCTTATTATACAATTTTTACAATTATATAAAAGTAATTCTTAATAAATTTAACACTTTTAATCTTAATAAATTAAATTCAAGTCTGTCCTTGTAAATGGTTTACTAATTATAATTTTAATTATATAGAAACTTAAATAAATTCTTAAATCATATATATTATATTAAAAATAAAACAAACAAGCATAGATCAAATGTTTTATATAATATAAATTAAAACTATATAAATGTACCGTTTTTGTGTGATAATTTAATAAAATGAAGGTTTTTGCTATAATGGCTTTGTTGCTAATAGCAGCATACTCTCAAACAAATGAAATAGACGTTGTATTGAAGATGCTTGCTGATTTAAAAAATGGTACAATCAAGCAATTGTAAGAATTGGAAAGTGATTGGGCAACCACATAATATGTAATGTGTATAATATGACTTTCGATCAGCAAAAACAAGACATTGTTAATGATTTATAGCGTTCAGCATCAACTTAAAGAGGTGAATGCAATAGAAGAGATTAAGAATGGGCAAATAAAGAACGTGACATTAGAATAACACTTAGCTATATTAATTGGCTAGAGAAAAGAATTAAAGAGAATAATGAAAGACTTTAAAGATTAGATGTGAACAGATGTGAATCAAATGCTAATTTCATTAATGATATCAAGAATTCAAAGAAAACACTTAATTTAATTGCTTTCCTTAGAAGAGCTGTGAAAAATGCAAAAGAAGTACATTATTATGCAATATAAGACTGATTTACCTACACTATTATAATCTGCTTAATTCATTCAACTCAAATCCTTCTTGGCTGAAGATGGAGAAGAACCAGAAGTGACATCTGAAGATAATGAGCCACCTCATGTTTATGATGAAGTAACTGAGACTCCTGAAGAAACATCAGTTACTGAAGATGTAGAATAAGAAGTAGAAACTTCTGCTGCTCCAGAAGAAGGAGTAGAAGCAGCTGATCATGAAATAGAGGAAGCATAATAAGTAGATGAAACAGAATAACCAGTACCTGAACATCCTTTAGAAGCTGAAGAAAAGGCTACTAATGAATAATTAGCAAAGGAAGCAGCAGCATTTAATAAAATTATTGAAAAGGGATAAAAGGCCCCTGCTTAGGGTGGATCTGGAAAAGATTATTCATAATTCACAGTTGCATAATAAGAGTTATTAAACTTTTTGGATATCTTAGAAGATTAAGTTAGAGGATCATTTGGAAATAAACAAGATAATCAAGTCAATTCAGCTATGGGATATAGTGATTTTAAAGGTTTGATTACTAAAGAAAATGAAACATTTAGAGGACATTTAGCTGCTGAAGATGTTAATTTGGTATTCAATTCAAATTATTATAAAATAGGAAAAATTATAGAACCAATTGATCACTATTTTATAAGCTACAGCTGCCTGCAAAGATAGATTAAAGAAGATCTAAAATTCTATTGATTTGGCTAATGAAGTATTTGTACCATAAATACTATTAGGATTTGGCTAATGCTGAAGCACATTTCAAATCAGTTAGTGAAACTCTTCAAGAGGAATAAAACACTTTTGATGATGTTTATAGAATTTACTCAAGCCAAGTAGGTTCTCAAAGTACCTCATATAAGAGAGATGTTTAATCCAAAATTACAAATTGATTATGTAAAATCAACATAAAATAAAATCATTTTATAAAACTCTATAAAATTACTAAATCATTCCTTTTAAATATTGCCTCTATTATTTTTCCCAAAAATATCTATTAAATGCCCTCCCTTATATAAATTAATTGATTTTTTCTGTCCTTAATCCCTGCTAAAATTGAATCCACAATGATAAATCCTATTATTGCAAAAATAAAACAAATAACTACTAAAAGTCCTCTCTTATATCACTGATTTTTAATAATTTAAATATAAATTTTGCTAAAGCCAAAACTTTAGGACGAAAAAGAAAAGTCTAACATCAAAATCATCAACAATAAACCTAAAAAGTCCATGAACATATTACAGCACATTTGACTATGAATTTATCTTAATTTTTTTCTAAATCTTCATTAAAATTTGATATCTTCCTAAGATTTATAAATTAAATTCTGAGACATAATTTAATTTATGAAATTCTTTAAAAGGCTATAGGGAAAAAAGGAAGTCCTACTCTCATTAAATAAAGAGATAAAATAGTTAAGAAAATTGGATAATTTTTAATAATATTAAATATCTTGAATTAAAATTATTAAACATTCGTAACAATATTTCATTTATAGTATGAAAGCACATAATTAAACATATTAAACCTTTCTAATCGAATCTTAAAATAATGGATAAATGATACTACAATAAAAATTAAACAACAAAAATTATTTGACTTAAACAAATATACTAATCTATTTCTAAATATATTTCTTAAAAAAAGAGAAGTTTTTATAATAAATGATAAAGGTAAAGAAGTTTAGTACTTTAAACATAAGTAAATTGAATTTTAATATTAATTAACTATTATTTAATGATAATGATATCATAAAATAAATCCTATTGAAAATGAAGGATGCAAGAAATCAATTAATAATATATCATGAGATCTATGTATAATAAAGTAATGGAAATTTATAAAAAAGAAGTTTTTGAGGTATTATTTAAAATCTAATTTGAAGCTGAATATATCCTATGAAAAATCTTGGTAATTTAAAGATATGGTGCTTCTATTTATATAAAACTTATAAATTGAGAAAACCACCAAAGTTAACTAAGAATTTATAATTTACAAAAAAAGAATCAAAAACAGATGAATTTACTGATGACTACCTAGATGATGAATGATATCAATATATTGTAAATAAGAAGTAAAAATAAGAATTACCTGATGGAATTAAATATAATTCATTTGAATAAGAGAGGTGAATTTTTGAAGAATGCTTATAAATTAATCTAAAAACTTATTCATAAGGAAGAAATGAAGTTATTGATTCTGCTTAGAGGATTTTAAATCAAAAAGAAGACTATAAAATATAACGTTGGAAATTAGAAGCATAAAAGATAAGAGTATAACTATTAATAATCAAAAAAAATGCTATGTAATGAAAAGTCAGACGCAAAAAAAGTGATACTAATATATATAGATGCATTTCTATTATTGGTAGATTAAACACATATTTTTCTGTAAATTAATTTTTAACATATATGAATAAGAATCAAATTCAAAATACTAATACTCGTAAGCCATCTAATAGTTATTTAAAAACAGAGTTCAGTTGTTCATCACAGACTAAAGATTTGAGATATACAACAGACCCTTCCCCTAATAGAGGAAATAAAGAAAATGTTGTTAAACCATCTTATCTTAAAGCAACTCTCCAAAATCATTTAATCAAATAAGATAGAAATATAACTCCAAATGTTGCCAAAGGTAGTGTTATAAGTTTGTTTCTTAAATAGAAATAAGAAGAGTAGCATACTGAAATAAAATTGAATTCTTGCTAAACGCATAAAAAGAGATTGAAATACGAAATCAATTAATAATCAATGTGTAGTAGATGTGCAATTGATTATGCAATCTAATTTGGAGTGCCTATTCGTTATAATGATTTAGATAGAAAAATGCTCACATTTGGTTAAGATGAAGAACATGAAGAATTTCAATCATTTACATAAAATACATCAAAAGAACTTTAATATATATCAAATATATAAACATAATCTGATGGTATCATTAAAAAGAAGGAGTTAAAAGATTTTATTGTAAAGGTTGGAGATATTATCAGTTAGAATATGTAATTTCTAAAAGTAATACAACAATAATCTCTTACTTTAGATAATCCAAAATAATAAGTTAATAAAATATTAGATGAATTATAAATAATGAGTAAGGCTCTTATTAATGATTTATTTGATAAATAATAAACTAAAAGTTAAGGTTCTTTAAGTATTTCTAATGATCTTCCTTAATAGATTAATCTAAATAGCTTTATATCAGTTGTTACTTAATAAATAAATGATCTATAAAATATTAAAAAGGATATTATGGAGAATGTTGATAATATCATAACTTAAATGGATGTGGCTCCTTTTAAAATTATAATTAATAAATATAGTGAGAAGTTAAAATCATTTGAGATTACTTTATTTGAGATTTAAGAATAATGTATAATAATATTTATATAAAATAGATAAATAACTCCCCCAATAATGTGAATAAAATAGTTTTACAAAAAAAATGAGAGATTTGAATTTTAAGAAAAAATTATCAAAATTATTTAATGATTTACTTGAAAATTCAGTATAAAAGCCAAACTAATTATAAGATTAAGGTAATTAATTTAATTTTAACATACTAGTTAATAATAATACAAAATTTATTTAATTGTTATAAAAAGTTAATAATAATTAGAATACCAATACAATCTTCTATTCATCTATTTTAAAAGTATTAAAAATGATTTAATAAAGGATATAAATTCTGATGAAAAACCAAAATAAATAAAAACTAGATATAAACCTTCTGAGTGATTTAATTTATGATATAAACTAATATAAAAATTTCAAAATTTTATTATTAAATTTTTAAGCATAAATCAAAATCTTTCATTTTAATTTAATAAGCAAAATTGATCTAATATATTCCAACATCTCCAATTCTAAACCAGATACAAAAGCACTATGAGATCTATGAATATTAGAGATAAATTAATTACTATTAAGATTATTTTTTATTAACTCCTTTTAAATTTAATACTTAGAAAGCAGAATTCTAATTAATAGACATCGTAATTACAGGCATTTATGTATCTATATCTAAAGTTGGATCAAAAAATGGATTTGAATTATTATTCAAAGTTGATTCATTACATTAAGTGTCAATAACTTTTTTGAATATACCTAAAAATTCAGATATTTCTGATTAAATTCCATGCTTTATATAATGAACTGAACCATTTATTTTAAGTACTAATCTAGCTTCTTCACAATTCATAATTTTTTTTAATACTCTTTCTGTAATAGAGATGATTTTCCATGGATCTTCAATTTATACAATATCTAAAAAGTATTTAATTACATGTCGCAATTTGTTTTGAGTAGATTCTACTTAATTTTAATTCAGAGAATGATTTAAAACAGTTTTACTAAAATTACATATATATTTTAGATATGCTGAATCTTCATTAGTAAATACTCCTTAATTCTTATTTAAACATTGAAGTACACCTAAACATTAATTATTATCTCCTATTATTGGAGCTGCTAAAATAGATTAAGTTTTGAAATGATTTATAAGATCACTTTCTCTATTAAATCTATCATCTGCATATGCATTAGGTATGTTGACAGACTCTTTTCTAAATGCAACAAAACCAGCTACACCTTTATCAATTGGCATTCGTATTATACTATTTAATCCTTGAGCAACTCTTGACCAAATTTCACCTTTAGTTTCATCCACTATATAACAGGTGGCTCTTTCACAACTAAAGACATGATTTTTATAAAAACTTCATTAATTGTTAAGTTTGATCTACAATACAATTAATTGCATCATTAAGTTGAGCTTACTGATTCATTTAATAGGATGCTTTAATAATCTTTTTAAATTTCAGGATAGCTTCAAACATTTCCTTTAAAAAGTTTTGCAACTTCAATATATGATCATGTATTTAAAGTAACTTTTTAATATCTAATAAGAAATTCATTAAATACTTTATTCTTCTGCTATTTATACAAATGTATCTTCATCAAGTTATCTAACAAACTTAATATTTGGATCATTTTCAAAATACGAAATGGCTTCTTCATCTGATATATTAATTTCTAAGACTTAATTCAATCGAAAATACTCCTCTCCTACATATTACAGTCTACTTGTTTAAGTAAAGTAAGGCATTGAGTTTTTTCTAGAATGAAATTGTTATGATTAGCGTTTTGATGTTGAATTAGATTTTTAAGGACTAACAATTTATTTAGTTTTATAGAGTTATCGTTCTTCAAATATTACTTCATTTCTTTTATTAAGTGTAGTTTATAAATACTAATTTAAGGAGTTTAATCTAAGACAATAAGAATTATTAATACTTTTCATTTTATTTGGAGACCATTTTTAATTGATGTTCGAGTTCTTGATTACGATTAATTTGAGATTCTTCAAATTGAGAGAGAGTTTTCAATTTGAATTTTCTATTAGATGATGGAAATCGACTAGGTACTGAATACTCTTTTTATCCTGACATATTAAATATTTTTATAAATTCATATTTAGAAATACTATTCAACTGCACGATCTATATTTAATATCTCTTTTTCAATGTTTTTTAAATACCTTAAGATTTCAGAATACTAATTAATGATAAATTAAATTAAATACATTTGTTTTTTAAGCCTAAGTACCTGCATATTTCATTCCTATTAAATTAATAATCTTTATTTAGTTAATTATTTTTTCATAGATTTTGTTAAATTATTCATCACCTTAATATAATGAATTTTAAAGCAATACTTTAGTATAAATATTTTTAAGTTCATTAAAATTACATGATTATTGAAAAACACAAAAAAAATCTATTGCTTATTCTTATAATCCAGAAATCCATTCAGTTTCATCAAAATTTTATTCTAATGAATTTTAATTATTTAAATCTTAATCCTTTTATTTATTTTTAAAACTCTTACAAAGTTTTTTACCATCAAATAACGTAATCTTAATATCAGGTATAAGATTTTAATCCCAAATTGCTACAAATTTTTATTTATCATCAAATTCATCTTATGGAAACTTTTCTCCAAGCATATGCGATGAAAATACTATCACATTTTTATAACGTTTAGCCAATTATTCTTAGTTTTCCTTACTTGTATTCTAAAATAAATTTATTCCATCTTTTATCAAATAATTCTTTTTAAATATTATAATTTATTAATCTTAAACTACAAAACTTTATTTCGCATTCTCACCTTATACATTAATAAAAACTTCATCTGGATTCAATAATGAATCATATACTCCCATTAAATAAGCACCCTTTTTTATAGGTAATAAAAATTCTTATTTCCTTTCATATTATTTTAAAGTTCTCAAATAGAAAGGATCTTATGTAGGATCATTTTATTAACTTTTTGATATTTTTAGCATATGATAATATTTCTAAAATGTTTTAAAAACTTTTCTTTATTTATTTTCAAGACTTATTATATTTAAAATCTAAAACAATCTTAAAACACATGGTTTAAAATCAGGCACTCCTAATATTTGTATTTCATCAACCTATTTCTTATCCACTCTTGTTTTTTAAGCTAAACCTTACAATTATTCATTTGTTGGAGAATATTTTTCTATCATATTTTCATATAATCTAATCAAACCTTATTTATTTTGATTGACCATTTTAGTTAATATTCCTTTATAATTTTAATACCTTATAATAAAACAACAATAATCTTTATTCTATCCTTCAAATGCAATTTCATTTATCATTTTCATAACATCATTTGATGCTTTTCCTTAAGGCATGAGTATTTTATAATTATAATGATTTTCTGATTAGTTTTATCTATTTTTTTATTTAGTATCAAGTTTCATATAAATCAATCTACATTAAAATGTTTAATCTTTTTAAATCTCAGATTCAAATCTTATGTCTAATAATTTATCTTCTATTTAACTCAATGTTATTGATGAATTCATTAAATTTAAATGTTCATTAAATATTTTCTGAATTTAAGAACACTTTACTATTCTTTAGTTATTTTTATATGATTTTATTAACTATTAAAACATATACTAATATGTAGTTTAGAAATATACAGAATTTATAGCATAAAATTCAGCTTTTCTAAGTGCTCTACAATCATATCCAAAAAAATTGTATTTTCTATCTAAAATCTAAATTTTCTCTTTAAGTAATTCTCTAAAATAACCTGAAAATAAAAAATGTTTTTAATGATGTCTATCAAACTAATTTTATCTCAACATTTCAAAATTTTCATCTCTAATTCTAATCTTAATTATTTCTTCTTAAAGACCATTTTATTTAAATTATGCTTTACCTTTTATTAACTTTTTCGAACAAATTTCTAAATCATATAAAGGAAGGTACTCAAATATTGAATAATTAGGAAGAATGCCAGAAGGTGTAAGATCTGCTAATAGAATTTCATCTAATTTATCATCAGTATGTTTTTCAGCATTTGTTTTAACTCTAATATTTAACATTTAATTTACATATCTAGAAATTTTTCATTTTAGAAAGTTTCTTTATCTTTCTTTTCTTATTTCTTCAATTTTAAAAACTTTATTTAATATGCTATATTTAATGGATGTATTCCTTTTACTTTTTCTATGAAATTTTGAAAATTAAAGCTTGATTAAATGATTTTATATCTACCAAAAGCAGCAGATAGTAACATCCAATTTAAGCAAAGTTTGACTTAGAAAATATAATCAATTTTTGTATCTTCTGAAATTGACTTCTATGAAATATGTTAATCTCCCATAAATTTCTCTAAGTATCCTTATTTTTCAATATATTAACAAAAATTAAAAAAATTTTCATTTTATGTTTGATTATAATTCACTGTGAATTTTAAATAAGATTATTGTCTTATAATTCCTGCTAATACAATATTATCTATTTCATTTTATAAGAAATTTTAACATCTCCAATATTTTATATCCCTTTAATTCTTGTATTTTTCAAAATCATAATCTTCTTGTATATAACATTTAGGAGTTTCAATAACTTTAACATAAAAATGAATTTGATTTTAATCTTTTGATTTATCAACAATAACACCTCCATTTGAGTATGTTGTATTATATTCTACCTCTTTAACATTTCCATCTTTTTTGGTTTGAAATTAAATTAAGCAATTAATCCTTCTTGTTCTATCGAAAATCAAACTAAAATATACTCTAACTTAAGTATTTTAAAGTTCTAAATTAATATCTTCCATTGAAAAAGAATGTTCTTGATAATATTTCAAGACTTGAGAAGTCGACCAATATTAAAAAAAAATCTTATTTAAAATTCCAAATGAAAACTCTATTCCAGGTATTGATATAAAATTGTCTTTTGTAACCTATAAATTACGTGTCCATTGTGATCCTTTAAGTAGATATTCCTTACCAAAGAGAGTTATTTGTTTTTGATTTTTATCATCTTCATAATGTCTGAGTTTTTAAATATCCTATCCATGAAAATATATATAACATTGTGCAGTAGTTTAAGAAACTTTTTATAACTTTTGCGTTCTAATTGTTGGGTGCCAATTTGGGACTCCAAATAAAACTTATTAAGGTTTTATTAGAACATCTTAAATCATTTCGCAATAATCTAATTGCTTACCTAGAATGAATTTGGATTCATTATGTAGTTTAGGTTCAATCTTTTAGATAAATTATACAATAGAATTTTCAGAAATTGATGATTAAATATCTGAGCTCCAAAATTAAGATTTCTTTATTAAATTCTCAAGATCCATATCCATAGGATCTGGCTTTAATTTTATACAATGAATATTCAAATTAATTTCGTTCTTCTTTAACCAATTCTTTAATTCTTAATAAATATCTGATGCACTTTTTTTAGGAGGCTGTGAAATTATTTTAATATGAATTTACATAAATTAATTAATAATCATTATTTCCTCTATTAGATTAATTTTGTGTACTTAATCAAATTACTTCGAAGTTTATCTTATAATATAAATGAAAGTATTTTGTTTCCAACCTAATACTCTTTTTCTAAATCAATATCCAAATAATTGACATTGGCAATTCCAAAATTATTTGAACTTTTAACTACTTTACCAATTTCTGATTACCCATTAATAATTATCAAATCTTCTAAATTAGCAATATTATCATTAGAGACAATTTTAAAAGGTAAGAGTCTTTTCCTAATGACACCTGTATGGTATGATCTAGCTGTTAATTCTTAACCCACATAGCAACCTTTACTTAAATTTATAGAATTCCAGAAATCAAAATTAACTTAGAATGGTATTTTATTTACAACCTCTTTTCCTTCGAAGATAGCTTCTGTCAATCTTGAGATATCAAAATGCTCTTTTTTTTCAACTTTAATTTCATCTTCTTTAATATCTGGTTAATCATTAGTAACCATTCTGATTCCAATAGAGGAAGATCTTGGATCAACTGCAACAATGTTTTTATAATCACTTTCTTCAGATAGATCATTTTCTGGATCGATAATAGGATCTCCTTCCTAATTATTTAATTTGACTTCTGATCCCTTAAGATGAGGAATAGATGGATTACATAAACAATTGATCTTCATAATCTGTTATAGAGACCTTTTTCCTAATCAAAAATTTCTTGATATGATTGACTAAAGTGCTTTTAAGGTCTTTATCTATGTCAATCCAGATTTCATCGTTACAATATTACCACTCACCGTTCTATTGACTAATATAAGAATTTCTTACATTTATGGTCTATGCAAGATAGCTTCACTTATGATTCTGCCATTTGTATTAAGAAATAATGTACTTTGAGATTACTGAATTTAACGAAGATCATTGGTAGTTATTCCCTATAAGATTTCACAAGCATCTCTTCCTTTAATAGAAAGAATGATTCGATTATCAAGATGTACAAAATGACTTAATTTCTTTAACATTTAATATTAATATATATATAAATAAACAGTATATGTAAATAGAGTGAAAGATTGTTATGTTGTAGTTATATTTGTAAATTCTTGGAGTTTTATTTAATTTAATGAATATTTGGAATAAAAATGAAATCATAACTCCAATTTCAGAGTATCAATTAATGAAAGTAATTTTGTTGAGTATCAATAAGTCATATTAAAAGCATCTCCATTAGATAATAAAAATCAAGGCAACTCCAGTTCAAGTTGATTAACCATATATGAGGAAAAAAGAAGTATGTAGCTTAAAAAAAGTACGGGAAGACCCAACAATCAAGAAGGCTTTAGTATCAAGGATTCTAGAAATCAATCATTGTCCATCCTATTATGGGAAATTGGATACATCAGATATTCCACGTCCATCTAATTTAGGATAGAAAATAATTGATATGAAGAGATTGATAGAAGATAATGAAGTATGTTAGTAAGAAGACAGATTAGTCCATTGAAAGAAGGCTTAGATAAACTAGTTCAGTCATTTCCTTTGATAAGATTAAAAAAGAGTATAAATAAAGCAAGAAATATCTGAAGAACATCACTTAGAATTCAAGAAGAATTTACAATTGCTTTTTGCCCTAAAATTTCAGATCAGAAACTCCTGTTCAATCAAGAACAGTTGACATAAGTATCAAAAAACACAATAAAAGTAATTTAATAAATAGATTATTTTTAAAGCACCCTTACCTAAAGTCTGATGCATATTATAAGTATAAGCTAACTCATATTCTCTTTTTTGTCAATTAGGTTATACTCTTTTAACTTTCTAAAGGGTAGATCTTTTAAATCTCTGGTGTTTTCGCTTATAAACTACTAAAATTTGCTAAATTCATCAATTCCTCTTAATTTATATCAATAACTGACAATCTTGAATTTGCTTTTGATTCAACTCTAGATTCTATACGTGAATGATCCATCTCTTTCTCTGAATCCTATATAATCAACTTCATTTCAAATAGAGGTAGATTCTTATCTTTTCTTCTTCTCTTTATTCCTTAATGAGTTTGATATCTTAAATGAGACCAGAGCATTTTTATTCTCTTTTTTAATTCTCCTCTATTAATTAGAAATTTACGAATCCATTAATACTTTTATAAGTGTGGATACTTCTTACTGATTATGTCTCTAATTTTATCAATATGACTTTCGAATTTATCTATGTAACCACGAAAAACTTCATAAAGAAGGATCAATAAAAATAACATATTTAGAATTCCGATAATCGAAAACATTATAAATTACAAATATTCCATATTTTCACTCTGAGAAGCCTTTATTAAAACTCCTAAACAAAGTGATAACACACATACAGCTGATGACATTTGATCAATATAATTAAGTCTTTTACTTTAATAAGGTTAAAATTCAAAGGATAGAATACCATAAATAAAAACTATCAAAAATACCATAAGACCCTTAATTATAACTGTATCTTCATAATATGTAAGAGCCATTAAAACGAATTATTTTTCAAAAATCTTAACAAATTCCCATAAATAAGCATGTTATGTATATTCATTATAAAAATATCCATATTTCCTACGAGTTTCAATTGTCCTCAAAGTTTGATTATTCCTCCTGATCAAATGCATAAAGATATATGGAAATAAAGCTCCCCAACAAAAGATATTTGGACCAGCAAATATTACCATCCAAAAATAATGAGTACTACTTTCATATAGATATTGTACATCTGATTATACAAATTCTACTCCTCCTAATGTTCGAGATGACAATAAAGCAATAAAACCTCCTATTAATGTTGGTTGCAAGTATATAAACATGTAAATAAAAGTAGTATAAATAATATTCATTCTGGCAGGTAACAATGTAGTTATGACTCCTAAGAAATATCCTAAAAAGAAGATTAATAAATATATTAGTGGCATAACTAATGCCCAAATCATTCTGAAATATAGAATTTCAGTAATTGCAATCTCAATTAGGAAACAATCTAAAGAATAAGCCATAGATTGAGTAGGATTAGCTACAATATCTACAGATGAAATTAAATCAGTAGGAATTGATATTCTAAATGTACCTAATGCACTAATAATCTAAAAATAATTAACTACAATTTTTATTAATATTGATAAATTTGCTTATGTTGTATTCACTCTTACTCCTATTGAATATAACACTTATTCTTTAATAAAGTTTTCAATCATTTAAAAGTTACCTCTAACTGATAATATCATCTAAAGTAAAGTAAATATACATATTGCTGCAATTGTTAAGGAATTATTAGACTTAGTTTATGAACATTATCCACATTTGTATTTTGTGCTTATACTATGTTATTCCCCCCTAACACCATAGATATCACATGATTCACATAATGCTCCCATATGTCCAGTATAACAGGAAGGATTTCCTGGAATCCATCCACCATTGCAATTCTCTTACAAATTATAACAATTCTCTACTTTATCATTATCATATCTCCAATATCCAGAATAAAGTTTTATTCTAACTGGTGTCACTGTTTCCATGGATGAAACATCCATATTTGTACATATAACTTAATTGGTTGTTAAAGCATATTAACCTTTACCACATACTTAACACTTTTATGATGTATATGCTTCTCCTAATTAACAAGGCAATGTTCTTAGATTTAAGTATAATGCATAATTTGTATTAAAAGATTAATAAGGATAAGGATCAATAGGTAATTTGATTGTTGAACATTAGAATTATAATTATAAATAGTATTATTCAGATAAGTAAGGATCAAATGTAATAATTAAATTATCTAAATTGAATGATTCATCATTAAATGAAATGAGTGAAGGTTATGTAAAATTACTAAGAAATTTGAGATTTTTATCAAAGTTTTAAGAATCTTATATTCTTCCTGTAATATTACATGTATCTGTTAATGAGGCTGTTAAAATTGGATTGTAATTTTTATCTAAATTGATAATTCGAAATATCCAATCATATGGGATTTACTCTTAAGTAGGATGATAATAAAGTTTGTAGGATGAAATGCTTTGACCAGAAGGTAAATTTAATGTTAATGAGAGTACATCAATATTAGTATCAAATACTTAAGTTGGTAATATGACACCTTTAATCATAGATATACTCAAATGTTAAGGTATCTCTTCTATTAGACTTCTACCTGTGTTTCCTTAAATAATAACATTTTAATTAGGTAAACTCTATCCATTCATATAGATTCCCCCTGCAATATCTGCTTTATTTCCTTATATTGTAACTTCTTCCATATATATTTATTTGTTTGATTAAGAGAATAAAATGGCTCCACCTATACTAGTTGCTGTATTATCATAGAATGTTGAATTCTTAAGAATTAGAGATGCATTTATTACAGTTAATCCAGCTCCAAAATCAGCTTAATTATGTATCAAATTGCTATTTTCGACTACTATTGTGTATATATTTTTGTTTAATACATCAGTAGTAGTTTATCCTTTTAAATTAATACATCCATATTAATCAATAATATTATTTAAACAATTGACTTCATTTAAAACTATACTTTTATTGGCTTTAGTATTAATGTTATTAATATAAATTAGGCCATAATTACAATGACCACAGATAATATAGCTTATGAGTAATTTATTTATGAAAATTGAATGTGAATTTATTGAAGAATTCTCATTCATAAAATCAACATCTTATAAATATAGTAATGCTGGATATGAATTTATATCATTATTAATAATATGTTAGGAGTACATAAATGTCATTAATGAAGTATCTTCATATTCAATATAATAGGTATATAATGTAGTATTGAATTTACTGTATTCAACTGGATTCCTAGATATTATGCTAGTATCAATGTCATATGAAATAGTTCCAAGATTGACTACATAACTACTCATTATTGGATATGTGCATTTATATAATTATTATTATTCTATTTATTCAGCAACTGTTGATGTATCAACTTAATTATTAAATAGTGATTCTACATATTCCAAATATTATTAATCCCATTAAGGATATGGATAAACATTTTATATAATTAATCCAGAGATAGATATATGTCCAACTTAACTATAAAATTCCAAATTTATTAATTTTGATAATCCAATTGAGACATTATTAATATTTGTATTAAGAATATTCAACTAAATTATATTTTGTAATTTCAGAATTGTAGTAAATGATATATTAGTAAATAGACAATTAATTATTGTAACTGTAGCATAATCAATATAAATTAATTGATTTTGATCTTCTACTCTTGCATCATATTCAATTAATGATCTCAGTGTGATTATATTCAATAAATAATTAGCATAATGATTATTATAGATTGTACAATTTTCAAATAAGATTGAAGGTATTGTATTTGTAAATGTCTATTACTTGAAATAAAACACTTAAGAATCAAGTGATTGACATTAATGAAAAATTGAATCTTTTATTATTACTTCTATTTATAATTATGAACTTAGAATATAAATACCAGCTCCTTAATATGCAATTATTTTATCCATTATCATATTTTAAATAAATAAAAATAATGTAGAAACTTATGTATTAATGTATATACCACAACCTAGTGTATCATATTCTAAAGAACAAATTAAATTTTTCATTACAATATCAGACATCTAAATAATTAAATTCTCACTTCCAACTATAAACATCCCTGCTCCATCCAATCCAACTGAATTATTAATTATTAAATTTGAAATACTTATGTTATCACAATCAAAATACATATTTGATCCAAATGATTAAATTTCAAAATAATTTTGGATATTCTATTTTTCTATTTTTGGATCTTATGAAAATAATTAATGTTATTCCAATATATCAGCATAATATACCTAAATTACATTTGTATCTTCCATTTTTACACTATTTAATTTAACACTATCAACTATAAATTTTATTAAACCTAAAATAGACTTTGTTGCTCTATTATCTATAAAGTTGGAATTAGTTATAATAACATCAGCCAAAGGTGAATCTATTAATATACAAGTAACTAAATCAACATTGACAGATGGAGGAATTTGATGAAGATGATTTCCAATAAAAATTAAATTATTTAAAATTACTTTTTATCTTTGTGTTGAATCTATTACAATAGATGCTATTTTTATTTAAGGATCTAAGATTGCTAAAGTATTATTATAAAATTTAATATTTTCCAATTGAATTAATTCATTACGATAACCAAAAAAAAACTTTGAACTATCTAATTCTGGAATGCTCTCAGTATTTTTAGTTAAGTAATGAAAAGATTTAATATATATTAATGAAGAATCAACATTAAATTATTTCTTTATTATACCATTCTATAGATATACTCCTCTATCAAATTCTTCAATATGTAAACAATAAGTATTATATTCTTTTTCAGAAAAGCAATTTTCTTGAATAGGCATCTATGTATTTTAATCTCCTGACTCACATTAAAATTAATTAATCTATACCCAATGTATTTATTTAATTTCTAATCCTGTTACTTTTAAGAGGTTTTTTATAATTAAATTATTAATTTAAACATATCCAACTTCTTTTATTTAAATTAATGGAGTACCACCAATTGATGTTTCTATTTAATCTATAAATAATGAATTAATTTTTATATTAATTACATTATATTTTTGATTGAATGGTGATTTTATAGTTATTAAAGATTAATAACAAGTATTATTTATAATTTGAACATAGGAAAAGTTAGATTAAACCAAAGTATATAATTATTTCTCATCTATTTCATCACTAGTACCTAATAAACTGGCTCCAATGCCAAATGAATTATTATAAATTAATGCATTTGAAAATATAAAATGATTAGAAATAATTAAATTAGATTCATAAATTAGATTATCTTTAAATTAAAATTGATTTAATTGAAATTTCTCACTATTTGAAGTCTTAAAAATAAAAGAATTATTAAAAGTATTATTAATTATCTCTAAACCATTTATAATTGTATAACCTATTAATTCATCATTAGGTTCTAAATCACCAATAAAATAAAATTCTAAAAAAATAGAATTACTTATCTTAATATTATTCATTGTAATATAAGTTTATGGATACATTTCTATTAAGTACATTTTATTTAATTTTAAAGAATTGAAAACAACATTTTTCATTATTATTTATTTGGTTGGAGAAAAAGAAATTACATCATTAATTCCAGTAAAATTGTCAAAAGTGACATCTTACATGTCAAGTTTATCTAAATTTTATAGTAGAATTTAAATATCAGTTGGGGAACTCTTTTGAAATAATACATTGTTAAGAAACAAATTTGAACATAAATCTAAATTGAAAATGAATTAAGACTATAATGTATATAGTCTTATATTTTGGATTACAATATTAGGGTAATTTGATAAGGTAAATTTTCCATCAATATATAAATCTAAAGGATCTGTTGAATAACTCATAATTGTGAACTTGAAATCAGTTAAAGAAAAGATATTTTCATGAAATTGAGTTAAGATTGTTGTAGATTTTGAGAAAGTGCATTTATTTTATGTATCTCCTTTAATTTTAAGATTCAAATTAAGAATTTCAAGTGGTAGAGTATTTAAATATTCATAAAATACTAATGTTTCTAAATTAGAAAACTTAATTGTGGCAATATCTTCACTTTTTGTAGTATAAAATGTAGCTAGATCATAATAGTATTTGGAATTTTATGGAGAAATTGTTAATTATTAGAGATAGTCATTAATACTACAAAATAAGGTTACATCTATATCAAATTAATGTCTACAAGGCCAATCTGTATTACAACTTATTGGCATGTTTAAATAGGAATTATAATGAATAACAACAGAACTTCCAATTAATGTCTATAGTTTATAACAAGATCTACTATATTTTTATAGGATTTAACTACTTGGATTAAAGTATTTATTAGGAAATTAAGATTATTATCGTTCATTACAAGCTAGACAATAATTTGGACATTCTTAACATTCTGTTAAATCAGAGACCAAAGATTTTTAATATATGGGTTCATAACATTATGAACATAAAGCATATTTAGATTTATATAGACAAGATGATTTTTAAGTAACAATTCCAGTTGTAGGTATCATACAATTACTAGTGCATCCTAAACATTAATTATTATATAATTAAAATCCATCATCACATTCTGAACAATATATATTGATAGCACCATCTAAATAATATATTTTTCTATTCTAAATTATATTTGGAATTTCATTATATAAAGTAAAATTGTAAGTTTGTGAGTATTACCAACAAGAAGAACAATGATTAGGACATTATACACATTTTCCTGTGAAAAAATCAGGATAATAATTATCTTCACATTTAGTACAATGATAGAATGTTTTAAATTCTGTTATGTATGTTATTCTATATTGATAACAATTGAGACAGAATTTGATTTAAGTAAAACAAAAATCTGATTTGCAAATATTATTATCAAAATCCAATATTTTATTATTTTAACATTACTAACACTAGTTATTACTACTTCCATAATAAAGACAATCTAAAACAGGTATTGATGGTGCTTATGGTAAACATGAAGACATATCAGGACTTAAAGAAGTTCCAGATGCACATAAATAACATAATTATTTAGAAGCTTATTCTTATGGTTATAAAGGTTTAAAGTCTAGATCAAGAGTAGATCTTGTCACTCCAGAAATAGTTATTGTATAATAACATTTTAAACAATCTTTGATTTAACATTGTACACAATCTTATCCTTTATAATCAATTAAATTATTGCCTTCACATTATCTACATCTTTTAACATATTTATTAATATCATCATGTGCAGGATCCACATTATCTCTTGTAATATATTTATATTTTGTTAATTAATCATAACTTACATATTCACATCTTAGACATGAATCTCCACAACTTTCACAGACTGATCTATCAATAGATATGATATATGGATTCAAACATGAGTAGCATTTAATAGTTGATTCTTAAATAGATTTAATACAATCTAAACAATTAGATTAACATTTATCACATACTAAATCATTTAAAAAGTAACCAGAATAACATTCAATACATTAATATCTATCTTTACATTAAATACAATTTATTCCACATGCTACACATACTCCATTTAAAAAAAAATATCCATCTAAACAAGTGATTCCTTTTACTAATAAATCTACTTCATTTGAGAAAGTATTGCAGAATGGATTTGATGCTGATGTACAAATAGTATTACATCCACTACAAATCTATGTTTCAAATTATCTTGTTGTATCACGACTAATTGGTTTATTCCACAATAATTAAGTTGTAGCAATACCTATCACATATAATTCACTATAATCATTAACTCGTTTTATATAGGCTCCATTTGTTCTATCATCATCTTCTATTATAAAATCATAAGTGCATTATCTATTATTTTACCATGTCTTTGAATTTTCAATACAATCACCACAATATATTACAGAATCATCATGCAGATTTTATTTTGGACATTAAACACATGTACTTTAGTAATTAAAGTAACCATATTCACAAATAAGATTCTATTAATCATCACAATCAAATAATCCAAGGTTACATAATTTTACACAATCTCCATTTACAACATCAATACATCCAATCTTAAGATAAGTATCCACAGCCTAGTTGTAGCATGTTTTTATCAAAGTAATAAATAAAAGTAAATTCATAATTATTTATTACTCATTAAAGTTTACTTAATTTATCCCCTCTGTTTTACTAATTATCAAATGGGATTTTAATTTTACATCATTTAATACTTAATTATATTTTATATCAAATTCTTAAAATTAATCAATTTTATATATTAAAATGCGTGGATCATTAATATCTGCACCATATTTACATTATTTAGTCAAAAATAAATCCAAAATCAAAATTGTCAATGTAATCATGACAGATCATCATCATAACAAAGAAGAAAACAATAAATTTCTTCATGCTCATAGAATTACTTTAGACTAATCTACACTTAATTTAATAGATATTACAGCAACCCCAGTTCCAGTACCTCGTAAATTACCAACCTAAAAGACTTTTGAGAAATTTATTCAAGAGAATTAATATGATCATCTCACTCCAATTGTATTTTTTGATGAACATATTCATTTCGCAGCTAGAGCTTGGTATACTTTTAGATATTTTGGATTCAAAAGGGTTTATGTCTTAGATGGTGGATTTAATAAATGGCACCATCAACATGACACTGATAAACATGAAAGCAAAGTTTTTGAGGATTTGAATTTGTGTATGTTTAGTGTTTATTTTAAGAGGATTAACCTAAGGATTAAGTTACATCATTAACAACAAAAGATGTATAAGTGATCTCCTATCTTAAACAACATAAGGACACAAAAGGTGATGATTGGCTACTTTTAGATGCCAGAGATCCACCAAGGTATAAAAAGGGATCTATACCTGGATCTTATAATTTACCCTATACAGAATATTTGAATGATGATCACACAATGAAATCTACAGAAAATTTACAAAAGCTATACAAAAGTCATTAAATTGATATTACCAAGAAAATTGTTAACACTTGTCAAACAGGGAAATTAAGTTGCATTGCACTTCTAGCATAAGAAATTCTGAAGAAAAAAGAGTAATAACAAATATATATATATATTTAGATTACTTTTATTTGATGGGTCATATGAAGAATGGAATCATGAACATCCAATTAAATAATGAAAGCATACATATATATTTTATTTAATAATATCCATAATAATCAAATTTATATCTACTTAACGAAAGCCAATCTTGAAGTACTTTCTCCCTTATACAATTATTTAATACTAAACAAACTGACATCTTTGAAATGAATTGATTGTTGCTTATCCAAAAGATTGTCTGCTATTTTATTTATAGCTTTTTAATTATCTTTGTCAACACCTTAAACTATTCCTACTATAATTTAATCTCCAATAGTTTTTAATAAATCCTTTGAATTCTCTATTGTGTAATCTTCAATTTAATCAATTTTAACTTTTATTTCTGTATCAAAACTAATGAATTATGTATTCATATTATTTTCGTCTATCTTAATATTACCTTCAAAACATATTTACTATTCTTCACTTTTAATAAATCCCTTCTATTTATTTTACAACACTGGATATTCATTTATTATAATATTCTATGTTTCACTATCCTCTTCATCTTCTACTGTTATTACTATTGGATTAGGTCTAACTCTTTTAGCAGGAGGAGGTGAATCTCTTTTCCTTCCTTTCCCTTTTCCTTTCTATTATTCCTCTTAACCATCTTAATTATTATTCTCTTAATTTCCACCCCAGCCTTGAGTTTCATTATTCTATTATCCCCATCCTCCAGCATTCTCAGTAGCAACTCCTCCTCCACCATTATTACCATCATTACCCCATTATGATGACCCTTCTGTAGGTCCTTTATTCTCTTACTAATTTTAACCCCATCCTTCTTATGTCTACTATCCCCATCCTCCACCTTCATTTTAAGGTTTAATCTCTCCTTCTTCTTTGTTTTCATTGTTGCCTCTTCCTCTACCTCTACCTCCTCGTCCTCCTCTATCACCTCCTCTTCCTCTTCCTCCTCTATCACCTCTACCACCTCTTCCTCCTCTTCCACCTCTTCCTCTAAATTCTTTATTCTCCTAACCATTATTTGAATCTCCTCCCCAAGCAGGTTTATTATCCTATTATTATTAATCACCATTATTGCCCCATGTTGATTCTGTATTACCCCAAGATTATTCTTGCTAGGGTGTTTATTCTGGCTATCCCCAACTCATGAATTCTAAATATTTAATTATTCGAATTTCTTGCAATTTAGGATTGCTTTGTAGTTCATTTTATGAAGTGGAATTTAATAAATTAATAAATTAAAATTAAATTAAAATTTTTTTAATGTTGCCATTATTTAACAAATAAATATATAATATAATACTTTATATTAAAATATTAATGTTAAGAAATAATATAAATGAATTATATACAACACTAAAAGAATTTAAATATCGTTGAAATCAGATTAGAATTTCTCAAAATAAATATTATTATAAATTCATCAAATTTTGTATAAAATGTAACCTCATTTTAAATCTTCATTCAATTTTGTAAACAATACTGTTGATAAATAAATTGAGAAGTATTGACTTGACAATTATAAATTTTGAGTTATTAAGAAGTGATATGGTCTTAAGAAAATACTAGAAATAAATTATGATTTTTATTACTCTATTATAAACTACAACATATAATCAAAATATAATCATATCTATTAGTGATTTCAGTCAGATATAATCTGTCTTGTATGTATACTTCTTCTATTTACTTCTTGGGAATTGATTGATATCATTTAAAAACTGAGAGTCTTCTTTTTAGTATTAACTATTTCTTATTAAACTTATTATTAAGTGCTTGGTCTTTTCAAAATACCAGTTTTTGGAATAGAAAGTGAACCTTTCCTCCTTCCTTTAGTAGAACTACAACCCATTTATAATTATTCAAACAAATATTAATTAATTTGTTGCTATAAAAATAATCGATTTGCACTGAAAATTTTAATAACTAGAATTTTCTAATAAAAATATTACTTTTTGCCATTAAATTTTTTATCATTCTAAATAATTGAAATCATATGAAATCATAATATAAACAATTAGAATCAGTAAATTTAAAGAATATGCTGGAATAATAAATGATGATTCTTCAATATATTTATGTATATTATATTTTGAGAGTTATTTTACTCTTTAAATAAAAATTCACTTAAAAAAATTAAATTATATAAAACACGTTTCATCAGAATTTCAAAATTTAATTGTATTAATAGCATACTCTCTAATTTTCTTGTAGAGATTATCGTTATCAAAAGACCATAATTTACTTAGTTTAATTTATAGAGAAGCCATCATTAATAAAATTATATAAAAAAACTAAATATAAGGAATAAATAATAACATTAAACAATAGTGATTGAGTATGTTCAGGGTTAATTTTTTAGCATATCAGTGCAGTCTTTAACTAGTCTTTCTTAGTCTTAAAGTTAAAATAGAGGATCTCTCGCTTGTGGCCTTTATTCATTTAATAAGAAGGATAACATACTGCCAGGTTCTTTAGGTTCAACATCTTGGCAAATTTCTTAGTTCATGTGTTTTGTTAGTAGATATTGATTTGTATTATGTGGAGAACTTAAATGCTCCTCTTTGAATATGATTAGATGAATGATGTGTTTTGTTATTTTTTTCTTGATCTTTCTTTTACTACTGGGCTTCATGGCTTTTTGGAAATTATGAAATGTTTAAAGTGATAGAATGTAACTTGCTGAATTTGTTTGTCTTTTTAATGATAACTTTTGCTCTAATCATTTATCTAATTACCATCTTTGTAGGGGGTCCAAGAGTTTTAGAATATTAGAATTGAATTAATATAAAGAATAATAATAGTAAACTAATGGGAAGTTTAGAAGACTCAATTGTATAAATAACTGCTTGAATTGAAAATTCATTCTAAAATTTCCTTAGCTTTGTATAATTTGGATTAACGTTAAGACTCTTAAACAAATAATCTAACTTTCTCGACCTCATGATCTGGAGTAAGTCCATGTGCTAAATTAATAATGTATCTCCTTGTAGTTTATAGCTTCTCAATCATTTGTGAGATCCTTTTTTTTATTATTACAGGAGTTCCAAATAACACCTAAAAATATATGATAAATAAGAATTACTCCTGGTTCTAAATTTCCTTATATGGTTCTATTGGCTTCTATAATTTTAACAAGAGTTTCATCACTTACATTAGAATCAAGTTGAAATCCATCAACTAATGGTTTATCATTATATATCAATTTTAAAAATTCAACGATAACCTTTTTATCATTTTAATCCTTAGGAAACATAATTAAAGGTGTGTCAGGACATTCTTTCTTGAAATCTTCAAATAAAATTCTTAAAGAAGGAATAATAAATTCAATGTAATCCAATGCTGGAATTTAACTATATTAAATATTAAGATATACCCTGCCCAAGAGTCAAATATCTATACAACTTAAGCACCACCTTATTTAACTTGATTGATTAAATATTTAGCACTTTCTTTAGCTAATAATTCTAAAACTTATAAGGATCCCTCTGTATATAAATATAACCATTTCTTAACTTTTGTAAATAATTTACTAGACCCTCCTTCTACCATATATGCAAAGACAGTCCAAGGAGCACCACAAAACCCTATTAAATTACATTTCCCTTGTAATGCCAATCTTGTTAAGAATAAAGCATCATAAACATGTTCTAAATGTTCTGGATTTGGAGGATGAAGCCTTTGAATATCAGCTGGAGTAACCAATGGATTTGCAATAACTGGTCCTTTCTTTTCTTCAATTGTGATCTAATATTCTTAAGATTATTCTTACTTCCATTCCCATCATTTTAGGTAAAACTAGAATATCTGAAAAGATAATAGCTGCATCAATTTCAAATTATTTAGTTGGTTGTAAAGTGATTTCAGCAGCAATAAATGGATTTTGACAAGTAGCAAAAAAATCCATTTCTGCCTTAATTTCTCTATATTCAGGTAAATATCTACCAGCTTATCTATAATATATATTATTAATAAATTATACCTCATCATCCATACTGGTGCTCTATCAAAAGGTGCAAATGATTAAAAGGCATCAACTACTCTATTATTTATTTGTTTTGGAAACTCTTTGAAAGACTTTCTTTTTTCTCTTAAGTTTTCTGGAGTAATCTTATGTTATTCCAAGGTCTCTTTCAGTATCTTTAGATGTTTCTAATAATCCATAAATTAATATTTTATGAAAACTTTATAATAAATTACAGATAATGTATTTTGGATGCCTTTTCCAAAGCAAGAATATATTTTATAGGTTTCTTAGTATTTGAATAGAAAATATGGACATCATTATTATATATGGAATTTGAGTGAACATGATTATACAAGAGAGTTATTTTAGAATTAGGTTTCAATGCATTCTTATATTGGATTTGCATGTCCTCCACTCTATGAATTACTATTAATTTGTAAATGTATTTTAGAATGGATACAACATGAAGGTAATATAGCAATTGTACATTGTTAATAAAATAAAGGAAGGAGTGCAATACTTCTTTCAATATTTTGGTGTCTTGTTTTTAAAACAAGTATTGAAGAGAGTTTTTATATTATTGCAAAAGCATTAGGACTTACATCTCCATTGAAATCTTAACTCATGTATATTCATAAGTATTTACAGCATTTATTATCTAATGGATAATTGAATACTCAAATTATTAAGGTGAAATCTGTTATCTTAAGTGGAATTCCAAAGAAGTTTGAAAACTTCAAGCCATTATTTCAAGTATTGGATAGGAAGGGAATACTGTATGAAGAAAAAAATCAAATTATACAAAAAAATGAACAATGCATATTTATTCTCCCAAACTTATAAATAAGCAATGATATTGTATTTCGATGTAAACATATTACACCAGAAAATGATTTAATTCCAATATTTAGATTTTAGATTCATACTGGATTCTTATTCAAAAATATAATTCGTTTCTAAGTAAATGATTTAGATTTTCAATAATCATTTGATGATGATATATATATTGATTTAGTATATCTTAGAGGAAATGAAAATAATAATTTACATGATTCAGATAAGTTGAATTATGACCAATAATCTTTAGAAGGTTATTAAATGATAAAATAGTTATTGAATACTTGTTAGATGATGAGTTTAAATATTAAATTTTAATTATTCTAAGAAAATGATATCTTTAATTAGATTTAATAGAATTAATAAACAATATAATAAATATAAAAATTTGAGCAATAAGAGGAACCATCTGAAAAGAACTAAAGAAAGAATAGTTAATAAGAAAAAGAGAATTAGTAAGTTATATAGAATCCAATTAAATAAGAAGATATTTATGAGAAAGTACAAGATTAAGATATCAATTAGAAAGAGATTGAAAACAATGATGATGATGATGATGATGATGAAATCATAATTTGATAATATCATGTTAAGTTTTCAAAATTGTTAAATATTAATATTTTTCATATTTCTCTATTATGTTTCTATGATTAAAAATATTACTATAATCTTTTATAAAATGTATAAAATATTATTATTTATTTAAAAAACTTTATCATAAAATAGAATGATGCATATGAATAATTTTGAATAATAATCTATATGGACTTTTAAATTTATAAATTGAATGGTGAAATAAAAATATATTACTATATTTTTTATGTATGAATGAGATTAAATAAATATGAGAACTAATACTTTAAAAGATTTTAAATAAATATCATCAATATATTTCATGAGTTTTTAATATAATAAATTTAATTTATAAAATTCCATTATTAATTTTGACATTTTTGTGAAACAAAGTGTATAAAAAATATAATTTTTAACTCTTGATATAAAAATATTTGATCATTTATTGCATCACATTAATAAAATAATATGTAATAGGTAGAAAGATCATGGGATATGTTAAAACCTTCTGCAAGAGCTTAAGTATCGTTAAATCCAATAAGAAATTGGGTTGAACATGTAGTACCAGAAGTAGAAAAAGCAGGAAAATAAGAAGGAAGACCAGAAAAAAAAATTGTCTTCCTTCTTGGTGATCCTACTGCTTATCCAAAATTCTAAACTCCCAATGAATATAAGGTAACGGTAGCGAATTCTGTTGGAAAAATAGATGGTTATACAGACTTTTTTGGTGACCTAAAGGTGAGAACTCAGTTGGCAGAAGTGTTATCATCACATCATAGAAAATTAGATGCAGATGATATTATTCTTGCAAGTGGTGGCAGTGGAGCTCTCTTTTATGCTACATTAGCTTTAGCTAAACCTGGAGACAAGATCTTAATGCCTAGACCAACATTTCCATTGGTTAAAGCATTTGCTGATTTCTATAGCATTTAAGTTGTTTTTTATGATTTAAATCCAGGAACTTGGTAAGTTAACATTGTAGAATTGGAATAAATTTATGAGTAGAACCCAGATATCAAATTTATTTTAGTCAATTCTCCAAGTAATCCTATGGGTAGCGAGTTAAGTCCATAAGCTTTAACAGAAATTGTAAATTGTAATATAATCATATATTATCAAAATTAGTTTGTGAAAGACATAATAATCTTCCTATAGTGAGTGATGAAATCTATGAAAATATGATTTTCGAAAAGAGAGAATTTAAATTCATATCTGATTATGCTAAAACTGTTCCTGTTTTGAGATGTTCTGGTTTAACCAAAAAATGTCTCGTCCCTGGTTGGAGATTAGGTTGGTTAGCTCTATATGGAGAAGGAGACACCTTCAAAGAAGTTAAAAAAGCCTTAAGAAATATTTCAAACATTTTATTGATGCCCAATACAATATGTTAGGCAGCACTTTGTGATGTATATAAAAAGAGTTTAGATATTATTCCTGAAAAAATGGATGAACTTCATGCCAGGTATAAAGCATTACATCATGGACTTCATGATGCTTATGGAATTAGTGTTGGAGAAACTAAAGGGGCTATGTATTCAACGTTGATTATTAATATTGAAGAGTTTTCAGACATTAAATCTTCAATAGATTTTGCAAAGAAGCTTTAATAAGAGTAGAATGTCTTAGTCTTTCCTGGAGAGTTGTTCTATGGAGAAAAGTTTGTTAGATTGGTCATTTGTTGTGATCTAGAAATAATAGAAGAAGCTTGTTAAAGAATAAAGAAGTTCTGTTTAGATCATAAAAAAGTGTGAATATATTTATTTTAATCATAGAATAATTAATATCTATAATCCTCTTTGTTTTGTATCATATTCTTAATAAGTAGAAAAGATTATATTAATTAATATGATATTTATAATAAATTTATCAAAATTATATTATATTAATTATAGTAAATGCCTTATTACATCATTATTTCATAATTTTATGTTCAATATGTACATTACTATATATTATAATAAAATTGTTAAGCTTAATAAGAATATATATATTTATGTTTAATAATAGTTATAATAATATGATTTAATTTTGAATTATTATATTCATTTTTAATTAGATTAATTATTTAGATTTTAATGCTGAAAAAAAATACAAAACTTAATCGACTTGGTATGGCGTATAATCTCAATTCTATTGAAGAAAGAAAATAGATTATGGAGTTAAAGAGATAAGGAAAGCATTCTAAAGAGATAGCAAAGATAATGAACAAAAAGATAAAGTCAATTGACTCAGTTAAGAGTGATGAAAGAAAATCAGAATACAAGGAATTTATATAAAAAATGATCTCATATGTTTTAAAAAACTTTTAGGATTAAATCAAAAATAATGTAATAATAAAATTATTTTAGATGATAGATAAGAAAAGATTAAGCAAAAAGATCAGGAAATTTATAAATTAAACCTTGTCTTCAAATTAGAATGATTAATTTAGATTGCTGATTCCTTAAAGTCGAAAAGAATCTAATTAGAGAAGAATTAAAGAAAAAATAGTAGATTCAGTAGTTACGTGTTTATTACAAGTACCAAATAGTCATGAAAATGTTACCAAAACACTTTAGAACTAAAATTAAAAAGATACTTAAATTATTGAAGAAAATAAAGAAACTCTTTATAAAAAATGATATTTCTAACGATTATGACGACTCCAATAGTCTTATTAATCTTAAAAATATTAAACTATTTTATATACTATATAATACATATATTTGTTTAAAATAGTTTTTAACTCTATTAAGATACTACTTAGAAAATAAAGTTGTATATTATTCTTTGATTTTTAAATAATCTTTTGAATTACAGTTATTTTAGTATTAGATTATGAGTTGTATGTCAATATCAAATATATTTCTTACTTATCAAATAATTTAATACTTAAATTCAATATTTAATTATATGTTTATGGATTAATAAAATTAAATATTATATTTAAAATTATTATATTAAATACTCTAGAGATTGAGTATAAATTATATATAAAAATATATTATTTAATATAAATTTAATCACATAATCATTTATCTCAAAGGATAATAAATTTACATTAATTAATCTGTGCTTAGATTATATTAAAAAGGTAAAATCATTTATTTCATGCCTTTGCAGATAATTGCTAAATAAATTTCAACAGTAAAAGTGGTTAATCCTTCTTAAAGAACAACATCTCTGATAATATTTTAATTAATAAATTCTTTAGACACACTTCCATTGCTCTTTCTTTTTTCAATTTGTATACCAATATTTTTAATAATTTGCATTTGCTCAATTATTATTTCATTTCCTCCAATTATATATATTAAAATATTGTAAATAATAGTAATCAATATAGTTTACTATAAATTGAACTAAAGCCAACTGATTATTACAAAAAGTAGCAGATTCAAGTAAATAAGTTTCTTATAGAGTTTAGGTTTTCTTTCATAAGTAATAATGTAAGCATGATTAAACTCTCCACTAAATTTTAACATAATTTAAAATAAAATAAATGAAAAATTATATAAATTATATAAAATAATATAAAGATTGTTTAGATAGTGTAATTATTAAATTAAAGATTAAGATGTAATTTACATTATTTAATTTGTTCTTTTTGTAAATTTGTTTGATAATGTAGGATAATAAAAAAATCCGATAATTTATTCTTTAAGAAAAAGTAGGTTATGGAGCCTTTGGAGATGTTTATAAAGTAATTGATGAAAATACAAGTAAACACATGATTTTTTATAATATTAGATGAAGTCTTTGCTATTAAAAGAATTTTTTCTGGAAAGTCACAATAGATTGATTAATCAACTATCCGGTATAGTCAGAAGTGTTATTTTTAGGGAAATATCTGCTCTTAGTTCTTTAAAGGGACAAAATCATATAGTTCCTTTACAACAAGTAATTTTTGAAAAAGGATGTGTTTATATTGTTTTACCATTTTACCCATATAATCTTTATGGATTCATCAAAAAATACAATGAAATCAATTATAAAAAGATTTTCAAGTAGCTAATACTTGGAGTCTACAATATTCATAAATTAGGGTTTATGCATAGAGATTTGAAACCTTTGAATATTCTTGTGGATGAAAACTAAAATGTTTACATAAGTGATTTTGGTATAGCTAGAATGAATTTTGGATAATGTAGAAATTTTAATTCTAATTGTGAGAAACATTCTTATGAAGTCATTACATTGCATTTTAGACCACCTGAAAATTTATTAGGTTGTGATAATGTAAATTGTATTTTAATCTTGCAAGTATCATGTTTCTGTAGATGTATGGTCATTGGGTTGTGTGTTCTATTAAGTAGTTATGAAAGAAATACTCTTTTATGGTGACTCTTAAATTGAGATGCTTTTTAAAATATTCTCTAAATTAGGTACTCCCAGTGCCTTTATTGCACCTTCTCTTTGTAGCTTACCTTTGTTCAATGTAATTATATCAAATTAATTAGGAGGCTGCAGCATTTCCTCGATTTTATCCAACTAAGTATTTATTTTAGTAAGAGTTACTCTCTAAAATAGGATACGAAGGAGCTGATTTAATTGATAGGATGATTTAGTTAGAGCCTTCAAGAAGAATTACTATGAGCTAGGCTCTATAACATTAATATTTTCTATGAATTAATATAATATATATCATTCCTTTGGAATTCCTCCTTCTGGTGTTTATTTTCCTAATAGAGCCTTGTGAATATGTGGAATAACACCACCTCCTGCAATAGTGGCTCTGATAAGAATATCTAGTTCCTCATCACCTCTAATTGCTAATTAAAGATGTCTTGGTGTGATTCTTCTCACTAAGGAAGAAATTAATCATAATTACAATACCTTTAAAGTCTTTTGAAGCATTTCCAGCTAATTCAAGTACTTCAGCTGTCAAATACTCTAAAATTGCTGATGTGTATACAGCTGATGTTGTTCCTACTCTGTTCTTGGCTGATACTCTTTACTTCAAATATCTATGAATACGACCCACAGGGAACTTATTATTGTGAAATTCACTACTTAAAGCCCTGCTTTCAATGACCTGGATTAGGGGGCTTTCTTATTCTTTCCTTGACCAAATTTTCCTCCTTTTCCGCCTTTTCCACCTTTTCCTCCTTTTGCGCTCTTTGCAATGCCACTCTACACTATATTATGCATATATTACCATTTTGATGCTAATTTATTTTAAGCTTTAAAAACTAATATATACTCTGTTTAAGAATCGATAAACTCAAATTTGATTGGCTCTACCTTTTAATTTCGGATAATCATTAAAGACTTGCTTGCCCTCTTCAATGCTTTTTAAAACTTGGTCCCTATTTCACTATTAAATAACATTGTTTCAGCCTCTTCAAATTAATATGCAATTATATATTGGAAATAAATATTTCCTTAATTATTTATAAATAAACATTATCTATAATCATCCAAAAATGGCATCCTCTATTAAACATTCTTAGAATCTATATCAATCTCTCACTTTTTCCTAATTGCAAAAACTTGGATATTCATCTTATATCTTTTTCTATTTTTAATATAAATATATAAATTGGTATAACTTTCAAAAATTGATAATTTGTTTGCAATTACTTAAAATTTAATAAATGCAAACAAAAGAATACATATTCCCTTTTTTTGAGAAAACTAACTAAAATAATTTTCTTCTCAGAAAACAGATAATTTCGAATTACAAAAAATCTCTAAATCTAATTTGTTTGTTTTACCCCTATTTTAATTAAACAAACACATAACCTAATTCCAAAATTCTATTTTATTGAATCAAATTCTTAAATTGAAGCTTAAGTTTATCTTGTTCTTAAAAATTCATTATTAATACTATTACCTTGATAAGAAAATTATTAATTTTCAAAACATAAACTATTCAAGTGTAAGAATACTATAAATTTATTTTTGATAAACTCCTATTCTTTTTGTTTTGATGGAAACAGCTTTTTTATATCATAGAAAAATTATTTATAAAATTTATTCTAATTAATCTAGTTTATCTTCATATCTTTATAAAAAATTGAACACAACAACACAAGTTTAGACAGTTTAAATAAAATAAAATTAATAGTATTAAAATAAATATATTAAAGAGTAATGGTTCAAGCATTAATTTTATAATTAACATTTATTATTTATTCAAATTGTATTAATAGATATTATTATGATATAGAGCAATAAAGTGTTGCATGAATATTAAAAATTTTAAAATATAATGAATTGAATTATTTTAGGAATTAATAATAATTGAAATAAAGAACTCTTACAATTATGAAATAATTTTTTATTCCTTACTAATTAAATTTCAAAGTAAAATTATAATTAGTAATTTTTCAGAATATTTATTACTATATAACTATATTTAGTAAGTTATAACTCATATATAAACAAGTAGAATTTCATTTAATATATTAAGCAAGCTCATTTATAAATTTTTAATCTATTAAGTCTAGAATGTGAACTAATTATTTTTCTATATCCTAAATATGCTTCATATTATTCTCACATAATTCAGTTATTTAGAATTTTTTTCTAGGTTTAAATTTTTATTTTGTTTTGAAAAGATCTTAGAGTTAGGGCTATGATCCATATAAAATGGGATTTATCAATTTAGTTAATGAATTCAAATAATCTAAGCATTATTCAAGAATTGATTATTAATCTACCATATTAGGAGCTATTGAATTATAAGAAGATGTTAATTAATTTATAGTTAATTCTAACTGTAAATATTATTAATTTATACATCTTAAAATTCTGATAATGTAGTTTGTAAATGGTCATTCTCAGTTTGCAAAGATTTCATTTATTCTTATAATTATTTAATGAGTTAATCTTTCTCAATAATAATTTATATTTTTTCTTCACATTTAGACAACAAATCTCTCGATACTCAAAAAATATTTATAAAACATACTTATCTTATTAAAGTAGAGAAGATTTTAACTTTTTGATTACTATTTCTAATTAATTAGTTCTTTATTTCTCATTATTCAATTATTCTTATAATATATAGAGTTAATTCTAAAGAAGATTAAATGTTCAACAAATACTTTGAGAGATATATTTTCTTGAAATGATGTTTTAGTTGATTCATAATTACTATTTTTAGTGCTATAACTTCTGTTTTTTGATTGACTTCTAATTCTTTCATACTCTTAATCAATTTCTTCTGATTTTAGATTTTTTATAATTTTGGAGTAATTATGCATTATTAAAATTTATGTTTTTTTAGATTTAATAAGAAATAGATATACCAGTATTTATAGAATAAAATGGAATATAATTATAATGTTTACATAAACATTTTATTACTTTTTTTAATTATTTAGATAATATTTAATGCTACATTTTTCTCCTTGGAGTCAAAAAATAGATCCTATAACACATAGACTTTAACATAAGGCATAATTATCATTATCACCTTATGTACAGCCAAAAACAGGAAGATTAAATAATCTATCACTTTAATAGAATCTTAGAAAAATGAACTCTTAATTTTACAAATAACAAAACAGTGGAATTTAAGAAGAATCTAAATAATACAATAATGCTAGCAGTTAAACTGATTTACCTTCATTAGAATTAGAAGAAATATTAAATGCATAATAATAATAAGAATAATCATCAAGAAAATATCAAAATGTTATACTTTAAAAAAAAGATCATAATCATTAATCAACTATCATTAGTTTATTATAGACTATTCATTTTAAATCAGATCATCATTAATCTCTTAAAAATAAAGTATAATAACTTAAACGAGTAATTGTGCAAAATAAAAATAGAATTATAACTGTTGTAGTTGTTAATAATGCTACTTAATTTGTTTCATATTTGTTTAATTCAAATTATTTTGATTAACTTCCTGATCATTTTTTTATTACATAACACCATCCCTCTTTCTTTATTACATAAGTAACTATTTCAAGTACTAATTCCTCAAATACTGTTCATTCATATTAAGATTTGTTGACTGTAACCAAAAAAAATAGAATATATGATGTAAACTTAAATAGATTATTATATGATTAATCATAATCTTTTATACATTATTGTCCTGATATTGTGATAGTTACAATAGGTAATCTTTAAGAAGAACTATCAAATAGATAGAAGGATAAGTCTTTTTTGGTTAGAAGTGCAGAATAAATTTAAAAAGAAACTATTAGAACAATAAGATTAAATAAAAAAAGAACAAAATTTAAATTAAAGGAATTATATTGACAATTATCACTTTGATTATATTTCAATCCAAAATTAAATTTCGAAAAAGTTTCATTTTTATAGATTTTATTTATACAAAACCTTTTTTATGATTATTAATTATAATAAAAAAATTAATAGATATTTAAAATTACTTTCTTATGTTGAATAGATATTTGAGTATAATTATCTAAATATCATATTTCAAATATATATTAAATATTTTATTGCATCATAATATTGTTTAATATTTGTATGAAAAATATATAAACATGATATTCATTATTGTGCATGGAATAAAAGCAATCAGGATATTAAATAATTTATTTTCTTGATTAAAATTTAAGATAATGGCAGTAATCATTCCCAATTACATTCCTAATACAAATGCACATACTTATTATTTTGTTATTAGTTTTCCTCTATCTGGACTTTAAATCCAACTTACTGCTATTTTAATGAAATAAATAACTAAAGTAGTGCAAAAAATAAAAGAAAATATTTCAGAATCAAAAAGAAATACTCCCATAAAATGAGTAATAAGAATTAACACACATTACATTAAACCCATTCCAATTATCATTAATCTTTTTTTTGATGGATTTTAATAGATATGATCAACTATCTCTTCATTTAAAAGATTAATTGAATCTTAATGAGTATTTAATTAGTCTTCATCTTCATTCTCAAATTGTAATCTTGTGTCTTCAGGTCTTTTACCATTGAAATCTTAAAGCTCTTTTGCTGTTAATTATAATTCTGCAGACTAATATTTTTGCTACCTTTTTCTTTTTGTATATAGAAGCTCCAATTATTGTAAACTCAGATGTTATAACATAAAAATATTTTATATTAATTTTTATGCTTTTATTTAGAATTGATCATAAATAAAGATATTTTGAGAATTATTTAAAAAAATTGATAATTTTTATCACAAAATTATAAATGGAGGAAGAATATAAATGTAAAATTTCATTAGAATTTGTATCCTTCAAATAATCCTTATACACTCTTCCTTCTTAATACCATTGAACTGTCTTCTGAAGGTTCACTATCAGCTGAGATCTAACTTTAAAAATCATAATTGCCATCGATACTCTACTTAATTTATATAACATACTCCAGGTACATAGAGAGATCTGATTTCTTTATTTAGAAGCTTCCCCCATGGAAAATTGTGTAACCAAGAATGATTTAAAATCTCATCAATTCCATTAAATCCAAGTCTTTATTAAGGCTTTCTTATCAATAACTAATATTATATAGTTTTTATATACTTTATTAACAAAATCAATAGCCTTATTTGTTATTCCTGGAGTATTTTCTTTAATTTATATTTATTTTGCCAATATTTATTCTCTAATTTCTTAACGATTCTTCCCATTATAAGGTCTCTTACCCATTAAAAGTTCATAAACAATTACACCTACTGCATAATAATCTACAGGAAATGAATGCTCCATTCTACACATAACTTCAGGTGCCATATATCCAGGAGTACCTGAAGTATCATTAGCCACACTATCTTTATTTAAACGAGCTACTCCTAAGTCTGTTAATCTTAGAAATCCTTCTTTATCAAATACTAAATTTTCAGGTTTGACATCTCTATGGATAATTCCATGCTAATGTAAATATTGTAATGACAATAAAATACAACAAGCAAAAAATTCTAGTCTTTATTATTTAAATACTTGTTTATTCTTCAGAGAACTTTTTCATTCTACCTATATGATATCTTAAATCACCTCCTCTTAATAAATCTAATACTAAATAAAGATTTTCTCTGTCCTAAAATGCATAATGCATATTCACTATAAAAGGATGTTTCAAATGTTCTAATAGGAATTTCTCATTCATGACTGAATTTACTGATCTTTTAGATATAATCCTAAATTTTTATATATTAATACTTGGTTTTTAACATTTCTTTTAAAGCAAATTCTTATCTATTTGACTTCATTTCCACTCTCCATACTTTTCCAAATCCTCCCTTACCTACTACATATAAAAATTTAAAAGAATGTCTTCCTATTCCCATTGTATTTAGACTTTATTATTAGATTTCCTTTATCGGACTATCTACCGATATTTTTCGAGAATGAGAATTTGTCATTATCCAAGTAGTTGAATTTGTGCTACCTTTTGATTCTTAATTGATTTTTCCATTGTAAAATTAATTTTGGATTTGATGGTTAGATACTTATCTTGAGAGTTACTTAGAAAGAAGGCTAGATTGTATTACAAAATTGTTTTTATTTTCTGTTCTTTTAAGTCCAGGAGAATTTTCATCAACAACAACTGAGTTTTTAATTGATTTTAATGAAAGCATAGATGATGATCTTTTACGAGAACATATCATGCAGGTTTTTTAATTGCATTAACAGATTGAGTCTATTTTCTTAGCAGGGGTTATTTTGAACTTAATCACAGCCTTTTAATTTGATGGTAATAAATCCTTTAGAGAAGCTGTAACATAATTCATTTTTATTAAAATAAAATATAATAATGAAATAACCTTTTTATTGAAATATTTACATATAACATTGTAAAGTTTACTACATAAATTGAATAATAATCTGGTTATTATAATATTCAAATCATTATTCTTATAAGATATGTGATTTAAATATTATTTTACTTTTCCTAAAATATTCATGTTATTCTAGCTTAAAATTGAACAGTTTTAACAGTAATCGCATTTTGAGTTAAAAAGATTATTATTGTTATGTTATCTAATCTAATCTACTTATCTAAATATTTACTGGTTTTTATATATGTTTTATTGTTATCAATAGAAACTCAGAATTACGTTACATATCTATTATTTTTTATTTTAACTAATCATATTATCAAGTATTTATATTATTATTCTTTCATCTTTTTTCATTCTTCTTCTTGATTTCCTTTACAATTTTTTATTTTCTCTCTTTTTTATGGAAATCTAACACCTAATTAAATATTTCTACTCCTCTCTTTTATCTTTTTTTTAAGAATTCCACTAATTATGGATAATCTCAATATTTTCTAATTTTGTTTGTTAATTATACTTCTTGTTATGTAAGATTCAATTTTTACTTTATAGTTTCTAAATTTCATTGAGTTTAGAATATAATTGCAAAAGCTTAGAGATTAATTAAGTTTAGTTTCATTTGTTACTCATAAAGATTGATTAATCTTTAGATTTTATTTGGATCATATTGTTCTCATATATTTCTACATCATTTGTATCTTACTTATTAGTATCAATATTAGAGGCACTTTTATTTTGATTTACTTAGAATTCAAACATAGTCATTGAAAAATTTATTATTACTAAAATGTGTTTTAATATTAAAACTAATTATTTTTCATTTGAATGTAATACTTTAAGATAAATTTCTTATAGATGTGTGAACTTTTTAATATATTTATTTATTATATACTTGTAATAATATTCTAATCTTAAAAAGATTTCAATAAAAATAATAGACTCGTTATGAAATAATTAAATATAATTAAATTTTTATTATTAAAATATTAATAAATTTTATTTAATAAATGTGCACATTCATAATTTTTTATATAATTTTCTATTTTATCAATTATTTTAATTCTTCGCATTTAGTTTCATCTTTTATATTAGATAGTACATTAATCAATTTTTAGATAGATTTATATTATATAATTATTTTTATATGTTCTATCAAATTTCTAAAAAATCAATATTAATTAATTATTCCTCCTTAAACCATTAGTCAAATTCATTATTTTTAATCTTTAAATATTATTATTTATAAAATATATAAATAATTTAAATATATTAGATTATTCATTTTTTTGGAATAGAATATTCATCTAGTAAAGCATCTCTTGTTCTTTTCTTAGGATTATAGAGAATGTAATGTTAGAACATAAATATACCATCAAAGCCCATTGCTATCCAACTCAAAATAAATTTAACAATATTAACATCAACTAGATTGGCACTCTCTTAAATTAAATATTAAATAATTACTTCCATTAAATGAGTCAAGTAACATTTATAAGAATGATAAGAATCCTCCCATAAAGTCTAGTAAGATATTGAAAATACTCCAACCCACTGTTGACTTTCTTTTATAATTTAGATACACTTAAGGAACATATTTAATAAAGGAAATAAAGAGTTTCTCATATCCCATCCAATATAAAACATTTAATTTTTCTTGTTTAAATATAACATCCCACCCAAATATCCAAGTCAAGAGGACATATAAAATAGTTTGAGACCAAAGTACAATTAGGACAATTATGCACCATTAGCTTACTCCTGGATTATCACCTTTTTTATAGTAATAAGCTGTTTAGAGAATGGTTAAGACTGTTATTGCAACTGCATGATACGCAAAGAATAAATCTTGCTTTGTTATATCACCACTAAATGGCCATCCATTATCTCCTCCTTTAAAATAGCCAGCAGAACTATAGGCACTTAAAAATAGGAATCCAGTTAAATTTAAACCAAGAAATTCAAAGGCTATTCCTTTTACACTAAATAATAGTAAATCAACATTACTTTTTCACTTTGAAGTTTTCATATAGCTATCCATAAAAACTGGCAGACCAACATACGAAATATGTCCATCCTATAATGTTACTTATAACATTAAGTGCCTAGCTTTTTGGCTCCTCTTCCCCTTAATTTGAAAGTAAAAAGTCAAGCATTACGTAATTAATTGCCTAATCAATATTATTTATTTTAAAATAACACTAATACAGTTAAAATTATAATTAATGTGTAATACACAATATAAAATTGTCATAATCAAATTTTGAAAGTGAACAAAATAATCCTTTTATCAAATCTAAGATTCTTTTATTTGAGAAATAATAAAAAAATTTTTGTTTTTCGTTCAAATTATTAATATAACTTGGATATATATCAAATCTAGTCAATATAGTGTTTAAAATTAGTAAATTGAATGAATTCATTAATTATTTTTGATTACTCAACTTTTTAGAAACACTTTAATGAATAAATTATATTTTCTTTGTTTTATATATTTAGTTTCAAAGTGCTTTAAAATAATCTGAAGATATCTTATCTATTGTCTATTTCATAGAATAGAAAATCTCATCATGATGTATGAAAAATTTTAATATTTTATAGGTCTAATTTTATTTATTACCATAATTATTTTTTTGAGAAACTATTCATTTTATCTATTGCAAATCCTATTTTCCAATGGATAATTTTCAAACATATATGTATATTAATAAGAATTTAATTGTAATATAGAGAGGAAATTATTATATTAGTCTTTATTAATTTTAAATGAACTTATTTTAGATCTTAATTACTATCATTTAATTAATTTGTATTAATAATACTCATAAATAACAATATATCAGTATATAATATAATTGATTCGAAATAATTTTATAATGAGAATATTATTATAATATTAATAATAGTTAATCAATTTTTTTAACAATTACATTGTAATATACCTTCTTAGCTAGAGTCAACAAAGCATGGAAAATGATATTTTTAGTTACATTTCTCACAAACAAATGAAGCCCCTTATTTTTCACAAATTGAACATTCCTAAATATAAATTGATCTAATTTACATATGTTCTATATAATAAATATACTTTATCAAATTCTATTTATTTTGGATTATTAATATTTTTAAAGCATTAAGAATGTGCCTATAATTTCCTTAAAGAATTTGGTATTGTAATAATTTTACCACAAGTGTTTTCATTTCCTTCATAACATAAACAACATGGTCTGTCTATATTAGGTTCAGGAGTTATTTTAATTTATAATATTTTCTCTTTATTCTAATGACACTCACGTTAAATCTATTTTGGAGGGTTTTACTCTAAATTATTAATGATGTTTGATTCTTTAAATTTGCTTCTAGTAATCATAGTATTTTAATCTTCTATAAGTCTTTAGACTACAATCTAAATTTATTCATTAGCTTATAANAATCCTTTTATCAAATCTAAGATTCTTTTATTTGAGAAATAATAAAAAAATTTTTGTTTTTCGTTCAAATTATTAATATAACTTGGATATATATCAAATCTAGTCAATATAGTGTTTAAAATTAGTAAATTGAATGAATTCATTAATTATTTTTGATTACTCAACTTTTTAGAAACACTTTAATGAATAAATTATATTTTCTTTGTTTTATATATTTAGTTTCAAAGTGCTTTAAAATAATCTGAAGATATCTTATCTATTGTCTATTTCATAGAATAGAAAATCTCATCATGATGTATGAAAAATTTTAATATTTTATAGGTCTAATTTTATTTATTACCATAATTATTTTTTTGAGAAACTATTCATTTTATCTATTGCAAATCCTATTTTCCAATGGATAATTTTCAAACATATATGTATATTAATAAGAATTTAATTGTAATATAGAGAGGAAATTATTATATTAGTCTTTATTAATTTTAAATGAACTTATTTTAGATCTTAATTACTATCATTTAATTAATTTGTATTAATAATACTCATAAATAACAATATATCAGTATATAATATAATTGATTCGAAATAATTTTATAATGAGAATATTATTATAATATTAATAATAGTTAATCAATTTTTTTAACAATTACATTGTAATATACCTTCTTAGCTAGAGTCAACAAAGCATGGAAAATGATATTTTTAGTTACATTTCTCACAAACAAATGAAGCCCCTTATTTTTCACAAATTGAACATTCCTAAATATAAATTGATCTAATTTACATATGTTCTATATAATAAATATACTTTATCAAATTCTATTTATTTTGGATTATTAATATTTTTAAAGCATTAAGAATGTGCCTATAATTTCCTTAAAGAATTTGGTATTGTAATAATTTTACCACAAGTGTTTTCATTTCCTTCATAACATAAACAACATGGTCTGTCTATATTAGGTTCAGGAGTTATTTTAATTTATAATATTTTCTCTTTATTCTAATGACACTCACGTTAAATCTATTTTGGAGGGTTTTACTCTAAATTATTAATGATGTTTGATTCTTTAAATTTGCTTCTAGTAATCATAGTATTTTAATCTTCTATAAGTCTTTAGACTACAATCTAAATTTATTCATTAGCTTATAACAATATTCTTCCAATTGATATTCCATCTTAATAATTGGAACTCTTAATTGAGGGCAATTTGGGAATTACTTATTTCAATAAAATAAAATACCACAATAAACTGTACTTTGTAAATCAAGCATTTATTTGATGATCAAGTCTTTTAAAGTAGTTATTTCCATAAATAATAATGGTATAATTATTTGTTACTTAAATAAATAAATAATTGATTCATGAAACATTTTTGGACAATAGAATAAAGGAATTTTATATTTTTTAATTTTAGTAATAAATGATGATGTCTTTATGTATTGATTTAATATTTCATTAATTTCATTATTTAATGAAGACTTAAGTAAGCCAATAAAATACCCCTAAGTAAATTCAATTTGATAATGCAGAGCTGCTTCGAAATATTCATACAAAGAATCCTACTAATAAAGAACACCACTTCGATAGGACAATTTTTTGAATCTTTATGAAAAATATTTGAATTGTCAGGGAAGGAAAAGATCTCATTAAATGGATGAAGCTCGAAGTCCTTTACAATAATCTACTTCCCTGCATTATTTAAATAAAAAAAATGAAGTTGGTGTACATAGATTTTCTCTCGATAATTTCAACTTGGATAAGAGGTAGTGTAATATATTATTATTAATACTTAGTTCCAAAGGATTGAAATCATATCTCACAACCATCAATAGTTCAAATAGCATTTTAAATTAGAAGGCTAATAATTCATACTTTCCAAACAAAAATGATTCAAGTTAGATTAGATCATAGACAGCAGATGGATAAAGTGTGTTGACAGATGAAATTGACAAAAAACCTATTAAAGATAAATTCATTGGTATGAAATTCAATAATCATTTTAGTAGATGTTGTGTGTAAAACAAAGAGATTGGCTGAAAAGCTTCAATAAATGAATAAATAAAATTAAAAGATGAAAGAATCATAAAATTTGGCTTTTCTATTAAAAGGTCATTAGTAAAAGAAATAATCATTCACAATTTAAGATTTAAAAAAAGTTTTAGCTAAAACAAAAATAATTCTGGAGAATTATAAAAGAGAAAATAAATTATTGATTGAACATAATTTATTATTAAATGATGAATTATAAGAATCATAAGATAAACTCAGATAAAAAAATGAAGAAATTTAAAGATTAAGACAAATGCTATATTAACAATGAATTTTATTATAACTTATCTTTCGGTAATTTATTGTTTTTTTAAATAATTATATATGTTCAAAAAACAATAATTGTTAAATTCAACTTTTAAATCAAACACTAATGAAATAGACTATGACTATTCTAAATCATAAAAACAATCAAATGAAAATTAATTTGACATTTCTTAAAGTACATAAGTTTATATTTAATATAGAATTATTGTATGCATTAGAAAAACCAACTATCAATACAAAAAATACTAATAGCTGTAGAAATAGTACAGGAAGATTGTCAGCTTTTGATTTTTTGAATTTAAGTATAACAAAAGCCAATAAAAAGTAAACTTTCTCGATAACATTAAATTATTTTAAAAATGATAAAAGCAATTTTGGAATAATTAGATAGTCTACAAATCTTTATGGATTCTCTAAGGTGTCATCAAAAGTGAGATGAATTAATATATATATATATATATATATAAATAAATAAAGAACTCTCAATTTAAAAAAAAATAACAATTTAATTTTAAAAACAATTCTCTATAAAATTTATAATTTTGCATAATTAATATATGTAAAATATTAGTGGAAAATAAAGTTATTTATTATTATTCTTGATATATATCTATATAAATTCAAGCTTTCAATTAGAATTAATTTGACTTTTTTTTTCTTTCAGGTACTTCATCATTAAAAGAGAGGGATTCTTAATATATCATATTTTAAAGTAATTCTTTAGTTGGTTCAAAATTATCCCAACTCCAATCAAATGCTTTACCACTTAGAGGTTCTTCATCAGGATTATGTAATTCATCAAAGTAGGGATGTTAAAGACATTATTCAACAGTATAACGTAGTTCTGGATTAAATGTGATCATCTTTCCTAACAAATCTAAGGCTTTATTATTTGCCTATAATAATAATTAGAATTCATACCTTTGGAAAAAGAGCTTCCCATTTTTATTTAGATCTTTTGGGAAGACTTTTGATATATTTAATAGCATTATTGTTTCCTATATATTTCATATCGTCAGCAGTCGGTGTTCCTAAGACTGCAATAATTCTTTAAACTTAATCTAAATAATTTTCACCTGGAAATAAAGGAGTTCTTCCCAATAATTCTGCCAAGATACAACCAACAGAGTATATATCAACAGCCTTACTATATTCTGATGCATTCAATATTACTTCAGGAGCTCTATACCATCTAGTAACAACGTATCTTTAATAATTTTTATTATGAAATACTCTGTTTTGAAGTCTTCTTCATTTTCATATCCCCTTGCTAAGCCTAAATCGCATATTTTTAAATCACAATTTTTGTTAACCAATATATTACCTGGTTTAAGATCGCGATGAATTACATTAGCTGAATGCATGTAAAGTAATCCTCTTAGAATCTAGTAAACAAAATATTGAATGTGCTCATCTGTCAGTTCTTACCTAGAGTATATGACTCTATGTAAATCTGTTTCCATAAATTCTGTTACAATATAAATATCATTAAATCCAGTTTTTGCTTCAGGCTTTTGAACATCATAGAGTGATATGATATTCTCATGTTTAAAAAATTCTTTATATAATTTAAAATGTACTTAGTAATTTGATTTCTCTAACTATCCTTTTGCCATCAATCAAATCATCAAATGCATTAGCGACCTTCATAAATATGTAGTATTACTTTTTTTATTGCTACTTTCTATCCAGTTCTCTTATTTTAAGCAGAACATACAACTCCGTAGGCTCCATGTCCAATCTGTTTTATATATTCATATTTTTAATCGACTACAAAGGCTTGGCCTTAAGAATTTCATTTAATAAGTACCTCCACATTAAAACGAATGTCTTCCCTTAGGGATATTAAGACTTTTAGGATCTGGATTCATGTATTTAATATTTAATTAATTAAAAATGGGTATATGTTTTGGGATTTTAGATGAAAACAATTAAGAAGAAGATAAGAAAAAGAATCCAATTCAGATTGAAGAATAAGCATCTTAAAAAGAAAAGGAAGAGGAAATAAGTTATTAACTTGAAAATTTCACTTTTAAGAATGTAATACAAAAATTTTATGAATAGGTACTTGGGGCAGGAGCATTTGGAAAAGTATTATTGGCAGAACACGTCAAAACAAAGTAATATTTTGCAATAAAAATCATTGACAAAAAGCAATTAGAAAATTATAATTTTGTAGAATCAGAACATTAGATTTTGTAGCAAACATAAAGTCCTTTTATAATCAAGCTTTATTTCACATTTGAAAATTAAAATAAATTATATTTGGGTACAGAATTCATTAATGGTGGTGATTTATTTGTACATTTGAAGAAAAATATATAATTTTCAGAGGAAAGGACAAGATTTTATGCTGTCGAATTAGTTTTAGCATTGAAATATTTACATGAAAATAGAATTATATATAGAGATTTAAAACCAGAAAATATTTTATTGGATTAATTTGGACATATCAAATTAACAGACTTTGGTTTATCCAAATTTAAATTTAGTTAAATTACATATACAGCATGTGGAACACCAGAATATGTGGCACCTGAAATATTACTTGAATAAGGTTATAATGAATGTGTAGATTGGTATTCATTGGTAAAATTGTTGAATTTACATAGGGAATTCTTATTTATTAAATGTTATGTGGATCCATTCCGTTCTATTCATAGCAGTAGCAAGAAATGATCAATAAGAGACTATCTTAGCCTTTTGAATTTCCAAAATATTTGAGTTAAAAAGCAGTTGATCTGATAAAGAGATTAACAGAGAATGAGGTTCATAATAGAGAGTTTCATTAAGGTTTCAAAACGCTTAGGGTTTAAGGGAGCTGACGAAATCCTTCGACATCCTTTTTTTGAAGACATCGACCTAGAAGCAATTTCCAAAAGATAGGTTGAGCCACCTTTTAGACCATAATTAGAGGGAAAAAAAGACTTAAGATATCTAGATCCGGTAATTTCATGTAATAATTAAAGGATTTGTTACAATAAGAAATCAAATTTGAATAAGAATTAGATAAATGATGATGTATTATTACAAATAATATTAAAATATGGATTAAAATCAAGTTCCTTTTATCAAAAGAGTATCCTATTTCTTGTGATTTTCATTTAATCTAAGGAAGAGATTTCTATATTCTTTAAATAAAATATAAGGAGAATAAATAAAGAATAGTATTTTATTCGTAAAAGAGCAGCAAAATTAATTGATAAATATGATGATGATGATGGTAAAAGATATTCTAAAATCATATTTAGATTAATAAAATAGGTTCAAGTAGAAAAGTTATTTTAAATATTTATTTGGTTGTGAATTATTAGATTGTTATGGAATATTATAATGGGAATCAGATAAATTTACAATTTTTGTCCTAATGAATATAGAATAAGATGCCATCATTTATATATATTTATAAAGGATAAGATTCTGACTTTAAATTATTATCATAATATCCCTTAAGATTTAATAGATAGATTCATATGAATATAATTGCTTCAAGAACAGGAGAAGTTAAATTAGGTTGAGAATGATAAAATAATTAATTAATATTGGCAGATATGGGTATAATTGCAGTCATATTTCCAAAGTAATGATAAAATCAATGAAAATAATCAATTTTAAATTATGTATTTTGGAAAATTAAAGATATGTTGAAAGAGGTATTGCTTAATATATATTGATTTATTGAATGATTGTTGGAAAAATAAAAGAATAAATGGAAAATAGAATAAGTAAGATTTTGTTATGTAATGGATTAAGACATTTATTTTAAATAATGAGAACTCATGATGATATAATAAATGTTGATTATCTAGGATTCTATGTAGTAATTTATTCAAATTTAAAACTTTCAATCTTTGAGATTTAGAAGGGATTTAGAAGTTGGGATGATAATTAAGAGATATTTACTGATCAAACCCAAGCTAGATTCTTAAATTAATAAATAATTAGAGAATTTATATCTGTTGTTGGAGTTAAATTAGATGATGTCATTGTTTGATATGGCAATAACTATTAAATACTAAATTTGATTCCAAAATTCTAAGTATAAATAGAAGCATGAATTAGAGGTGAAGATAGATTGGATATTGATTTAATAAATAATATTGTTTTCTTGTTTATATAAAATATATGAATTTAATTTATGAATTAGGATTTAAAGAGAACAGATTTGAACTATTCTCCTTATTTTGAATAGGTTTCTCTTAATAAATTAAAAAGAAATGATTATCATAGTCTCTAAAGAATTCGTGATAATTCTGTTAGAAAGAACAAATTATTACTACCTTCTATTGAAAATAGTACTCTCGAAGATATTTCAATGCATTTCAATAAATGTGTTACTTCTAGTAAGTCTCCTGAAAAATAAAGTGATAAACTTTAGGTTAACAAATTCTAATTGGAATTTATTTAGCAAAGTTTTTTGGAACTAGAATAAACTAAAATGTCAATAACAATGAGAGATATGAGTAACATGAGAAATAAATTTAATTGTCATTAAAGAATAATAGCAAATAAAGAATAATATACTGTCAGAAATCTAGAGAGATAAATGGGCAGTAATTTAGAAGATTATTCAAATTTAATGTACCTTCAATAAATGCCACCTTAAACAAAAAATAAACCAGAAACTAATATTGCTTTTTTTGAAGAAGCTTTAAATGCTTATTCATATGCAATACCTAGTAGAAGAGAATCAGCATAAATAGCTGTAATTAGAGATAAAGTTTATGTATTTGGAGGTATGAGTGGAGCAGGTTTAAGTAGTGATTTATGGTCTTATGATATAAGTAAGAAATAGTGTTATGAATTTAGAAAAATAAGAATGGCAGTTACATTAATCAGATATCAATTTGAAAATTACTAATCATTCTATGATAGCTTGGAAACATATGTTAATTATCTTTGGTGGTAGTGGCTATTATGATCATAAAATGAAAATAAGACAAGTTTATTCAACTCTAGCTTATTTTAATACTCAAACTAATTAATGGTCAATAACATTAGAATCTATAGAACCTAGAAGAGAACATAAAGCTGTTTTATATTTGGGAAAATATATGATTATAACAGGTGGCATAGATTCAGGTGAATAACTATTAAATGATACACTTATGTATTCTTTAGATTCAAGAAGATGGTTAGGATCTAAAATATATTTTGATGAAGGAATAGCTTAACATGCTATTTGTGAAGCATTTGATTTTAAAAGAAATGTAGATACAATTTATTTATTTGGTGGTAAAACTAAATCTTTGGGTTCATTTCCATTGATGAGATTGGTTTTCTCTGGATAAGCTCCTTAGAGTTGGGAGAGAGTCTAAGGAACTGGAGTAGCACCTTAAGGAAGATATAATCATACAATGGAGAGTTTGAATGATAATTTAATTTTGATTGGAGGAAGATCATAAACAATATAAGAATACTAAAATGAAATAGTTATATTCAACCTGATTTTAAATTAATGGATTTAAGTCAAGAGATAGGGTTTAATGACAAAAAGATGGAGTCATTGTAGTTGTGTATTTGCCTCTAATATATTCTGTTTTGGAGGTATAGGAGAAGTGACATATCTACCTCCTGTTGTTTTCTCGATTGAAACAGATTAATTTAAGATAAAAAACAAAATGGTAATAATTAAAAGATTATCAACAATTGCTGAAGATATGAAAAAATAGAATGAAGAATATAAACAGATTAAAAGAACATGTAGATTAGAGAAATTTAGAAAAGCATAAAAATTATATGAAAAAGTAACAACATTTTTACCATTACCAAAAATGAAAACTCCAAAAATGAGATATGATATTTGGATGTAATTTGTAAGAAAAATATTGCATTCTTTGAACTTAATTTTTTGAAAATTCATAAATGATATACAACAATAGCTATACTTTTAATTTAAAATATAAATCAATAACATATTATAAAAATCATTAATTTAGTAAAAGTATTTAGATTCCCTCAGGTGAAAAGGCTGCACTTGAGGGTAATCTTTGCTAATACTTTTTCTTTTAATTTAATAATCTATCAATCTTAAAGTAATATCCTTCAACAACCAAATGCTTACAAATTTTTCCACTATTCTTATAGACATAATTCCCTTTTTTAATTTTATTGCAATTTATGAATATCTATTAGTAATTCACTAACCTCTTAGCTTTTATGATTTTATTAACCATGCGACATAAGCTCCTTCAACTATTTATCTTCAAATTTATCAATAATTTTTAACTTTAAATCCATTATTAAATCTTTTAAATTAATCAACCCTTTAATCTTAATTCTGTCATCACCATAAGTAATTTCTATAAATGATGGATATATTACCTTTTATTTTGCATTTTCTTAACCAACATCTGAATAGTGAAAAGTAGCTAACTCCTCTTTTTTTTAGTCATCTATTTTTCACTAATTTCGAAAAAGCCTGGATCTAAAAACAATAGTGTTACATCAATAATAAACAATATATATCATCATTTTTATAAGTAAAAAGAAGGGCTTATAAGTAATTTTAATATCTTTTTTTAAATGAAAAGATAAGATGATATTAAACCCATTCTTCTGCTCTATCAAAAATAAAAAAGTTTGTTTTTTAAAATAAGATTTAAATCTTTAACTTATTTAATATTCTATGTATTACACCCAATCAACTATTTGTTTCCTATACAAATAACTATATTATTTTTCTGCACTTTATCCATAAGAATACTTTTAAATAGTATCTTTAGTTAGATATTTTATCAAAAATAAGTTTCAACTATGCTATTATTTCTACTTTCAATCGTTTAATATTAAGGAACTATGGTAAAAAATCATAAAATTTCAATGTTATTTGGATATCATTAAACCAAATATTTCTTAATATATAATTATGCTATAGATTTGATCTTTAAATGGACATTTATATATGAGTTTTCATATTATTTACTTAAGAAGGGTTTGCATTTAATTAAACTAGGAAATCTTTTAATTTAAAAATATAATTATAATCAAAATGGCACAATAATCATAAGCAGTAGCATATGCAGCACTTCTTTTAGCAGGCTCAAATACTCCATTAACAGCTGATAATGTTGAAAAATTGACAAAAAAAGTATTTCACATATTCGAAATGATTTACAGGCAGGAGTGAATGTTCCAAAATAATTGGCAGCCGCATTCGTTAAAGCTTTCGAGGGTAAAGACATCATGAGTTTACTCTCTGTTGGAGGAGGATCAAGCTCAGCACCAGCTGCTTAAACAACTTAAGCTGCTGCTAAACCAGCTGAAGCTCCAAAGGCAGTTGAAAAACCAAAAGACCCTGAACCTGAAGAAGATGTTGATATGGGAGGTTTGTTTGATTGAAATCAATTACATTAATACATTCATAATATATTTAACTTTGCATTTAATATTGCGAATTCTCTATTATGATTATTCTCTTCTTATATTAAATGCTTTATACATAAAAATGATAATCATATATATATCTATAATTAAATGGAAATACATTTTAATACTATAAATTCATTATTATTATTCTAATTTTGTTTTTTTTCTAGTTTTCTCTGAATATTCAATAGCCTGATATAATAATTTTTATCTTTCTAATAACCTTTATAATTCTTTTTTCTTCTCCTCATACTCCAATTTCTTACTATCCAATAATTAATTTGGCTCAAAATAACATTTAATCATTTTACAATTCCAGAATCTTGTCCTTCTGCATCAACCAATAAATTCCATAATTCAGTCATAAATGGTAAGGTATTTTTTTCAAAATATCCCATTATTTGTATGCTTAGAACTTTCGGATCAGGTCCCCTAATATCTTCACTTTATTGTTCTAAGTAATTAATTATTTATCTCTAAACTACTTCATCTTCTATTCCAATATATTAAATCATTTTTTTTTCAATCCAAGGTTTTATCACTGATAAATCAATCTAATTAATATAAAGTTTCTCTACATTTTTCATATTTAACTTTCGATTAAATACTTCAGGCCATTATTTATTCATTATAAGTTTACGCTCCTTATCACCAAATCGAGAATCCTAATCTGTTGAAGTCCCTTTAAAAAAGTTTCCAGCCATATAATTACTTATATATATAATTATTTAACTATTCAAATTAAAACTTCGTTTTATAGTATGATTATGTCATTTTTATATTAAAATATTAATAACTTTTAAACATTTTTGAATTGAAATGCTATAGAAAATAAACAAAATAATTAGAAGCTATGACAATTTTGGAGTTCCACCTAATCTTAATATTAATAAGTAATAAGAGTATAAGAGTGTTTGTGGAGGTGTACTCTCTCTTATGATGACAATCGTTTTGATTTATATTCTTATATCTGGCTTAATTGGAATCTTCTAAAGAGATAACTACACTGTAATTATATGGAACTATTAAAGATTGAAGTTTAATAACTATAAGATATGGATCCAGATCTAAAAGAAATGAATAATAAAAACTTTATGTTTGCGATAAAAGTTGACAATCCGTTTATAGACAGATTTCCAAAAATATAAAAAAATCCTTTTTCTATTTCTATGAGTTAAGTTTATATTGAAACTTTAAAAAATGGGACTAGAACTAAAAATATCACTAAAACATATAATTTAGAAACTTGTACAACCCAACATTTTCCTTAAATAAATTTTGAAGAATTTCATTAAATTGAAAATTAATTAACTCAATATCTTTGTTTACCTAAAGATTATCAATTATGGTTATAAGGTACATACAGTTCCTATGTAATGTAATTTCCAAAATTATCTATTTCATTATGTAAATCAGAAGATTGTTATTCATAATCTGAAATTTTAGAATTAGCTAAAAATAGTTCGATTATGGTATCTCTCTCAACAATTATATAATCAGCAATATTTATGGCAAATTAAACTGAATACCCATTATATTAATACTTAAATTCTGATTTCTTTTTAGCCACTAACTTCGATGCTGAATCAACAGCTGATATTTTTTTTGAATCTAACAAAATAGTCAATTAAAATAGTATATTTAGTTTTTACAATGATGATTAAATTATTGATTATTGGGTATTCCCAATTTATAGTTATAGAGAAATTAAAGTAAATATATCCTATTATATTCTAGAAATTCAATGATATTCCAGGATCTTTATTCTCTGTTATTTTTAGATTAAGTTAAGAATTCAAATAAACAACAAAAAAAGTTAATACCATAGATTAATTTCTATCATATTTTGGTGGTATGTTAAAGATTATATCTTCAATATTTGGAATTATTGCTTTACAATATAATTCTATGGGATTGAAATTATCTTTAGCAAATTCATTATATTAATTTAATATTCCAGAAAAAAAGAATGGTAAAATTGAATTTTCTTATGATAAACTCATAAATTACATTTAAAAATAAATAAATAAAATTGATGAAATGGTAACAAAATTAAAAAGTCATACAATTCACGTAGTTTAAATGAATAAAATAACTAAAGCGTTCACAATCAAACATTAGTCTAGTCAAAATATATAAAATGAAAAGAAAAATACTATCATTCAAGAATAATCCTAATTAAATTCAGAACGAATAGAAAAATAAGAAAATAATTTATAAGAAATAAAAGAATCTTTTTTGAGAGATCTATTTAATGAAATATGTAACTAACAACATAAATTAAAATTGGGTATTAACTTTATTTTCTATTAATTACTATGTTGTACATGTATAGAAAAGATATAAATGACAAGAAAAATGCTATCATAATGTGAAACTGTTATTTAATAGGATTTAGATATTGTAGACATTCTTTAAAAATTATAATAAATAGAAAAATTAAAATAAACATTGTTGGAGAAAGAATAAATTAGAGTTTTCAATTATACTCCAAAACCTATTATTAATATTGAAGAGAATCGAAAGATCATACTAAATACAGAAGGAGAGCCTAGTTAATTAATACAAAAATCAAATCATCAAAAATATAATCGATTGATTAGAAATAAGAATTATCATTAACCAAATAAAATGGTGAAAATTTATAATTCTTATGTAAAATTAAAAGAGAGTAATGCTCCAGTAGATTCAAGGATAATCTATTTGATGGGACCAGCCATGGTATAAATTTTTGATAAGTATTATGAAATTCAATCTCTTTAATCTCATCATAAATATTTAGAAGAAGCACATTAATAGGATTTTGTAAGTTCTGATAAATTGTTAAGTGACTATGTCTCACCTCATCCTAACAATGATGAAAAGGAGAATTAATAAAATGCTAAGGTTCACTTAAGAACGAAACCAAAAACTTTTAACGATTAAAAAGTTAATTTTTTTGATGAGTGAAAAAATAATTATAATCCAAAATATTTATTAAATTATATATTATAATATATGTCATGTCATTCTATGTAATAATTATTTATAAATAATAATTATTATATTTGAATTGATATGTCTTTTACTCTCTATTTCTTATTAATTATTCCTTTATTCGTATTATTTGGAGTTTGTAAACTATGCTTTTTTAAAAAATAAGGAAATAGAAGAGATTAGTTTGGAACATTATAAGAGCGAATGAAAAAAAAGATAATTTTTGGGTATGCTGAATTAATAAAGACCATGAGTCATGAAGATTTATAGATATTGCAATAAACTTATGAAAACACAATAAAAAATGCTTAGAGTATAAAAGTATCAGGAACGAAGGTGGAAAAGTAATAGAAACACAATAAAAAAGTGATATTCGTAGATGATTTGGATTAGTAATCAACAGAAGCATCAAATTTAATTTGAATATAAATAAGCATATACAGAAAATCAAGCATCAAAGGTCTTATCATCAGGAGTTTTATAACCATATAATTCATGAATTCCTTTGAATCACTTTTACTTTTGTTCTAGGAAGTCTTCCAATTTTTTAGTTGTTTCTCTGTTTTAACCAGATTGAGAGAAATACATACATAAATTCAACTACACATTATCTGAGTTCAAGCATAAACTTGAAAGAAGTTTTTTATTGTACTATTAAGTTTAAAGTAATTCATTTAATTATTGAGTGCCTTGTTAGGTATATCTCACCATAATATTAATTCTGTTTATAAGGCTGTCACATCTTTTATTGAAAGATCTAAACAGATTCATATTTCTGTTGACGAGTATTAAATCCTTTGGAAACAAATCAGTCTATTTCATCATCTCTTTGATTTCTTCTTTCATTTTTAATTATAATTTCATAACATCGTCTTCTTTAGTAACTTAACATATTACATTATTCATAAGTTATTTTGTATTAAAACCTAGCTTTTTAATTTTATCTTGATGGGATATTGTAATTCCTTCAATCCACTTTGAAATTAGTATTCTTTATGTATTCAATTCTTTATAATATTTAGGAATGTGAATAACTTTTCTTCCTATTATTTATAATGCTCTTCTTCTACATAATTCTTAATTTTAATATTCAATTCTAAAATCAATTTCTTTTTATAATTTAGATTGAACTGATTCTTAAAATTATAAGATATGCATCTCAAATACATATTACAATACTCTAAAGAAAATTTGATACCATTAAAAAATTATTTCTTAATGTTTGGTTTTTAAACTTTTACAACAACAATATCTACATTCTTTAATTTTGCTTTATGAACCTAAGATATTCAAGGATATGCAATAGGAATTAAATCAGATTCATCAAAAAACTCTTCAATTGTTTTCCAATCTCTTCTTAGAATATATTACTAATGCAATAAAAACTAACAGCATTTGCTATATCTTTGAGTAAACTCATCCACTTAATAAAAGAAGGAGGTAATAAATGTTCATATGCAGCTATATCTAACCAAATTTAACTTATAATCCATCATTTCTTATACAAGTTTCATAGTCATTGCTTCATGAACAACATTTGCATTCTCTGCATTAAAACTAATTTTAAATGGGTAAAAATAATTCAAACTACATTGTATTGTGTATGAATTTCTTATAATTGTTTTACTAAATTACATAAGATCCATATATACCTCTCATTATATTCATCATAAATATAGAAATTAAACCTAAACAGAAGGAATATTAAAAAAATTACACATTATGAAAAGTTTAATTTTAAAAAGTCTTATTAATTAATCAGTTATAGAACAGAATTGAAAGTTTATTTCTTAATCCTTTGATTTTGAAATATAATATCTCAATCATAAATTATTCATAAACATTTTTCTTGCCTAATATAATTAATTAATATTTATTAAAAGCAGTAATCAATTATTTTCGATTATTATCTCGGTTAAATTATCGTTAAAAGAATTATAAATGATTTCCATTAAAATATTATATTCATAAAATTAATTCTTGCATTTATATTTATTCAATTATTATTGATCTTATAATTCGTAATTCTATTTAATAAACTTGGAATCGCATTTTAATTAATAAAATTGAAAGTATAAATAGTATTCTATTAGATTTATATCTATTCTTTTATTTTTATTTAATTCATCATATAAAACAAATCTGAAACAATTTTATCTTTTAAATAAGAGTTTTATCACATTAAGGCTTTTCATTTACATTCTCTTCTTCTGTTGTTTGATATATCATGATAAATTGAGGTATTCAATCAAATTCATAAATATAATAATATTTATTTTTGGAACTAAAAATAATTAAATGAGACATTTTGCCAGCAATAATTGTTTAATAAGTAAAATTAAAGATGGATTGGCAACTGCTCATTTTAATAGACCTGAAAAGCTTAATGCTGTGCATCTTGAAATGTGTGAAGACATTCTTGAAAGTACCAAACTTTGGAATGAACATGCTATAGTAACTATATTATAAGGGAATGGTAGAGCATTTTCTGTTGGAGGAGACTTAAAGTATTTTATTAAATGACATTAGACACGTTTTTAATATATCTCAAAGAAAAAATGATGAATCAAATGTATCTAAAGTTGGTCACTTAGGTGACGAAGCTAAAAAAGCAGTTTATGCTATGAGCTCAACTAAGAGCATTTTATTAACAATTATGAATGGATATACTATGGGTATAGGTGCTGGATTCGGAATTCATTCTCATTTCAGGATTGCAACAGAGAATACTATTTTTGCTATGCCAGAATGTAAAGTTGGTATAGTACCAGATGGAGGTTGTGGTTTATATTTTAGTAAAATGCCATAAAATTTTGGTTTATATTTAGGTATGAGTGGGGAATAAATTGATGGCATAAAAATGGCTCATTTAGGTATTGCAGACTTTCTTATTGAAAGTTCATGCTTACCTGAAATAGAAGAGGAATTTGAACATGCACATTTTTTAAGAGATAAAGAATCTATTGAAGAGTTCTTACTATAAAGATATTGTAAAAAAAATAAAACAGAATTTAATGTTCCTAAATAATTTGGAAATGTATTAAGTTTATAATCTTTGCCCTCCATTATGTCTGCTATGGATGCACAATTTCCACAATAAGCTGCTCTTATTAGAAAAAATAGTTCTTTTACTGTCTATGCTTTTTATGAATCATTTATGAAAAATAAAAATTCTAAATTATCACTTAAAGATAATCTAAAAATGGAATAATCTATTTTAGATAAAGTTGTTATGAGACCTGATCTAGTTGAAGGCTTAAAAAGTTTATTTGTTGATAGATCTTATATACCTAAATTTAATCCTAGAACTATTGAAGAAGTAAACCTAGAAGAGATTCAAAAATGTTTTGAGCCTTGTTCTAGAAAGTTATTTGATGATTGAGTATTATCTAATTATATTATTTATAAAAGTAATAGTTATTTTTGGTTGTCCAAAGTGTTGCAGGTTGGACTACTTTATTTAAGTATCTTAATTTGAAAATCATTATCAAATTAGATGCATTAAAATAAGAATATATTTTTAACAAGTCCTAGCTAAAATAAAAATAATTGTAAATATTATAATTAAAATACAAAAATTGTACATTAAAAGTATAACAGAGATTTCATAAAATAATAATAATTTGTAAATAAAATTTATTGTGATACTAAACTTAAAAAATTGATTTATAACTTTGGGGGTATTTGCAATAATTGATGATAATATAATTTTATTATATAATCATTATTAATTTAATAATGAATATTAACAAATTTGAGAGTTTTTTTGATTCTCATAAATTTAGAAATTTAAATTTAATTATTTAATATATTTTTATAGAACTTCTACAATATTAAAAGTTATTAATAATTTACATTTTTAATAAAGACGACTAAAATATATTAAAATTATATTTTAAATTTATTAATTGTCTTCCAAAAAGTGGTTAATTATCAAAACTGTGCGATGAGGTTTATAGCAAAGAAGATATTTTGAAGACAGAAGGTTAGATACTGTAAAATATAAATTTTAATCTATCATTCATATCTCCACTTTGAATATTTGAACACATACCTGAAGTAGATGATTAAATTAGGTTGATTATATAAATTTAATTAGTTGATATCTGATATAATTGGCTTCATTTAGCTATGGATTTGCCAATGGAGACCCTTTCTTAATAGTAGGAACTATTTTAAATATTGTTGGGAAAGTCTCGAACAAAAAGATTGATTAATCAATGTTAAAGGTAAAATCATAACTTTTAGCTCTTAGGTTGATTCTAACCAAATTAATAAATTAACAAAGGAGTAAATTTAAACTTGGTTTTTAGATGAAGTTAATTAGCCATTTCCATCCCTTATTAAAAAGTATTAACTTTATTACAACAATCATGCTTCAACAATTAATTTTAGTTAAGATCCATTTTGTGATTTGAGAATAATATGTTATAGTTATATTTATAATTAAATTCTAGAAAAAATGTAAAAAATTTTTGAGGTAGAGCGCCGCAAGTGGAATGTTATAAGTTATTCACCTTAAGTGTTTTTGAACTTTCAGTAAGTTTATATTTTTTTTTTTTTTTAATGTTGTTGTTGTTGCCTAGGGTTTTCTTTTAGTTCTTGAACCTCTAGATTATCTAAATTTTTAAATGTTAATGAAGTAACTCGCAAGCATGACCTCAATACATTACTGTAGAAAGGACATATAAAGGTTTTATAAAAATTTTATTTAGTTATGGGTTGGATAAATAGAACAAAATTTAAATGTTAAAAAAAATTAGTCTATTTTATTTTTATAATCTAATTATTTATAATGCTTTCTAAATATAATTCTAATTATTAATAATGTAATCTTTATCTGATATCATTGATAAATGTTTTATTTTAAGAATATGCTAATTATATTATTCAAATATTTTTATTAATTAAATAATTTATAATTCTTATGGAAGAATCACTGTTTCATTGCTATCATGAAATGATTCCAATTGCCTCGTTTTCTGAATCTCCCCTTCTCTAAAAAGAAGAATAGCCATTAATAGATGAGGCTTATACTGAAAAACTGATAGTTGAAAGTTAGATGATTAAATCAAATAGAATATAGCGTATATTTGATATTCAACATAAGCTAAACAAACCAAAATAAAGTTACAAAGTTGAATTAGAATTATCAATAATTTTATTGAGAGAAATGAAAATTAATAGATAATTAGAATTTTTTATGTTGATTTCAATCTTAGTTGATAGTTTGATCAGACTAAATTCTTATATATATTTATTTCTTCTATTAGTTGATAAAGAAAGTGATGGTAAGATTCTGTTATATTATCTTATTCTAATACCAAGATTTTACTTTTTTTTAAGTTTAATAAGAATGTTGTTTAGGAAATTGCACTTGTATAGAAACCAACCAATTTTAATGATAATTGTATTATTTCGATAAAATTTTACTAATAAAAATATGATTGAAGAAGCATCAAAGGAATGGTATGATTGGAGGAATGAATCATCTCAATTTAATCTCAAATAACTTGTAATTTATTTACTAACTCCTAATGAATTATCATATTTTTAGTTAAAATCACTAAAAAATGGAGTAAAAACATATATAGTTACAAGTTTTATATTAAAAACAATAGAGATAGTCATGTTTTCTCCANTTTTTTTTTTTTTTTAATGTTGTTGTTGTTGCCTAGGGTTTTCTTTTAGTTCTTGAACCTCTAGATTATCTAAATTTTTAAATGTTAATGAAGTAACTCGCAAGCATGACCTCAATACATTACTGTAGAAAGGACATATAAAGGTTTTATAAAAATTTTATTTAGTTATGGGTTGGATAAATAGAACAAAATTTAAATGTTAAAAAAAATTAGTCTATTTTATTTTTATAATCTAATTATTTATAATGCTTTCTAAATATAATTCTAATTATTAATAATGTAATCTTTATCTGATATCATTGATAAATGTTTTATTTTAAGAATATGCTAATTATATTATTCAAATATTTTTATTAATTAAATAATTTATAATTCTTATGGAAGAATCACTGTTTCATTGCTATCATGAAATGATTCCAATTGCCTCGTTTTCTGAATCTCCCCTTCTCTAAAAAGAAGAATAGCCATTAATAGATGAGGCTTATACTGAAAAACTGATAGTTGAAAGTTAGATGATTAAATCAAATAGAATATAGCGTATATTTGATATTCAACATAAGCTAAACAAACCAAAATAAAGTTACAAAGTTGAATTAGAATTATCAATAATTTTATTGAGAGAAATGAAAATTAATAGATAATTAGAATTTTTTATGTTGATTTCAATCTTAGTTGATAGTTTGATCAGACTAAATTCTTATATATATTTATTTCTTCTATTAGTTGATAAAGAAAGTGATGGTAAGATTCTGTTATATTATCTTATTCTAATACCAAGATTTTACTTTTTTTTAAGTTTAATAAGAATGTTGTTTAGGAAATTGCACTTGTATAGAAACCAACCAATTTTAATGATAATTGTATTATTTCGATAAAATTTTACTAATAAAAATATGATTGAAGAAGCATCAAAGGAATGGTATGATTGGAGGAATGAATCATCTCAATTTAATCTCAAATAACTTGTAATTTATTTACTAACTCCTAATGAATTATCATATTTTTAGTTAAAATCACTAAAAAATGGAGTAAAAACATATATAGTTACAAGTTTTATATTAAAAACAATAGAGATAGTCATGTTTTCTCCAATTATGCTAATACTTTTAAATTTTAATGAAAAAATAATGAGCAAATAATTTTTAATTCCAAATGGCTATTAAAAATTTACTCTCGTTTTAATATATATTGATGGAATTAAATACATATTCTTTAGTATTTTTTACTTAACAAAAAGAAACTATTAGATTAATAAATTTTGATGATTATAAAAATTAAATATCAATTTAAAGACACATATAATGTTGTAAAATTAGTTATTTTAAATATCTTATATCAATCAAGCTTTTTTATATTATTCTTCCTAGAGAACCTTTCAAATTCTTAATCATATTACATTTCTACTTCTTATGATGATAATCTCATAAATTTAATAAATAACTATCCTATATCTTTAAATTCTTGTCTTAAATAAAAAAAATATATTAAAATATCATCAGAAGTAAATACATATCTTTATCATATTTGATCAAAATACCTTTTCAGATTATAATACATAGAATGAATTTTATCTGAAAAATTAAATATTATTTATTTTTTTATTATTTAATTCAAATCGATGAGCTTTTAAGTATTCAAAACAATATAAATTAGACAACTGATTCAAAAAAAGAAGAATTTAGAAAGTATTTAGAAAAGGCAGGTGTAATTGATCAATTGACAAGAGTCTTAGTTGGATTATATGAAGAACCAGAAAAACCTAATAATGCCATAGAGTAACCTCTAAAATTAAACCTAGTTATGTAAAAAAGTATTTAGGATCTCCAGTTGATATTGATGTCGACAAATTAAAATTAGAATATGAGAAATTAAAAGATGAAAACATTAGATTAAAGAGAGAAGTTGCTGAATTAAAAAAAGAAGTAATAAAGAAAATATCATAATTTTAGTTATAAGCAGCCTAATAGGAATAAAATTGATGAATTATACAAAATATTTAATTATATTGCTAAACAGTTTCTATTTTTTATTGTAATTAAATCCAATATAGTAAAATATATATATTACTAATACAATGAAAATTTATTTTTGATTATATTACTCTAATAATCATTTTAAAAGAGGACCAACAATAGGTTTGTAATCATACAGTAACTTAATTTCTCCATCAAAGATGCCACATTATTCGAGAGTCTTTTTTGGATCCAAAACCTTAAATAAAATTAAGTTTTACATCTTCAGGACTAAATCTATCACGGCAAACCGATATTCCAGAAATAGCACCTTAATGCATTTTAGAAATTTCTTCATGAATTTATTCAACTCTTGTTGTTATAGGCACCTTATTATGAAACTTAGAATACTCTGATTTTCAAAGTAAACAGATCGGTTACTGGATGTACCAACTTTATTATTAAGTCTACTTTAGGAGTAACAATATCTGGATTTTCATACTAAGGAATATTGAATATAGAAGGTAAATATTCTTCCTTCTTCTTTGATTTTTTTGACTTTTTAGATTTTTTCTTTTTAGGTGGCATTTGTTAATTGAAATAATGAATAATATTATAAAATGAAAAAAATAAGGAATAAAAATTATTGAATCTTATAGGTCAACCATACTCTATTTCTTCGCCATCATCCTCTAACATTTTAGGTTTTATATATTGATAAATTTAAATCTTTGATTCTACTTTTTAATTATTATCTGCTATTGATTATTCTGAAATTTTAGATTGCAATTAAATATTTAACTATGTTTTGTTTAAATCTTCTTTTATTTGAGCTGCAAGTTAAATTTCATGGTACTTTTAGAACATCAATTCTAAAGTAGGACCAAGCATTTAGGTAAGCCTGTAATTTATTTCGTTTTTATTTTCTTTTAATTTAAGATAAGAGTCATAAATTTTTAAGAATTTTTTAGTTGTATTAAATCTTATTCGTTTATTGATTACTCTTGCTCTCTTTTATTTGTTGGCTTGAATGATTAAATTATTAGGTCTAGATTAATCTTCAGTTATAATCTGATATTATTTATCTATAAAAACAACAGGTTTAGGAGTGTAATTGAAAACTGAAATTTAATTTTAATCAAGTAGCGTTTTTTTTAATTTATCTATTTATTGAATTTTACTTAATATTGTAATTATATCTAAATCCCTTTTAATCATTTAATCACATTGAATTAAGAGCTATCTTGTCATCCAAATTTTCTTAAAACAAGAGCAACATAAAAGAATATAAACATAGAAATTTAAATCTAGTTTTAATTAATTTCTAGTATCTAGAATTTTTTAAATTAAATTTTCCATAAAATTTTCTTTATACTCCATTAATTTTTTAGTAAATTAATGAATATCATGTTAAGTTATTTTTTGGTCTGTTACTTCTGCTTGATCTTAAGATTACTATTATTTTTTTATTTTCTAACTTGATGAAACGTTGCTCCACATTCTAGTAATATGACTTAATTTAATCACTTAAAAAGTATATGTTTTTAGTTTATCAAGTAATTCATCAACTCTATTTATTTTATATTATATAAAATTCAATAATCTATCATATGAAAATTGTAGCCTACCTTAACTTTATTAAGGAATATTAAAATCATATAAAATATTAGCCAAAGAAATTCTCATTGAAAGTAAATTATATTTAATTGCAAATAATCCAAATATTGCAGTAAAGAATTTCAGTATTCCTCCTAGATATGATAAAAATTAATCTAATCTATATGCAGTCTTTGTTATAATTTGATTTTATTGATTTATTCTTAAGTTAATTTCAAATAAGGTTGTAAGATTAACATCTTTTTTCTAGTATATTAATATATTCATATACGTTAAATTATCTATTGTCATTTAAAATGAAGGACCAATAGTCTTATTCCTTGGTTGTGGCCATTAAGCTTAATAAATTATCATCTATTTAGACTTTGTTATGTTGAAAAAATAAATCTGTATATATAGATTATTAAAGATTTGACTAAAGATAAAAGTCAGAGTTTATGTACTAATGTAAAACATCATCTGTATAGTTCGAGACAAATAAAGCCGATTTAATAAGAGTAGAGAGAGTGATTGTTGCATTTTCATCTAATTAAGCTTTTTTAATTTCTTCTTCTGTATAACAGTTAACATCGTTCTTACAGATTTAAATTAGCAATTTTGGATATAATAAGGTTTCCGTATTATAACCTCCTTGCAACTAAAGTTCAAAGCTTAAAGGCAAGCATACATAATATTAGAGTTATTTTTCTATGTATGCATTTTATTGAAAATCAATATTTTGAAAGTGTCTAACAGTACATTGTTCTAATTTGAATTCTTTTAATTACTCTCTACTTTTTTAACCATCTCCTGAGGTTTTTTATATATACTGATGTAGTTATATCGAAAAGAGATTTTTCTTAGAATTATTATAATAGTTTTTAAGAGGATCTTCAAGCTTTATCGCAAGCATAAAATTTTAGACATTCATGGTAGTAAAATTTGGATTTGCACTCTATATTGTTTGAACTTTAATCTAAAAGACTATATATTGTAAAATACTGTATATTCAGATTTAGTTATTATGCTAATGAGTCTGTTAATAAAAATGAAACTTAAAAGGAAAATCATGATAATCGATGATAATCCACCACATGCTGTTGTGTATTTGTCTTTTTATTTCATATTTAAATTTAATTCAACTCCAAAGAGATCGAATTATTTAACACCTTTCTTAATTTTTAAATACATTTCTTTAAAATTCACTTTCTGTTTTAAAATTTAATAATTAATATTAATTCATTGTTGAATGAAAGTTATATTGAAGTTTCTTCGAATTTTGAATAAATCTTCTAGAGTTAGTAAATTGATTCAAAATTTAAAAGTTTGACTTAACATACTTATCATAAGATAGGTATTAAATTAGTATCATAATCAAAGAATGATATTAACATGTATGATTTCAAAAAATTTGAATTGAATTGAATATGTCTAAAAAATTATATAATTGATTGAAAAAAAATTTAGTTTTAAAAACCAGATTTATTACTAAATACAATGAAATGAATTTGATAAAATAAATCAATAAATTATTAAAGAACAATTAATTAGATATATTTATGAGAAGCTACTGATATTATAAGATTTTAAGGTTCTAAATGCTATTGGAATTAACATAGTAATATTCTTCTATATGTTAATTTTTAAATATACATATATAAGTTCCTTTTATTTTTTAAAAAGATATCATGTCAACACACGATTATATCTAAAAGAATAAAATTTGTTTCATGTAAGAAATTTGAATAGAATTTCCTAAAATATTACAAAATTCCATTTTAATTAAATATCTATTATTATAAATTATTTAAATCACTGATCTATTGATAATCGATTTAATGATTGGAAGGATCTAGAAAATAATAAATAAGAAATTATTTCTTCATTGAAGTCAAACATAAATGATTGAATTTATGTATAAATCAATAATATTTAAATATATATAAATATAAAAAAAGAAATGAAAAAAAGAAACTAGAAATAATGTAATAATTTAAACTATCAAATAAGGTGATTTTAATATTTCTTCAAAAATATAATGTGCCAAATTTGGAACAAATTCAAAGAAAATTATTGCTAGTGGAGATGACAAAAATTGTGTTCAAATTTGGCAAATAGGAGAATCGAAACCAATTGCTGTATTAAAATGATAGAATATTAGACTTTAAGTTCTTAAAATAATTCTAATGCTTAAGTTGAAGTTGCTAGAATTTGCTTTAGTTTTTGTGAAGCAGAAATCTTCTCAGGATCAAATAGAGGAATTATTAATGTCTGGGATGTAGAAAACAAAAGATGTATTTATTTTAGTTAAATAAGTACTTCAAACACTCAAAGGACATTCAGCTTGTGTGAATGCTTTATGTATTTATCCATCAGATGAAAATAAAAATTTATTATTCAGTGGAGCGTATGATACCTCAATTAAATTATGGGATTTGAGATCTAAGACACCTGTAAATTAATTCAAAGGCCACACTATGTAAATCAATACATTGGCTGTTTCCCCTGATTCTAAATTATTAGCATCAGGATCAAATGATGGGTCAGTCAAACTTTGGGATATCACTTAAGGAAAATTGATAACATCATTCACACAGCACGACAGTTAGATTACATGTTTGACTTTTAATCCTTAGGAAAGAACATTAGCATCTGGAGGTGCAGATCGTTGCATAAGAATTTGGAATTTAGATGGACTTAATTAAGTAATCAGCTTTAAATTATATAGATATCTTAAACTAGAACAGATTCCACACCAATTCAAAGTATTCTTATTAATGATAATGGAAAAATACTTTATTCAGCAACACATGAATCATTAAAAGTATGGGACCTTGAACATGATTGTTAATTATTAGATAATGTAGAAAGCATGTGGAAGGGAGTTTAAGATATGATAATTACATAAGATTAAGAATAATTGTTGGGATTGGCTTCAAATCCTCAATCTGGTTTTAGTTTACATGGTGTTTCTTTGAAATCCATAGGTTTGGATAATAAACTTAATGAATAAAAATAAACTGCTAATACCAATTCTAAATAAAGAGGAAGAACACCTGATAGAAGACAAGAAATAGCAACAATAACACCCAAAGTCTAAGAACCAGAAATAAAATTAAAAAGTAAACCATCTTAATAAATACAAGAATAAAATTATATAAATCAAGATAATTAATTTGAAAAATAAAAATAACATGAAGTTTCTAAAGATTATTAATCATTATAACCATAACCAATGTTTCCACCAATTCAACCTTAAAATTATAATTCACCATATATTAATAATCCTCATAATAACAATAATTAAAATGGTTATTTATAATAATAAATGTAATAATAATAATACTAATAGTAATAATAATAATTACTTTATCAATATCAAATTTAATAAACAATTTAAAATAATTAGTAAAATTAATAATAAAATTTAAATTCTCAACAATAAGTCAATTAAATTGTTTAACCAATAAATAATTAACCCCAATAAAAATCTAAATAATAAAATTAATAAATTCCATAAAATTTTTAATAAGATTATGAAGAATATGATGAAAATTTTGAAGAAGATCCAGATATGACAACAACAAGTGAACTTACATTATCTTAATTTATGTTAGGAGATCATAATAATAAAGAGAAGTTTAAATAAGTAGATCTAATTCATGAGATAACTAAAGATCATAATAGAATTAATTAAATTTTATCTCAAAGAATGAAATATATGAAACCAATTCTATGTTGGTGGATTAATAATAATATTAAATCAGCTATTAATGCCATATATCAGTAAATATATTTATTAATTTAGAGTAACAGATCCTTCAATTTTGTAAGATGCACTTTCTCTATATTCATAATAACCAAAGTTTAGTTAGATTCCTATAGATAATTTTCCTCTTTTATTGGAAAAAGCTAGATTATTATTAGAATCTAGATTTGCATTTCATATCAAAACAGGTCTGGATTTTGCATATAAATCTCTTAGTTTATTTAGAGATGTATAATTTCATAAAATAAATTTAGGAAATATTAAATATAAAACTCTTCAATTAATTATCTAAAGCTGATTTAGCAAGAGAAGAAAGAGTATAGAAATATGATAAAGTTATTGAACAATTAAAAATAATATCACAAATGCCTAAAATGTAAAAATTAATCGAAAGAAATAAAGATGACTTAACTGAGTTGGCAAGAAAATTTTAATTAGACATTGTAAGTTTGTTAAAGAAAATTAATACAAATATTGCATAGAATTGAAGATTATTTTATTTCTATTATATTTATATATATAATATTTTAGTCGTTAATGAATAATTTAAAATCCAAAAATTCTGCTCCCTTAGACAAACCATAAAAATATCCTAATTCAGACATTTTAAGTATTCCCATGCATCAAATGAGAATTGATATAAATAATAATAATAAAAACAGATTAGATTCACAATAATCCTCTAAAAATTTAGAAATACTAAGATAGAGTCATTAAAGCAGTACTAGTAATTTAAGACTTGATAATCCCCTCAACAAATCAAGTGAAAATTTAATTAAAAAAACTCCTACTAGAACTAAAGTTTGTACTTCAATTGATAAAATACCTTATCCATTATAAAATAATTTCTCTTTAAGTCCTCATAGTGCCTTTATAAAACCCTAATTAAAATAAGAAGATGATTAATAAAATATTATAAGTTTTTGTCATTAGAAATCAAATCTAATAATAGATCACAGGAAAGAATAAATTATATTGCAATTATAATAAGCTTAGTAATTATTAGTATTAAAAGAATAAGAAAACTAAAAATTATAAGAAATTAATAAAAGATTGTATGAAGAAAATTAAAAATTATATAATTAAGGTGATGATATGCTCAAAGATATTGAAACTATGAGATAAAATTTTGATTAGTAAAATAATGAATATATGATGTTAAAATAATAAAACTAATAATTAATAGAAGATGTAAAATTGATTTAAAATGAAAGAAATTAGACTTAATCTCATAGTGATTAGATTTTGAATCTAAAAAATTATGAAATTTAATAACTTTAAAATGAGTTAAGAGAATATCAACAATTATTATAAAATAAAGATTAAACAATATCAAATTTAAAATAAAAACTTGATATTGTTGAATAATAGGAAATTTGTAGATAGAATCTTAAATAAAGTTAAAAAAGTTCTGAAAAATCTTATCTTAATAACAATAATTAATAAATTGAAACTACATAAAAGATACAAAATTAAGATTTAAATTCAAAAGGATCCTAAATGCAATCAGATATTTAATATTACCAAATATAGTTAGAATAAATTTCATCTGAAAAAGACATTTGTGAATAAAAATTGGTAGAATTGTAAACAATAATTAATTAATTTGTTTTAAATGAAAAATAATAAAATATCACTTCCAATTCAAATGGAAATGTAATTTATTAAAAATAATATAACAAATTAAAATAAATAGTACAAATTTAAAAAAAATAAATTGAATCTTAATAAAAGACAATCATGAATTAACATTATGAAATTTAAAATCTTTAAAATTTACTTTATTCTATTGAATAGGATTGTTCATCTTAAAAAAATAGTAACATATTCTATGAAAAATTTTCCATTTAATAACCTAATATGTATTTATAATTAAATGATTAAGTAGATGTGATATTGGCTAAAAGGAATCTAATGAAAGAGAGCCTATAGATAAAATAGGTTTATAGCGTATTTTGTTTAAATAGCAGCAAGATTCAAATGTTGTTGTGGAGGATACTTTTAGAAATATGTAAAAAGAATAAGAACTATTCACTTCTACTTATGATTAATGAGATTATTAATACTTTATTAAAAATAGTATTGTAAAAAAGATGTTAAAAACAAAAATAAATGAATCAAAGCATTTTCCAACTATTTTTGCCTTAAAAAGTTGTTGATACATTTTATAATGAATTAGAGGAATCTTAATCTTTTGATATTCCAGGAGATGAATTCCTAAATTTTTATCTTACATTTGTAGAATTATTTGGTTTATTTTTTGTTTCACCTAAATAAAATAGTAAGAATCTTACCTTTAATGGCAGGGGAAAAAGTTCTTGTATTTACAGTAGATGGTTTCTAGACCAAAGTAAAACTTGTTGATGATACATTGTCTTTAGCTTTTCTAATAATTAAAAATATAAACATACACTTATTTTTATGACTATGTTTTTTCAGTCAATTCTTATAAAACTCTTATTGGTTAATTTTTAACAAACTAAGCTTGACTTTTTGTTAAATTTTAAGGGGATATGAGTTTTTTAAATTGATTCAAATCTGTAACTACTCCTTTGGTTGATTATTTTTATTCAGCATCAATAGCAGAATTACTATTGTTATTAAAACTACTATTATTTTAAACTTAATTGGCACTTTAATTTAAATATTTATCCTAAAATGAATTATTGGGCTTCTATTGATTTCGTAAAGTTGATGCAGCCTATCTTCTACATTAAACATTTCTTAAATAAATCTATGAACTTGATTAAGGCAAAGGAGGGCCTTATTGTGTAACTTTTTTAACTGCATCTTTTTAAAATGGTGATAAACTATCCTTTTTTGTTTAATTAATTCCTTTAGATCCTTCTTTAACTTCAGCACTATTAGGCCTATTTTTTACATCAACATTATCAGTATTTTTAGTTAAAGATGTGCTCCTTTCTTAAACTTTAACTAAATTCAAACTAGAAGGATTAGCATTAACAGAAACCTCATTAACTTATGCATTTTATTTTTAAATACATGATTAAGATTATGATTATTTTAATTAATTTTTTTATTACAATTATTAAAATTTTTGATAACTAGATTATAATTATGATATTGATTAGGTGAGAGTTTTTTATATTTCAGAATGTTTTGTAGAATTCATTTACTAAATTAAAGTTGGACTAATTAATTATTCTAATTTACTTTTTTGTTAGGCAATATTTTATTAAACAAATAGTTATTATTATTATTATTATTATTATTATTATTATTATTATTATTATTATTATTATTATTATGTTATATTAGATTATGTTGTCAACTATGTTGTTTAAGATTATAATGATTATTTATCCATATTTGAAATTATTTCTTATTATTTATTAAAATAATTAAGTGATTGTTAAACTTAATTTTTAAATTCTTAAAAATTTGTTAAAATAGATGGTTGATTATCCTTTTATTTAACTGAGCTTGGACGATTATTATTATTTGACTCTGTTTAGTTTTTTTTATCATCATTCTATTACAAAGAATTGCTTCTAATTCCAGTTGATGGATTAGCTTAAACCTATAATTATAACAAGTTAGTTGCAATTTAGGAAATTGATTAATTATTTTGATTTTCATTTTGAGGTTTAATTAAATTATTAATTAAATTATTTTTCTTAACAGCCTATTCTTATTATTATTATGGTGTTCTAGTTTTCATTGCACAATGCATTAATAAATTTTAAAATGAAGGATTATTTGTTAAATTTGCTGAAGTTATATTTGAATTCAATTAAAGGTCACTTTAATCTTACTGTTAAGATTTACTGCTAACTGATCTTACTTAAGGTGCATTTTAAGAACTCTTAGGAAAATTTGATTGAATTTAAGGTTGTTTAGGAGGTTAGACAAGAGATTAACTCTTTTAAGCTCCCTAATTAAAGATTACAATTTACTTTTAAAATTGATGGCGTTGTTGGATCAGATTTTAAATTAATTTCAGAAACAGGAACAAAATCAGGAGAACCAGAGTATACAATTGTAGCTAAAGAAATGTTGTCTTTGTTTGTTTAATCTTTCCATTTCAATTTAGGATTTGTAACTTTTCCTAACACTCCCTTACAAAATTTAATGAATTCTTACTTATTTTGCTTATAAATTTGTATATATTTCATCTACAGGTCCATTATGGGAATTTAGGAATGTATTTCTTATGATTAATTCATCCTACACTTAGGAAGGGTTCTAATCATCAGAAGTTAACTCATTCCATGAGGCTGTTCTTTTTGGTCCTTATTTGGTCATTCTATTTTCCAATGCATTCAATTAATAAAAGAATGATGCTCTGATTTCAAGATCAGGCCTTCTTGAATTTAAATATTCAAGAGTTTTATACAGTGTCCATGAATATCTATTAAATTTAAATATTTTAACGAACTTTTTCATAAAATATGCAGCAAGTACACAACAAGCTCTACTTTGTCCTCTAACTGAATGGACTAAACAACTCTCTCCCTATTGAAAGCATTCTTCTATGAATGTAAATATTTTATTAACATTTTCACTTCTTTCATCAAATAACACCTAGATATATTATGTTTAATGTATACTTCATTATCTTACTCCAACCAATTAAATGTTAAATACTTAGCACCCATTAATGTCCATTTATTTTGTACTTCCGTTCCAGCACAATTTATTATATGAGTGACTTTATTTGTCATAATGAATTCTCGATCCTTTATTGAATCAAATACCAAACCTAAGATGCATATTCATCTCCAATAAACAATCCATCTTTTATTTTTATAGCTCCTACTATTTGGTTCTATGTCATATTAAATAATTTAAATTAATATTATTAAAGTTAACTCTTCTTTAGGGATCAATAAAATTTATTTTAAAATTTCATTTTTAATTGAATTTCAATATTTTAAAAGAATTTGGGATATTTAATAATGTAAATATTAATATAACTCATTCAAAGAAATCCTTAAAATATATATATATATCTATTTAGAGTATTAACAAATAGAAATTAAAAAATATTAAGTTTGTTTTTATTTAATATATGGAATACAATACATATATAATAAGAAAAATATAAATGAATAGCATCTTTTAAAAAGAATATATTCAATTTTTTAATTAAAAATCTATAAATATTTAAGAATGATTAATAAAACAAGTTCATTTGATTAGTAATCATTCAATTATGGGGTAACTCAAGAAAACAAACTTAATGATCCAAGAATTAAGATGAAGGATGATGAATCAGAATGGTTATAAGGAAATGAATGTATTGTATGCGATTTAAATTTTTCTAAGTGTGGAAAATTACATCATTGGTATAAATTTTGTTAAATTTTGAAAGTAGAGTCTGTGGCAATCCTGTTTGCAAAACTTGCTCTTATAAAATGATCAATGATAAGAGATCTTGCGATCTGTGTTTTAAAAGAATTTAGTTGGTAGATTAAGAAAAACTTAAAAAACAATAAATAAAAACAAAAAAAGAAGCAATACAAGAATTAAAGAATTAAATCTCAAAGCAATAACAATAAAATGACTTAATGAAAAATTAATTAATAGATCTCTAAAAATAATTAGAAATACAATAACGTGAGCATACTTAGTAGGAAAAGTCATTGGAGGATTAATTTGAATAGAAAATAAATATGATCAGACAACAGATTGAGAATAACAAAAGATAAGATTAAAATATTACAACAGAAAGAATTCAGTTAGAGGAAATTGAAAGGGATATTATAGATTTACGTAATAATATTGAAACGAAAGAATTTAATATATAAAACAAAAGATAATTTTTTAAATCATAAAATAAGGATCTATAGAAATGTTAAGAGGATTTGTTGAATCTACAATTAAGTGTAATTATTATTTATTAAGTTTTTAGTTAGAATAAAAGAAATAAGAAAAATTAGAATAAACAGAAAAAGAATAAATAGAATAAACTGAAAAAGAACTAAAAAAAAAACATGAAAATAGAATGAAAGAATAATCTGAAGAATATGAAAAGTAGATTACTGAATAAACTAAGTAATAAAAACATAAAGAAAACTGTATTATATATTGATTCTATAAAAATTAATTAAATTAAGAATAATTGTAAAATTTCAAAAAAAATATATCAATAGATAATTCATAGCAAATTCAAGATTCTTTCAATAACTACAAATCTATATTAAAATTAGAGATATTTTAAATTTGAATAGTGATTTAGTTACGATTTGTTTAAATTATATAATTGCTATAAAGTGTGATTAAGATTATTATAAAATCAATTGAGTTTGTTAAATAATTTAATTTTTTAAATCTAAAATAATTAATAATGAATTCAAACTAAACAGACTTACATGAATAATAGGTTGTTGAAAATACAGAAAATATTGACACTACTAATACTGAATAACTACTTGATTTTACCAATATGTTTAAAACTTAAAAAGTAGCAAAACCTAAATTACTAAATAGATAATAATAATAATAATAATAATAATAGTAATAATCATAATAATAATAATCATAATCAACTTAATCTACAGAGGAGCAAAACAATAAGTCAGTTTAAAATATAGTACCAAGAAATCTCACCATTACTTAAGAAAAAATGAGCCAAAGAAGATGTTTAGATGTACGTAGATGGTATAGTTTGAGTAGACCATAATACTAAAGAAGTTGTGGAATTTCTTCTGTTGTAACTTGCTGGAATTATTTATTTTCTACTCTAGGTGTAGGAAATTTAAATCCACTTTCATAAGAAGAAGTTATTGTCTCTTTGGGGTAATGATAAAAACTATTTAAGTTTAACAACTGAAGTAGGGCCTCATTTTAATGATGTAGAATTCGGATCTTTTAGTGGAAATATGTCTTTAATATCTTGGTTTAAGAATTTATGTAGGTTGCATAAAGTATAAGGAAGAGCTTATTTTTTATGGAAAAATGAAGGAGATTTTGCTACTCCTGGTGTTGATAGAGATGTGGCACTCTAAAAATTAACAGCTGGATTGAAAACTGATAAAGTTTCCTTTATTTATCATGCATATGATCATTATTTCTGTCCAATTGGATATGAATGCACTCCTAATAAATAAGTAGAGGCTTTTGTGGATGAAATAGATTATAATGATTGTCAATATTGGATTATTATTGCTGAACCAGCTAAACCATATCCAATGTTTACTGTTAGAAAGTGGGTTGATATTGCTTAAGATTTAGAATTAAAATACCCTTAATATATGAATATTCGAAAAATGGATGAAGGAATTAAAAACTATAAATATGAAAAAGGAGTTAGTTAACATTGCATAATGGCATTTGAAAGGATTGATCCTAAACCAAAAAAGATTATAGAAAAAAAAGAGAAGCCTATAATAAATGAAGAAGTGCATCTTGAAAAAACAAATTAACTTGATTAAAAAGTTGAGACTAATGAATAAATACATTAAAATACAGAAATTTTAGATCCACTTATTAATAATTAATTGAAATAAAATGATTAATAATGAAACAAGAGAAATATTTTGATAATTCATATTTTATGTAACAATTAAATTAAAATAGCTAAAGATATTATTTTTGAATTTCTTTATTACTAATTAATTATATTCATCAAAAAATGTTTCTCTATTCTGATAAATTTCTAAAGAACTATTCAATAAAACATATTTATAATAGATGTTTTGACATTTTGATTAAATTTTATTAATTTTAGTGTGATATGAATAATATCATTAATACTAATTAATCAATCAGAAAATGAACTACTATCAGATTTTTCAAATCTTGTAAATTTTTTTTATTAATTTGTATCTTAAATTCTTACTTTCAAACATTTTTATTTTTTCATTTAAACTAATTAATTGATTCTGGCATCTAAATCATCGTGTTATTACACTAGAATCTTATTCTTGCCTTTTAAATCTCTGATTTATTTTTATAATTGATCAATCATATCTAAATATTAACCTTACTCTTTTTTATGATTCTATACTTATGATTTCAATAATGTGTTCTCTTCTCTTAATTTAATCAATTCTTTGCTAATTTTCTCAATTTTAGCCTCTAAATTATCCAAATCCTTATGTTATGCATCTGTTAACTATTATTGTTATTTTGTTAATCTATCTAATTGGAATTTATATTTTTCTGACTCTTCTTTTAAAAATGTGTTTGATCTTTATTCAATATGAAATAGTTGAATTTATTCATTTAATTGTTCTTATAAATTATCAATTTCTAAGTTCTTATCTTTCAATTCTTCATTAATTGATGTTTACTATTATTATTCATTAACAAATTAATTATTAAGTTCTTTAATTTATTTACTCATTTTTTCAAATTACGATTCATATTCTTAAATCTCTTATTCCAATCTTTTACTAAAATATTAATATGATTTATTACTTTGAATCTTCTAATTATGGTAATAATCTACTTGATTTCTCATATTATATTCTAAATATATCATTTTCTTATAATAATTATTTATTATCTTTTTTGATTCTGTCACTTTCTAAACTTAAATTTTTAAGTTTTAATTCTAATTCACTGACTCTCTCTTTAATATCTGCACTTCTTTTTTTTTATTTATCTACATCAACCATTCTCTCCTCTAATTATTATTATAATTGTTAATCTAACTTTTTTTTTAATTTTTAGATTCTCTTTTATTATTTTGAAATAGTTTCATCTTTTAAAATTAGTTTATTTTCTAATAAACATATTTATGTTTTCATAATTCCAGTCTCCTTTTATAAAGAATCAATTTCTTCATTTAATTAACCACTTACTTTTTCTAAGGCACTACTTTCATTATATTGAAGTTTGCCTTTCATTTTTTGATTTAACATTGATGTTAATTTATCTATTTGAATTTAGAATTTCTAATTATTCTATCTTTCAGCATTTCTAAATCTAATTAATATTCATACAAATTTTCTTTATAAAATTCACACTTTCTTTCAAGTTCACTCTTCTCATTTAACCAATCTTTTTTATCTTCCTACCATTTAACCTATAAATCAATTATTTCTTCCTTCATCTAAGTTAATTGTTCATTTTTTTTTAGAATTTTGAATTATAATTTATTTGTAACATCTTTTAATATATCCTCCTATTTGAAATTTTAAGTAGCCTCTTCTTAAATAGTCTTATTTTTATCATTTCCAGATTCTCTAAGTTTGTTTTATGTAGTAAAATTATTTGTAGTTTATTATTATTACATATAAAATTTAATGTTAACAAATATATAAGTATAAAGTTTTTACTATAAATATTTTTATGTAAAAAAACGTTACTAAAATAGTGTCTTTAAATTTCAAAAATATTCTGATGAATGGCATTATTAACTCAAAAATGCAAAAGTTTAAAACAGAAGAGCAATTTTTTTCAGAATATGACAAGACATTTTTGATGTCTGATTATATTAAAGACTGTATTATATAGAAACAACTCATTATACCTGTTGATTTTTCAAAATAATGTAGATTTGATGATTTTGCTGAAGACCACTTTGATTTAAGCATTAAGAATGAATTATGATTTAGAAGACTTAATCAATTATAAAAATTTTCAATATTTTTTATTATATGTTTATAATACTGTATCATTAACTTGTCTTCTTAAGTTCTTCTAATTCAAAAGCTTTCTTTAATGCCTCTTATTAATGTTTGGATTTGATTCCTACTTATCCACCACCAATGGTTCTCAATAATTCATGGTTTTCATTGTAGTGTTATCTTAAATCACGAGCCTTTAATTAATTTTATTTTATACTAAGTTATCAAATTCAGCTTAATCTTCTTTTCTTACATCTGTCAAAGCAACACAAGTAGCTGTTTTTTAGTGAACCAAAGCTCCTAATCTAGCCTTGTCTAAATTATAAATTCATTTAAATACTTTTAACAAAGGCAAATGGGACTTCTTGACGTCTGCACAATTGTGGAAGCCATACTACTAATTCAATTGGATCAACATCATAAGCAATCAAAACTAATTTAGCTTTCTTAGTTTCAACCAATGTAGTAACATGATTCAATCCGAATTTAAGGACTGTCACTTTCTTGCTCTCTGTTTTCTAATTTTAGGCCTTAGATTCAGCAGCCTTGACTAATCTTTATTTCTTTTCTGTTTTGGTTTCAGGTGCATATTTTTTTAATAAAGCGTAGACCTTTGAGCCTTAGATTAAAATTTACAATATACTTTGATTTTTGTCGAGTGTTTTGCTGAATTAATGAATGGCTGCTGGCACTTTGATTCTTTGCAATAAAATCTTTTTTTATCTATGTAAAAGAATATAACGAGGCCATCTGACATATCTTGATAAATCTCTCTTTGGTTGGACATCATTTCCAATTCTAAAGTTTTTAGCATCTTTAACAAAGAGTGGATTCTTCTTTCTATCTGCTACTTTCTTTTAAACTTTCTTAGCCTTTGATGTTTTGGGAGCTTTTGGCTAAAGGAATAGTCATAATCAAATTTACCATAGTTAATGAAAATCTTTTAATATATTTTTTGAAAATAAAAGAAAAAAATAAGTATTAATCACAAACCAATATTATTTATTCAAATTTTGAGCCATTCCAGAAAATACTAGGCATAAGCATTTAAACCTCTAAATTTGAATAAATATTATAAGCTTAATAGAAATTTTAAATGAATTATTCATAGCAAATAGCAATCTAATCTTCACTAGTATTCACTATAATTTATGGCTCTGAATTAATATTCATAATCTTGTATGTGTTTAGAAATATCTGTTTTAACATTTAGTTCAATTGTTCCTCTAATGAATTAACTATTTTTCTTGAATTTAAAAATGATTTTTTACTATATTAAATCTATATCTGCATATTGCTGTTAAATTCATTATTTTTGATCCTGACATTTTGATGCAATGAATAAACAAGCAATTCCACAAAGTTGACTAAATGGGTTTCAATAAATCTTTATAATAAATTTTAATATACTTGTCTATAAGCCATACAGTAAGCAGAAGAGTTTCTAATTGTAATTTTAGTTTATGATGCAATTCAAAGAGCCAATTAATAAGAACATTTCTCATTTTTAGAGTTATTTAACTTTATGAATAAAATGCATTAAATGAGATAGCATTTTATAACTATTATTATTAATTTTGATTGAGTTCTTCAAGATAATTATAAATATCTTATTTGTAAGTTTTAACTAATTATGGATTACCATAATTTTCTGTTGATGAAAATTTATCTAATCCTTTTGTAATTAAATCTACAAATAAAAAAATAAATTTTACATTTATTACTATTAGGTAATGATATTGAAGCATTGTTATTATTATTATTATTATTATTATTATTATTATTATTATTATTATTATTATTATTATTATGGGCTTAATTAATGATAGAAATCTAGATGTTTGTTAAACTTCTATTTTTTAAAGTTCTTTAAATATGCTAATATTAATCAGTTTTTTATCTGGGTATTTCATAACTAATATGCCTTTGATCCTCTCTTTTTCCATTCTCTCTTATATTTTGTGATTTATTCCATTTTGAAACTCTAATAACTCTTGGTTTTATATTTTATTGAGATAACTCATCTTTAATATAGAGAGTAGATTAAACTCTAGTTTATCTATTTTAAACAAATTAAAAGTTTCTATTTTCTTTGTTAGCTTCTAGCATTTTCAAAATATTCACAGATTTCATCGTTGTTATTTTAACGACTATATAAATTATAATTAATAAAAATTGGCCAAATATAAACTAACCAGTCTTAATCAAATCAAATATTAAAAAACAAATTTAATTTACATTTCTTTTCTTTGATGAAGGTGAATAATCAAATGAGATGATCTAATTAAAATATAATTGTAAATTTAATAATATTACATCATAAATAGTATCAAATAGCTTTTAATATTATTTGATAAAATATTATTAATAATTATAAAAGCATTATAAATAATTAGATTATAAAAATAAAATAGACTAATTTTTTT